TACCAGCATCACTGCAAACACAAGTAAAGCATTGCTTCACATTGTAATGTTAGCTACATCACCAGGCCATAGGAAGTTTTCGGCTCCATTGTAATCTTATGAGACTACCATTTTATATTTGGTCTATCATTGAGCAAAATGTCATTATGCTGTATTTGACTTTTTAGGGGCGTGTACTATTTTAATAAAAATTTGAAAAAATAGCTAAATATATCCCCATCAGCAGATAAATAATCTGCTCCTTTCCACAAGGTTGTCCCAAATACATTTTGTCCCAGGAGACCCTTAACCCTATAGGTCAACACACAGTAGTCATGAAAAAATTAGAAACTTACAGATAAGCTTTTAAAAAGGTAGTAGTATCTTATCTCATAGAAAATTAGAACTAGAAAAAAAAAATTGCAAAATAAAATACAAAGCTCCCCTAGAAACCTGTTTCTATCCCGGGTCTCGTAACTCTTAAAATACCCATGTTTGGGTTGGGCACTGTGGCACACACTTGTAACCCCAGCACTTTGATAGGGATTGCTTAAGGTCAGGAGTTCAAAACAAGCCTGGGCAACATAGTGAGGCCCCATCACTTAAAAAAAAAAAAAATTTTTTTTTTTTTTTAATGAGCCCCTTGCTGTGGCACATGCCTAAAATTCCAGCTACTTGGAAGGCTAAGGTGGGAGGATTCCTTGAGCCCAGGAGCTCACTGCTGCAGTGAGCTATGAGCATCACTGCATTCCAGCCTGGGCAACTGAGATCCTGTCTCTAAAACAAAAAAAACAAAAATCATCCATGGTCGAGATCATCATCTATGGTAAGTGCGTATTCTTTTTTTTTTTTTTGAGACAATCTCACTCTATCTCCCAGACTGGAGTGCAGGGGCACAATCTCAGCTCAGTGTAACCTTTGCCTCCCAGGTTCAAGCAATTCTCTTGCCTCAGTCTCGACAGTAGCTAGGATTACAGGCGCCTGCCACCAAGCCTGGCTGATTTTCATGTTTTTAATAGAGACAGGATTTCACCATGTTGCCCAGGCTGGTCCCGAACTCCTAACCTCAAGTGATCCACCCACCTCATTTTCCCAGAGTACTGGGATTACAGGCGTGAGCCACCATGGCTGGCCATTAACTGCATATTCTCTAAAACACAGAGAAAATCTCTCTCCAGATCTGAAACAGATCAGATGTAAGAGGAGGTATAAAGAATGCATGGAAGCTTCATAAGGGAATTCACGACAGAACTGAGAAGAAAATCATACCAGGGAAGGACAATCTTGTGCCAAAGGAGATTTCCTAGCATTCTTTATATTTTGCTGCTGAGCGATGAAACGAATCAGATGGTTTGTTTCAGGAGAGCCTCGAGCCCCAACTGCAGAACGACGTCTGGATTTTTTAAGGTAGGACGATGACTTTCCTGTAATGAAATTCTCTTATAAATTTGAACTAAACAAGACAATCATCAGTAATCACATCCAATACTCATGATGTACCAGCCTGAGAGAGAAAACATGATGAACATGTGCTACAGAAAACTCAGTAGAATGTTACTGGCACAGTCATTCATACACAATCAGTGGAAGGGGAATCTTTGTCTGCTGACTTAGTCTATGCTCCTAGAACAGTGCCTGGCATATAGAACAGTTACTAAAAGTTATCGATTTTGTGAGGCCAACGAGATCATGAGGTCAGGGGTTCGAGAACAGCCTGACCAACATGGTGAAATTCGTCTCTACTAAAAATACAAAAATTAGCGCATGTCTGCCGGGGAGGCGGAGGCTGCAGTGAGAGATTGGGCCACTGTACCACTGCACTCCAGACTGCCCAACAAAGTGAGATTGTCTCAAAAAAAAAAAAAAAAAGATGTTGAATAAATACATGAACACATTTTAATTAAGTTTTCATTTTTGTTCCATATTTCCTACAGAGACATGGGTGATGGCTTTTGCCTCAGTTATTTTTCTTTTTCTAAATAAGTTAGTTTTATCTCCAACAGCTGAAGGTAAGATCTCCACCCAGGCACATGCAGTCTCGAGTTCTTAATTCTTCAAGATGATTTTGTTTCTTATAGACACCTAACATCAGCACTGTCCTGAATTTTGGACATATGCCTAGGCACACAAAATTAATCCAGCTTTTTAAAGGCCTAAGAGTGATGTTCTTGAGAAGGAAAGTGAGGGCGGCTTGCCACTTTCGTCTTGTCTTATCTATGTATTACCTGGTCTAGTGCCCTGTGATATTCAAGTCTTCCATTATCCTTCAATTCTAAATGCTAGTCTCTAATCCAATTCCATTTTCACAGTATTTCCTTCTTTTCCATTTAAGTCAAACTTCACAGGTAAACTTCATTTCTACCCCTTGAATGAGATTAGCAGGAGTCAATCTTATGTTTGTGATTTTTTTTTTTTTTTTTTTGAGACGGACTTTTTCTCTTGTTGCCCAGGCTGGAGGGCAATGGCACAATCTTGGCTCACCCCAACCTCCACCTCCCAGGTTCAAGCAATTCTCCAGCCTCCGCCTCTTGAGTAGCTGGGATTATAGGTCTGTGCCACACCCAGCTAATTCTATTTAGGAAAGATCGGGTTTCTCCATGTTGGTCAGGCTGGTCTCTAACTCCCCACCTCAGGTGATCCACCTGCCTCCGCCTCCCAAAGGACTGGAATTACAGGTATGAGCCCCTGCGCCCAGCCCTGTTTGTGATTTTTAAAGGAGGCATACACTAATCTTTCAATATTATATTTTCTTAATTGCTCTTAAACATTATTTTTGCCATACGTGAAAATAAAATGCATTATTACTATTCATATCATACACCCTCTTGTATCCCAGGTGTCAGATCAAAAAGTGACACACATTTTTTTCTAGTATTGGCATCAAGCATGACTGACTTTGAAACACTGTCGTCATGCTGGGTGCCTTGCAATTCTGTGATCCCTGCTATGCTAAATGAGCCGTGCACGTGCACAGAAGTCTCCCTGAAGAAGTAAGTTTGCAGAGTAGGCAATTTAGATACCTAAAGTAATAGAGCAGTACACATAGGCAAAAAAAAAAAAAAAAAGCTGTGTTGTTTTAAAGTTATAAACTTCAAAAGCATTACAACAGAATGACAACTTCCCTTACCTGCAGAATTCATGACAAAACTTTCAGGTGTAATTCCCAATTGCTCTACAGTTACTGTGGAAAAGTTCAAAGGCGATTTAAAAGTATCTGGTGTGCAAGGATTAGGAAGTAATTCGCCATGCTTCTGAGGAGTCACAATCTTCCCAGGTCCCAAAATGAAAGAGGTGTTTCCTGAAACAGACAACATATTTATCGGGCTGAGGACAACTCTCTTATCTAAACCTTCAACTTCACAAGGAGGCAGCAGATCATCATATACCAGCATTATTCATTGCAGACTCCTCGGTTTCAGGGGGCTTGTCTTTTGAACTGGCATCCATCTAAGAGGTGAAGAAAAACAAGAAGAAAAATGAAAAATAACCCCACCAGCAAAATGAATGTTATTCGATCACGAAACTCATTCAAGACTGAATGAGTCTTGAATACAGTCCATACGGGCATAGAAACACATGACACAGGTGTCACTTTCTAGTTTCTGTGGGTATACAGTAGACGTATATATTTACGGAGTACGTGAAATATTTTGACACAGGTACGCAATGCGTAATAATCTCATGAAAGTAAATGAGGTAGCCATCATCTCAAACATTTACACTTTGTGTCACAAACAACCCAATTATACTCTTAATTAATTTTTAAATGTATAATTGTTACGGACCGTTACCCCGTTGTGCTAGCAAATACTAAATCTTTTTCATTCGATGTTTTTGTATCTGTTAACCATCCCCTCTACCCTTCCCAGCCTCTGGTAACCAACCTTCTACTCTAAGCGCGTACTTTTAAAGCCAAATTAAATATAAAGAAATGGAGGAAACTGCTGTTCAGGATACACCAAAAGCAGACCCCAAGGGATAAGCCATGGCTTTTTAACCGTAGCGAAGACCTGAATCATCAGGGTACCCCGCTCAAGACGCAACTCTGTACATTTCCGGAAATTGTCGCTCAGCAGGTCCGGATGCACCCCTCATCACCCAGAGCGGCTCCTGAGAGGACCACTAAACACTGCGCTGCAGGGTAATCCGAACAAACTCCCGAGAAACGCCGCGGAGAAACAGCCCCATGCAGCCAGGCTGCAATCCTACCTCTCACGCCGCACCTGGAGGCCCGCCAGGCAGCTAGGCTTACTCCCACAGCTCCGCAGCAGGCGAGCGTCGCGCTGGCCGCTCCTTCCAGACCCGGGCTCCTCGGTTTGGAAGGGTTCTCCTGGCAAAGCACCCGCAGTCGGGAGCCGCTCGCGAAGCCAGGAGCCCGGGGTCCTGGAAACCCAACTGGACTCGCAGCCCGCGCCGTCGCCGCCTCTGCCCGCCGCCGGATTCAAATCCCCAACCCCGCCCCTCGGCCTTAATCTACGAATCACTCCGCCACCGCCCCCTCCTCCTGTCCGCGTACACTCCAAAGCGCTCCCAGGCATCTCCCTCGGCACGGGAGTGGGTTCCTGGGCTCGGAGAGGAGCCACCGCGAGCTGCGGTCAACCCTCTGACCACAGACACCCGCTACTGACCTGTGACCGTGGGAACTACTTATCGGGAGTGTCTCGCGGAGTAACGCTTCGGTTAGCTCTTTAACCCCGCCTCCCACCTTTCGATTGGATGCTGCAAACTTCGAAAAGACTCATTTGGCCAATCCTAACAGGGTGACGAGCTGGCTCTTACCCAATCAGTTCGTCCCTACTGCAGCCGTTTCCTCGCTTGGTTAGCTTGTGGGCGGGGCTAGCGCAGGAGGAGGGGCGGACTGGTGCGTGGGTCCCTTTTAGAGCTCCACCTCCTTACCGTAGACCCCGCCTCCGTATGCAGATGAGCGCTACCTAGTCTTAAGTGTGCGCCTGCTCAGTAACGTTGGAGGACGCCGTCCGGCTCCAGGAGTGGCTCTGATTGGCTGATGTCCCTTCCCATCTACTAGCCTTCAGTGTCTCTTCCCTCCCTCCGTCCCGGCTCGGTTAGCCAGAGCCCTCACGATGCTGGGTGCTGGTTGGCTGGGCCCTGGCCGGTGACGCGAGTTGGTTGGTGCGGCTGAGTGTCAGTCTCGAAGAGGTGGGGGAAGGGCCCCAGGCAGACTGAGGAGCCTAGGGGCGGGGTGGGAAGGAGGACCGGCCGAGCCCTGGGTGTGGGACAGAGTGCGTGTGTGTGGTGTGTCCCCGAGGGCAGGAAGGTGGCGAAGGGAGGCGAATCCGAGTGGGTGGAGGGAGGGGAAGGGCAGGAAGAGAAAAAGGTGGGAGGAGGACTAGGTGGGAGGGTGGCGGCTCACTCAGGACCCAGCGGGGGCAGCGCGATGAGGCGGGTGACCCTGTTCCTGAACGGCAGCCCCAAGAACGGAAAGGTAACGGGGGCGTGAGAGGTTGCGGCGGGCTGTGGGTAGGGGCGAGGGCGGCCGGTGCGGACCCGGCTGGCGGGGCAGCAGTGAAGTTGGGCAGAGGGGCTGGGAGGTGGGCGTGCGCGGGCTGGGGTCGCCCGGGGACAGCGCGAGATCCCCGCGGCCTCCCCCCAACCCTCGGGACCCTGGTGCCCGAGCCCGCCCTTAAGCGCCTCAGCTGCCCGGGGGCCGGCGCGGGTCGGGCCGGGGGCTCCAGAGCTCCCGGATGCACGGTGCAGGGGGCGCGGGGACGGGGGGCGCGGGGAGGGCCGCGGTCACCTGGGCGCCCGGGCGGTCGCTCCTCTTCCCGCCTCTCCCCGAGACCCCGCTCCAGACGCAGGAGACTCGCCGGCTCCGGTGCTGAGTAATGATCTGCTCAGAAAGTGGCGGCGAGCACCAGAGCCTGTGGAGATGGGTCAGGGACAGAAGTAAACTGCTCGTGGATAAACAAAATCTTCTCCCATCCGAGGTCGAAGACAGGATTTTAAAAACGGGGTCATTTTCTTGTTGATTTTTGCCCTCCTCTCTGAGATGCCTCAAGCCCCCAAGCCCCGCCGCCGCCGAACTTCTCTGTACACGTTTTGTTATTTTGCCTTATTTTGATTCCTTAGAGGACGGGGACAGCAGACCCAAAAGGGATCGATTTGACAGTCGCCTTTGCTGTGTTAGGCCTTTGCGGAGGGTGTGGTGCTAAATGTTCTTCCAGCGCTGGAGCCAGCCAAAACGAATTCTCTTCCTTCCCAGCCTCTTGCCCCACCCATGAAAGTTGTTCTGCTACTTTGGGAAATTTTGACTGTTCAAGGCAGACATTTATTGCGTGGCTAAATGATACCCAGAAGTAACTCAGCCTTTACGAGTCTAAGGTAAAGGTAAATGGGCCTCGCTGTGTCAGTTGCCGAAGTACTCTGCTGCCTGCACATTCGGGAAACATTGTAAATTCTTAAACAGTGAAATTGTCTAGTGGTATTAAAAATGGCTTTCCAATTATGCTTCAGTGTAAACATGCTCTGAAAATTCGAATCAGAGTGTGGTTTGTTGACTATAATTTTATGTTCTTCTGGTCTTAGAGATTTAATACTCTTGTAAAAACAGAATTGGTATAAATTTGAGTTCTTGAGTTATGAATGCTACCTCAAAAATATGTTTCACGAAGTTTACATTTATGATCACTATTGACTTTTTCTAAACCTGTAGTTAGCTACTACTATCTAAAACTTATGTTGTTACTCTAAGAGTCTAAGAAAGATTTAGTATATCCAAAACTAGTAATATTTCTCAAAAACAAACTTCCGATTGACCTTTTTAATGCAATGTGTTTGCTATGTTACTCGCTGAATCAACCAGCAAGTAAGGTATTTAGACTCAGTCATAAATATTTATGCTCTAAATCTCCCAAATCCACTGAATTTAGTTGTCAAAAATTAACTGGGTTGGTCTTTCCATATTGTTGTTCACAGGAATTTTTTTTTAAAGCTATTTAGTTTTGACTTCATTAGGTTCTTAGATCTAAATTTTATTTACTTTAAAAATATTCTGCTAGAGATCTCAGAAGATTGGGGAAAATGCATCTCAAATAATTAAATATAAATTTGTTGATGTTACAAGGATCATAAAACTCCCAACTGGAGAGTACTGGATTAAAAAGAAACAAAGTTGTGATCTTCACTATTCAACTGACAGCATACTCGAAGCCAACCTTGGCAGTGTTTTCACTCGTTTCAGTTGATTAAAAAATGTTGTAATTACTCTTATTTGACAAAAGAGCTGCATAATACGTAACAGCTTGCATTTTTATATATAAAGTGACTAATTGGATTGGCATGATCATGACATGAATGTTCATTAAGAACACGCTGGGGAAAAGTGCTACTCAAATAGAATAATTTGATTTCACATCCACCAGTTGGAATATCTATACCACTTACTTTATCTCCTTTACCTAGCTTCTGCTTTTGTTGCCTGGTTATAAGAATAATTTCTGTTTTTTCAAATAAGTTTCCCTCTCATAGCTTGTTTAGTGGTTATCAGACTGGGGCTACAAAGCCTGGGGAAGGGCATGGAGAGGCACAGAATTCTCCCAGGGTGCTGTGTTACATGCTCACCACGAATTTTCTGTATGTTGAAAAAAATGTAACTACTGAATGTATTTGGTATTGTAGAGAGGGCTATGCATTCTCTGAACAGTGGTTTCCAGAGAACAGACGGTATCCAAGACGATTTATTGGACGTTAGGAAGAAATATACCTTTTGTTTATTGTCTTACACTTAAAAATATAAAATAATATGGAAACTTGATTTTTTAGATCTAGAAAGAAACATGTACCTCCAGTCACTGAACATGTCAGCTGGCCTCAGGTCTCCTGTGTGAAAAGGTTAATAGTGGCTTCTTCACTGATTGGTTGTCACTGACATTGTGATAATGGAAACTTACAACTGCCACATTAAGATTTATATCTTGTTTAGGCCAGGTGTGATGGCTCATGCCTGTAATCCCAGCACTTTGGGAGGCTAAGGCAGGCGAATCACCTGAGGTCAGGAGTTTGAGCCTGACCAACATGGAGAAACTAAAAATACAAAATCAGCTGGGCGTGGTGGTGCATGCCTGTAATCCCAGCTACTTGGGAGGCTGAGGCAAGAGAATCCTTGAACCCAGAAAGCAGAGGTTGCAGTGAGCCAAGATCCTGCCATTGCACTTCCAAGTTGGGCAATAAGAGCAAAACTCCTACTCAAAAAAAAACCAGATTTATATCCAGTTTTAACTGAATTAACCCTCACCAAAATGCCAAGTGATAAGTGATCTTAAATGATTACTTCAAAGAAGCTGCAGTTTGAAGACAATATTAATTATGCAAGCAGAAGTAAACAATGAGGAAATGTCAGGAGCTGCCACTTATCCTAGTATGTATAAACCATGAGACTAAAAAAAGATTGGATCTCTTTGGAACTGAGAAGTTCAAACTGTGCTGAGTTTTAAAGAAGACTATTTGAAGTCCTGTTTATTAATTGCTATTAATAATCAGCCTCTCCCTAAGTGTGTGTTGTTCTTTGAAATATTAGCCATTGACAGGATGAGTCACCCTAGTTAGCAAGATATTTGGAAATATTCTCTAGGACATGAAGACAAAGGGCTTCAGATTTTTTTCTTTTCTGATTTGTTTGTTTTTTACTTTTAATGTTTAAATTCAATCCTGTATTTGCCAGAATTTCACCAAATTTAATGATAAATATTTAGGAGATTCTTGCTGGTTGATTCATAGTCTGAATCACTGAAAAGTCCTCATCATTTGAGAAAATATGTACTTTCTGACGGTGGAATATAGCTTATAAATATATAAATATACAGATGTTTGAGCACTTGCCCAAAAGTGTGTTACCAGTGGGATGTGTAGTTAGGAACTTTTGAAGGCCAGAGTGCTAAACACTGGAATCTTTCAATTTTGAGGATTTTTTTGTTATTTTTAAAAAATACTCCAAAAGAGTTATGTTGCACCTATCACCCTTTTTTAATCTGCCTCAACATTTTCATTTTTCTTTTTTAATAGTCCCTATAAGAGTTGTCATTAAGGAAATTGAAATGGGGACTTGCACCTCTGAATGCAGTGTGACTTCTAAGCAGCTTAATGTCAGTGCAAAGTTTCTATACATCTTGAATACAGAATTTTTTTTTACTTCATAATATTGAAGGATGAGCTGTGCAAGTGATATGCCTTTTGTATACTATATTCATTCATTCATTCAGTGAACACTTAATAAATGCCATCTGAGTACGTGGCATCATGCCAAGCATGGCAAACATAGTGGGGTAGGAAATATCTTCATTCTGTACCATGTTTGCATTCTTGGTCCAAGAAATAACTTTTCTTCACGTTTTGGTATTAGGTCAGAAACATGTTGTTGAGGGCAGGCACAGTGGCTCATGCCTGTAATCCCAGCACTTTGAGAGGCTGAGGCAGGTTGCTTGCGTTCAGGAGTTCAAGACCAGCCTGGGCAACATAGTGAGGTCCCATCTCTAAAACAATAACAACAACAAAGAATGAAAAAGAAATATGTTGCTGATAGTAAGTATCCAGGTTTGAATTCATTACGTTGTTAGAGTTGGAGAAAGGTGAAAATTTATGTACAACTCTGCCTCTGAAGTCTAAACATTAATAAGAGCCTAGTGAAGGCCCAGTTTTTAAGCTTGAACATTTCCTAAGGTATTTTATACATAGGAAAGACTACAGTATACATAAACTTTGAAAGGAACATAATGTAACAAATATCTGTAAATCTGCAAGAAGTATCATGTTATCAATAACATAATGTGTTCATTCTGCCTCTCCCATAAAGGCAGCCATTGTCAGAGTTTTGTTTTTCTCTTTGCTGTGTGTGTGTGTGTGTGTGTGTGTGTGTGTGTGTGTTTAAATCAGTAGTTTTGTCACATACATATGCATAACTAAATTGCATTTCTTTTGGAGACAGAGTCTCTTTCTGTTGCCCAGGCTGGAGTGCAGTGGCACAGTCTTGGCTCACTGTAACCTCTGCCTCCTGGGTTCAAGTGATTCTCCTGCCTCAGCCTCTTGAGTAGCTGGGATTACAGGCATCCGCCACCATGCCTGGCTAATTTTTGTATTTTTAGTAGAGATGGGGTTTCACTCTGTTGGTCAGGCTGGTCATGAACTCCTGACCTTATGATCTGCCCACCTTGGCCTCCCAAAGTGCTGGGATTATAGGCGTGAGCTACTGTGCCCGGCCACTATAACATTTTTTAAAAATCAGCTTTGGGAAATACTGTATCTCAAATTGGTATGATACTGTATATAGTTTTTTGTGGAGACAGTGTCTTCCTATATTGCCAAGGCTGGTCTCAAACTCCTGGGCTCAAGCAGTTCTTCTTCCTCAGTCTCCCAAGGTGCTGGGACTATAGGCATGAGCCACCATGCTAGACCAGAACTTGCTTTTCTCATTCAGTATAATTCTGTTCCAACCATAATCTCTACATAGTGGTAATTTATTCATTTTTACTGCTTTGTTAAAGTACATGCTTACAAATACTACCATGATATTCCTGTCAGTAGATGTTAGGTCTGCTCCATACACATTTATACCACATATTTTGTTTACCCTAATGACAAACATTAGGCTGTTTATTTTCTTTATATTTTGTTGTTAAATTAACAATGCTGTCATGAATGTTTCTGTATATGTATCCTGGTGCACAGCAGCAAGCATTTTCCTAGGGAAGTAGTTCTCAAACTTGAGCGTGCAGCAGAGTCACTAGGAGGACTTGAGAAAACTGCTGGACTCCATCCCCAAAGGTTAATATTCAGTAGGTCTGGGTTGGGGTAGGAATGTGCGTTTTTAATTTGCAGGTGAAATTTCCAGGTTGGTTCAGATGCTGCAGGTAACGGGATCACACATTGAGAACCACCACTCCAAAGTATAGACACATAGTTGTAATTACTGGGTGTTAAAATACGTAACTATTCAATTTTGCAAAATAATGTCAGATTGTTTTTCAAAGTCATTGCAGTGATTTGGATTCGCATCAGCATTGCATAAACCTTCCCCACTGGTACACATCCACTCCAACATTTGGTGTTGTCAGAATTTTTCATTTTAAATATTTTCATTTTTTACCTTAGAGTTAATTATGTCATCTTTTAAAGAATAAGATCATGTAAATATTTAAAATGTATTTGACTAAAAGTATACATAGAGAAAATTGAGTTCTACATTTAGATATTAATTATGATTAGGGCTTTGGTTGGGTAAATCAGCCTGCATAAATTCAACAAGTATTTATTGTGTATTATGTAATAAATCTTGTGGGAATAGAAGAAAAAATATTTTACATATATGTGCAGGTTTTAATTTTCAAATTTAAATGTAATATATTTTAATAATATAGGTTACAATTTGAAAATGTTGCTTAAAGGCAAATTAAAACTAGCCAATTCAACTAGGCATGGTGTACCATGTCCTTTCCCAACTCAAAGATAGCTTTCATTTGTCATGGGATCTGAAGTTTAAAAAGAATTGACTCTGAACAGTAGTATAATACAGTCATCATTAATAGACATGCTTCTCAATTTACTCTGTAAAATGCTTCCATTCTTAGTGCCTAAGTTATTAAAGTAGATAATCACAGTGACTTAGAGGCATCCGGTCCACATGGCAGAAGTAACACATACAAAGCAAATGACCTCTGTAAGCACTATCATTTTATGATTTCTTTGGCTCAGTAGGAGTAGAAAAAAAAACTTAGTATGCTAACTGGAGCTTAAGTCCATGATATACAAGATTTTCATTGTTCCTCTTTCTCAACAGAGTTGTTATATAAAGAAGAGTACATGTGCCAGTCTGTTTGAAACTTTCTCAGTAACTTAATCATCTTTTCCACATGTATGACAAATTTATGTTGATATGTGTATTTTAAAATCTGGTTTCTAATTAGTTTAAAATACGGAGATTTTAAATATTTGAATATTAGTATCGCAACATAACTCCTTTTTATTTGTTTGGTATTGTTAGTATGCTTGAATGATTAGTTGGAAAACAAATTAAGAATAGACACTTGGGTTGTGCTTTATTTTTTCTAATGAACTTAGTTCTGCTTAAATTTTTCTTGCCTTCAATGCTTTGCAAAATGCCCCAGCACTCTTCTGGCTTTCATCCTTCTGATCTGAGAGAAAAAAGTTGGAATCTGAGTACTCTGCTTTTGAAAAACTGCACACTCCTATGTTACTGAGCGGCTTTTTCCACGTCCTCTGTTCACTTTATTTATTTAACTAGAAACTGTCTGCTGTGTTCCAGTCACTGGTGGACAGAGGACCAGCCTTAGTGCTCACTTCATATGGCATCATGACATAATCTAGGGACATCCACAAGCTCGCTGATTATGCTTCATGTTTAGCTCTTCACCTGCTTTTTTCCTTTTTTGTGTGTGTTTGTAGCTTTTTTTAAGACAGAGTCTCGCTCTGTTACATAGGCTGGAGTACAGTGGTGCAACCTTGGCTCACTGCAACCTCTGCCTCCCTGGTTCAAGCAATTCTCATGCCTCAGCCTCTGGAGTATCTAGTCATGTGCCACCATACCCGGCTGATTTTTGTATTTTAGTAAAGATGGGGTTTCTCCATGTTGGCCTGGCTGGTCTCAAACTCCTGGCCTTAAGTGGTCTGCCCGTCTCAGCCTCACAAAGTGCTGGGATTACAGGCATGAGCTACTGTGCCCCACCCTCATCTACTTTTTATTCCTAACTTTCTGAGGTCATAACTGGTAATGATGCAACTATACAACTCAGCCACTGGGAACCCATAGTTTCATTTAGGACCAGGGCACAAAATTCATTTATATATAGAGATTCTCAGCTCCCTGCTTAAACAGTTGCATTTGTCTTGTGCATATATCAGACTACTTGATTCCAAGCAGGACAGATCAGTTCACTGTCACCCAGGTGTGTGTTCTGTTTGTAATGTTAGATGCTAAAATCTGGCTTAGTAAAGAATTAAATAAATGAGGTGGGAAGTTACCTTTTCTTTGATAGTTGATGTAGTTAATGGTATGATAAATGGCACCAGAGCACTCTTATTCTAAGGATGAATTTATTTATTAAATAAATAATAAAAGGGCAACATAATAGGGACTTATTAGGTCTCAGGCACTTTGCTAAGCTCTTATGTCTGAACGCAACTCATAATAACCTTCTGAGGTAGGTGCTACTCATTTCTGGTTGAAGCAACAGAAGCATAAATAGATTGACTCAAGTTGACAGCTAGAAAGTGTCAGACTCTAGATTGAAGTATAGGTTATCTTACTTCAGAACTGGAGCACTGTTTAACTCACCTTAGGATTGTAGATTGTTTTCGGTCAGAGATGATTTCTTATGTCTAGTTTAGAAGTCTGCAGTATTAGGCACGAAGTGAATCAATGAGTCATAGAAGATAAGGGGGCACTGTTAAGAACCTCTTGAAGTCTCCTTTTATATGATAACCTGATTTTCTAGTCCTGTTCTAATATGATGGTTTGTAACTTGTGGGGGATAAAATTTATTAAATAAGTTGTTCATATTCATCTGGTGTGTTTACAGGTGGTTGCTGTATATGGAACTTTATCTGATTTGCTTTCTGTGGCCAGCAGTAAACTCGGCATAAAAGCCACCAGTGTGTATAATGGGAAAGGTGGACTGATTGATGATATTGCTTTGATCAGGTAACCTTCACCTTTTTATAAGCTGTCAACAGTGTACCTCAACTTCTAGGTGCTATGCTGTTTCCCTTAAGTAGTAATTTAATCACTGTTAAGAATACCAGATTTTGGCTAGTGATGACCTAGAAGTTGCTCATCATTTGGGCTTAAGATGACTGATTAGATAGAAAACCCTTAGTACATTTCAGTATACTGATAGTGTTTCTGCATAGTTCATATATGGCTATGAGGAAATTTCTTCTCTGTGGTACTAGAGAAGGATCTAATAAGATATGCAGTTTTTAACTTAAAAATCTAATTCATCTCTTCACTTTTATAGGCATCTGCTTATTAATCATTTCTTAAGAATGCTTTGCATTTTATAAACATTACAGAGGCCAGATTTTGTGAAAACTTTATAAATATGATAGAATTGTAAGTAGAGATAGCACCAGTGATCCACCATAATTTAGGCTTATTTGTTTGTTCTTTAAATTTCCCAGGCAGATTTATCTCTTAAAAAAAAGTGTGTAGTTTACCTTACTTCATCTTCACAAGGCCAGAGAATTTTGGAGCAGAAAGACGCTTAACAAAGAAGATGGTAAAATGAACACAAATTAAGCATTGACTAAACCAGTTACGTTATAATCGCTTTGTCTGAGTTGTACCATTTAATTTGCAAAACATGAGTTTTTTTATTGATGTGAAGATAATGATGCTCTAACTTACAGCAGTAATATACTAAGTTTATCTCCATATAAATCTAGATCAAAATGGCCTTTCAGTATAATAATACTGCTTTTGAAGTTGGTTCTAGACCCCTCATTTTACAGATGAGGAAACTGATTACTTGTGAAATTGGGAGACTTACCTAGGTCATACAGCTAGTTGGGTTTTATTAATGAAAAGAAAACAGATTTTTATTCCAAACTGAAAAAGTTAACTGCCATGGTGAACAGGTAGGAAATATTATACACTACATTTTAAATCCAAATAAATTAGGATAGTTTTTCAATAGGTATCTCCCAGCTTCTTTCAGTTTATAAAGAAAGCTGAGTCACATTGTTGAATGATGATCTGCATCAATCTTTCTCCTTAAGAAACACAAACTCTGTCTCTTAGAAAAATTCAGCGTGTCCTAGGAGTCCTATAGGAAATAAAAATTTCTACAGTGGAAGGTCATAACTGAAGCCTTCTGAGCTATAAAATACCGGTTTATTTGTTTTTGGTTCACAATACAGTATCTGGTGTAATTGCTTGGGGAAGAGGATGTATACTGATTGTCCAGAACTGTGGGTTATGTGGAACCATTTACATTTGTGTGTGTGGTAGATGTGTGGTGGGTAAACACTGATAGCACAGTTACTTCCAGTTATATTTTTCCTAGATTTAATATGACAGTTTATTTCATCTCCAAAGCACACAACAGCTAATGATTTAGGGGTAAAAAATTTAAAGAAAAAAGAGTTGGCTGTGGCTTTAATCTATCTTTTGAGCATAATTATTCATTCTCAGTTGATAAGAAAGCTGAACTCCCATAATTTGTGTAGTGGGATTTTTTCCTCCCATTTCAAAAGTACTTTCATGTGCAAGATCTTATTTTTTAATTTAAATTCAAAGACAGTTAAGTTCAGAGGGTTAAACAAAGCATTGGAAACTTAGCTTCTTTGCAGTCTGGATTGATAGCAAAACCTATCTTCTATGTAATTCTAAGGAACAGTTTCTATAAACAACAGATAACTAATGTGAGTTTTAGATTTTGATGGTGGCTTTTCAAATTTTGATTTCCCCAGGGATGATGATGTTTTGTTTGTGTGTGAAGGAGAGCCATTTATTGGTAAGTGACTTCCTTAAAAGCCAGTTTTATCTGCCAAAATAATAATTAAAAAAAAGGATGGAATGGCAGTTATTTTAAATGAGGCCCTTAAGCTTAAACTTTAAAAATGATCTGATGGCTGTATTCAGATCTTCACAATCTTTGTTTCTGCACTGGATATGTGTTACATGTTAAAGTAAATTTTTTCCTATATGATCATATTTTAGTATAGATGCCTTGTCTTTTACATGGCTTTAAAGTGCTCTCGAGGTGTATGTATTCATTAACTTTAACATGGTAAAGTAGTTTTGATTTTAGAAATAATTGTTTTGTTTCAAAATTTTTTCTCTGCTAGTAAATGTCAAAATTTTTCTAAGTGTTATATCATGTATTTGTGAGTAAATACTGCTTGCATAAGTAGTGTTTAACAATATTTCACAGTGATCAAATCAGTCAAAAAATGATACCAACCATATACACACAGGTGTGCACATACACTATCCTTTGATTTGGAAAAAAGCTTATAGTTTTATATCTTAAAAGGCATAAAGTAAGATAAAGTATTTGATTTCTTTCGCTCCCTACAGTCAACACTGAATATTTAAGTATTTTTAAAGCATCATACTAATTGCATTTGGTGAGTGGAAGTAGTTTTCAGGATTGTTGCACAGGCAGTTGCCAACTTAGAAGTGCAAACTCTTGTCTGTCTCTACCTTAAAACTGTGAGCAAGAACTTCTCATCTTCTTTTATCCATTGGCCTAACAGTGATTGGCAGGCAGTGGTCTTTTTTTGTTTTTTTGAGACAGAGTTTTGCTCTTGTTACCCAGGCTGGAGTGCAATGGCGCAATCTCAGCTCACCGCAACCTCCGCCTCTTGGGTTCAGGCAATTCTCCTGCCTCAGCCTCCTGAGTAGCTGGAATTACAGGCACACGCCACCGTGCCCAGCTAGTTTTTTGTATTTTTAGTAGAGACAGGGTTTCACCATGTTGACCAGGATGGTCTTGATCTCTTGACCTCGTGATCCACCCGCCTCGACCTCCCAAAATGCTGGAATTACACGCGTGAGCCACTGCGCCCCGCCGGCAGTGGTGTCTTAATTGGTCCACTGCATACAAACAGAATAAAAAGTGATCAATTAAGATTTTAGTTTATTGTTATTAACTCATGGATTTTAAAATATTTGTTATGTTTTCATCCTCTGCATTTATTGATGTTCAGATTATTTTAACTTTTGGCCACTGGAAATCTCTTCACAGCAACCCTGTTGGATTTTGTGGCTTGCTTATTATCTGGAATAAAAGGTGCTCATCTTAACCTTTTCCTGTCCCAGACCTGGATCAACATTTTTCCAACAATCCTTGATTTCTTTTAGTGGGAAGTGTCATTCTAAGACAAATCTGGGTGCTGGCGAGGCTCTTTGCTATTGGATCCATCATTGTCGCTATGCCTTTGGTGGACAGAATTGAAAATATGTAGGTAGAGATAAAATTTATATATAATATATATTATAGGTTATAAAGTTTATATGCCATATATAACAGAATATGGATACTAATACTTAAAGTTTATATTTAGGAATATAAGGGTTTTACTTACTCTCTTTTATCTTACATCTGTGTCTCCTTTCTTATCAATAATCCTGACTTTCAGGGACATAGGTACTAATAGACTTATAAAGTCACATACTCATTTACTTTGCCCCTCACAGAACACACCTTAAAGTGTCAGAGTAACAAACCTAATGATTACTAAAAAGTTAAATGTTTTTCATATGCTAAATCCTTTCTCCCCTTACTTAAAAATAAGTGTGTTGTTTCTGCATTGTCAGAACATATAGCCATTGCATATTACACGTCTCCCTTAATACCCTCATTTAATTTTACTTCAAGTGTACACTTACCTCCAGTCCTTTTGTTATGTTGCTGGGGGTTATCTGAAACTTGTTCTCTAGTAGATTTCTCTCCAAGAAACTATGAGAATAATATTCTCTGACATCTTCCAATGGCAAGATACCATTGCCATCCGTCATCTTTATATAATTTTGATATAACAGTATATGTCAAAGCTTATCTAATTATAAACTTTAGTATGTGTAGTTTATGTTAATTATATCTCAGCAAAGCTATTGAAAAATCCTTGGTTCATATTATTTTTCTTTGAATGTCTTAAATTTGTTACTGCATTTTATTCTGCTTTGAAGTGTTGGTCTCAAAAAATCTGATCTTTTTTATGTGATTATTTTCCATAGATCACCCAAAGGATATTTTTCTTTCTTTAAAGTACATTAATTTTAGTAGAATATTTCTTGGTGTTCTGAGTTGTTTCGCATTGATTTTCTTAGTATGTGATGGATCCTTTCAATATATAGTTTCAAGTGTATATATTTTTAAATTTTCAGTGACGTTTTCTTGAAGTTTACATATTTTTTTGTTCACTTTGATTTGTTTTCCTTCTTTCAGCACTTTATTGTATGTATGGTGGATCTTTTACACTTGTTTTTTACATTTGAAACTTTTACCTTTCTTTTTATTTTTTATTTTATTTAATTTATTTTTTTGAGACAGGGCCTCACTTCATCACCTGGGCTGTGGTGCAGTGACGTGATCTTGGCTCACTATAGCTTCAAACTCCTGGGCTCAAGTGATTCTCCTGCCTCACGCCCCACAAGCAGCTGGGACTACAGATGTGTGCCACCATGCCCAGCTATTTTTTTTGCATTTTTTGTAGAGATGAGGTTTTGCCATGTTGCCCAGGCTGGTCTCGAACTCCTGAGCTCAAGTAATCCCCCTGCCTCAGCCTCCCAAAGGATTACAGGCATGAGCCACCGTGTCTGGCCATTTCCTTTTAATTTTTCAAGCTATTCTCTTTTTTACCTTTCCTTTCCCTTAAGTCATTGTCTATTATGTTTAATCACTCTTGTATTTCTTTTGCTTTAATCTTTGTTTTTAAAATGGTTTTTCATTTATTTCTAATTCTCTCCTGAGTTCTTACTATTCATTTCTGAATTTTTAAATTTTGGTTTATATTGTTATTTTATACGTTGTATAAACTTCTTTTAGCATGTTTTGGAATATTAGATTATAATTTTTATCTATTTTGTGGGTATTTCTGGAATGTTTTCATTATCTGTAAGGACATTATTATTTTAACACCTTTGTATGACATTTGATCAATCCCTTTGTATTGCTTATTTTTATGTGACATTAGTTTTTCTTAACTTGAAAAGAGGGCTGACTTAGGGCAGTTTTTCTAATTTCATGGCTTTAGAGTTCCCTTTTCTGTTGTTTTTGGGAAGTGTTAAAAAATATAGAACTCATTTTCTGATATATTCTGGTCTTTTAGACCTCTTAACTTTCGTCTGGACTCTTTTTTTTTGGTCTCTGTTGTCTTTGTTGCATTTGACTTGGATTATTTTCCCAGCATCTTATTGGTATGGAACTTTGTCCTAAGAAGGGAGTTTCAGCCATGTGGTTTTGAGAGTTTATTTTTAGCCTTATGAGATCTTATTGCAAACTACTTGCATCACCCATGTTTGGGGTAATCTCAATCTGCTGTTCTCAGCTAGACTTACTAAGCAATGAAGTCAGTATCCATGGATGGCTTTGACATTCGTGGATTCATCATATACTCTGTTGCTTCTCTCTGCTTTTTCTTTCACAGGCGCTGAAAGCATGCTGCTCTTATAGCTGTTGGTATTGGTGGGACTACCTTATCACCTAGTGTTGTTTTAGATGCAGTCTATGGGTTTGGGTATTGCTGTCCTAGTAGCTCTGGTATGCTTTTATTATGTGTGTATTCAGTTTAAAAAATTATGCCATTGCCATCTTCCCAGAATCCTCAAGCTTAATATTTTTATTTTCTACATATCATCTCCAGATCCTCAGACAGATTCTAAGCCACCTGAAGGATTGTCAGGATTCCACACAGATTGGCTAACATTAAATGTTGGAGGGCGGTACTTCACAACTACACGGTAGGTGTGTGTGTGTGTGTGTGTAAGACAATGCAGAAGGAACACTGTGCACCATTTGTTCTTCAATTTGCTGATTTCCTTAAAGTATATTCAGATGCTGCTTAAATATACTATGTGATCTGAAGCCATTTTTTATAACTTTTTTTGAAGAAAAAAGTAAAAACATGGTTCATTCCAGAGAAGGCATAAAAGGCATCACTTCAGTGTTTTAGAACATGCTTTTCAGATGTTGAGTAATAAACACACAATAAAAGGAAAAACACTACTGAAATTTGTAGAGACTACAACTGCTTTTGTTAAAGGGCAGAAAAATACAAGTTTGGCAGATCAAGAATATTATTATGTAGTAGCTTGCTAACAAGATAGACAAGTAATTAAATCAAAGGAAAATAAAACAATATTTAAATCAAAGGAAGTACCCAATTAGAAGGGATCTGATAAATGGCAACTTACTGCACGTTTTTGTTCCCCAGCGTTACTCCTACCAGGTTGTAGCATGCATCTTTTTGAGAGAGCAGCTGGGATCGAGTATACTCTTGACTTAAATATGTTTGTTTATAAAGACAAATGGAGAAATCAATTTTTTTCCCTGAATTCTTAGGAGCACTTTAGTGAATAAAGAACCTGACAGTATGCTGGCCCACATGTTTAAGGACAAAGGTGAGTGTAACACACAGTTTTCACATTCTGCGTTACCTGTTTTGTATCTGTACTGACTTTATAACTTCTAACCTAATAATCTTAGTTTTAAGAGTAAAAACTTACTGGTATATTAAGCAAATTATTCCTCATACATTTCTGACTTTATTTTTTGTTTATGGGGGACTTTCTTTATTATATGGTAACACAGGTGTCTGGGGAAATAAGCAAGATCATAGAGGAGCTTTCCTAATTGACCGAAGTCCTGAGTACTTTGAACCTATTTTGAACTACTTGCGTCATGGACAGCTAATTGTAAATGATGGCATTAACTTACTGGGTGAGTTTATGAAGACTTCCAATATAATTATCTAACTACTCACATTTTTGTAAATTTAAGATTTTAATTTTGTTTCAGTCAGTATATTTCCATAATTTTTTTTTCTATTTTTTAAACTAAATGTTTTCACATGTATATGAGTGTATATAGGTGTAGAAATAGATTTAGCACAGGTAGTCCTTCAGGTAGGTAGTCTTTGTACATATGGATAAATATCTAAGCCATACACTTCAACTTTATATTCTAAATTGCTTTAGATTCTATCACAAGTGACTTGAAAGGATTTTGTTGTCTCCTTTTTTAAGAATTGAATTGTGAATGTAACTTGGCTCCAAGTTATGGTTATTCTCCACATTATGTGAGAACTAGAGTAGTCAAGAGGGGAAATCATGCTTTGCAATGATAAATCTGGATTCGAGTCTTGACTCTACAACTTGCTAACTTGGGGAAACTAACTGGGGGAAAATTTCTCTGAGTCATATTGGAAAAATGAATGTTAAAAGCACTCTGGTCCCTAACAACATCACAAGATTTTTGTGAAGGTTCATAGAGGGGATGTAGACAAAGCCCCTATCAAACACTGGTTGCACATTTGGAAGCAAACAGGCCTCCAAGTGACTGAAGTTGATCTGATACTAGTACTTGAGGAATGGTAGGCAGTTGGCAATCTTGAAGTTACACGCCTGCCAGCTTCAGCAGATCACTGCCATGTCGGAACATGGACAGATGCAGAGTGCCAGAACCTTGGTTTTTAAAGAAAACCTGGGTATCTAAAATTTTATGTGAAATATTTTTATTTTGAAAACATGACATGCTGAACACATCAGAATCAGCCTGAGGACTACTAGCTTACAGTTTCTGTAGTGAAATACAAAGTACCCACTAACTTTTAGTGTTGCTGTATCAAACTTTATATTTTCTTTAAAATATACCTATTGCCAAAAAAAGAAATGACACTATTTGACCCTTTTGGCTAGTTCTATAACTTTATAGCTAAATTCTGGTTGCTTTCTATTTCTCCCATTTTAGTTTTTCCTCAAATTATTGATAGCATTTTATCTTGAACTTATCTAGAAAATAATGTTAGAAATATATATATCCATGCTGTGTCACACATCTGCAAACCAAGCTATTACCAAGATTTGCTAGTTTTTTCTTTTTCATGTTTTATTTGTTCTTTTATTTGTTCAAGTGTTCAAAAAGCAGAGTTCTCTGCTGGATCCATTTTATAAAGAATTGTTTTTAGTTAGTACAGTTTCCATCCAAACTCTACATTGCCTACAGGTTGCCTCAAGTAATTATATGGTTTAAAACAATGTACAGTAATTTCACAACACCAAAAGGTAGTGAGTAGCAGAGCTAGCATCCAGATTTTACTTGTGCTAATAGTAAAATATACTAAATATTTCTTCCTTTCTTTTATCTGCTGTTCTTCATGTGTGTCTTTTTTATTTCTTTTCTTTTCTTTTTTTTGAGTCGGAGTCTCACTCTGTCACCTAGACTGGAGTGCGGGGGTGTGATCTCAGCTCACTGCAACCTTTGCCGCCTGGGTTCAAGTGATTCTCCTGCCTCAGCCTCCCTTGTAGCTGGGATTACAGGCATGCACCACCATGCCCAGCTAATATTTGTATTTTTTTTAGTGGAGATGGGGTTTCACTATGTTGGCTGGGCTGGTCTCGAGGTATCCTGATCTCAAGTTATCTGCCCGCCTCAGCCTCTGAAAGTGCTGGGATTTCAGGTGTGAGCCACAGTACCCGGCCGGTCTTTGGTATTTATAAGGCTTCTCTGGAAGTTTTAAAGGTTTAATTCTAAACCTAGAATTAGAAACATATTAGATCTTAGCAAATTGAGAGCGTGGCCCACAAGAACCTTTTTTATAATATGTTGGTTTCCACCAGGGATATTTATCTTAGCGTGCCGGCCCCTTCAGGAAGAATCCAAAGATTATGCCACTCTGACTGGACTGGATTCCTCCTGAAGGGGAAATCTGGACTGTGTATGCCAAAGTGGCAACCTGATGCTATACCTTGGATGACTTTTGTTTTGCAATTGGATTATTGACCATAGAGTTTGGTTTCCATGGAAAAGATTGTATTATTCTTCCCAAATAACTGTGGTTTTCTGTATCTAGTTACCCTTATTAGCTTGTAAGTGTTTGAAGGGAGGGATTATGTCTGATACTTTCTTTGTAATTCCAGAGTTCTAAGTAGTTTTTTACCAGGTAGACAGCCAACTGAATGATTGAGGTTTTCTCATTTGAAAGATAATGGAACCCAAATGTATTCCCATACATTCTGATGTTTATTAACAGATTAGAATAAGTAAAAATAGGAAGTCATTTAAAGGATGTACTTTTTTTTTTACCAAGTTAAAGTAAATGATAGATAAAACCCTTTTTATACTTACAAATATTTTTAAATTTTATTCTGCTGTAAGAAAGATTTCTGAATTATACTTTTGACATTTTTGTGAAGCCATCATTTTCTGATTCAGTATGTAAAAGATACTTGTGGCAAACCTGTTCAGATCTAAAACGTCAATTAAATGTTAAGATTATGTGAAATAATCGTATTTTATTACTTTCACAATGAATATAATACATTCACTAAATTAGTGTTTCAGAATCATTTTTGTTGTGATAGGTGTGTTAGAAGAAGCAAGATTTTTTGGTATTGACTCATTGATTGAACACCTAGAAGTGGCAATAAAGGTAAGCCTGGTTTTACATTAGCCACTTATTAAATTTATTGTAGCTGTCTCCCAAAAGACTCTACTAATTTCTTGATATCTTTTCAAGAATTCTCAACCACCAGAGGATCATTCACCAATATCCCGAAAGGAATTTGTCCGATTTTTGCTAGCAACTCCAACCAAGTCAGAACTGCGATGCCAGGTAATTAAAGCAGACTTTTCTGTGAATTATTTCTGTCAGCAAATCTGTAAATACAATTTTACATTCCTCTAATGTTTTGGATTTTCTCTTTTTGCTTCATTTTTATGTGCAAGATATAATTTAATTATGGGTCATAGCATTGATTTATTCTGAAATGGTTAGCCAAAAAGAGATGCAATAATAACTTTTTTTATTGTCTAATTATATCACATGTAGCAGTTTGTGAATCATGCATGGAAACTGCAGCAGTTTTTTAAAAGTCAGTATTTGTACATTTGCAATGTATGGGCTGATCAGTGGCAAGTACTTTTACTTAATGTGTACTGCAGCATTTCAGATTTTTAAAGACCACGGTACTCATTTCTGCCTAATAAACTGTCTTGATTTATTGAATTAATAAAATAATTTAAATATAATTAGGTTTAACTAAACACTTACTAGCAGATAGAGGACTAACAGGGATCCTTGTTTAGAAACTTCTACAGATAAATGACTTACAGCCAGGCTATACTCTAATATACTTAGAGTTTCTTTTATGAGGAACCTGTTTAATGACACTTCTTTTATGTATCTAAATTCCATTTTGAGAATGTTTTATAATAAACTCCAAGTGACTGAACTGCCAATTGCTTCTAAAAACAATTTGGTGGTTAGCTATAGTAATTAAATTTAATACAGACGATTTAATTATAGTGACAATATGTGCTTTTTTATTTCAGGGTTTGAACTTCAGTGGTGCTGATCTATCTCGTTTGGACCTTCGATACATTAACTTCAAAATGGCCAATTTAAGTCGCTGTAATCTTGCACATGCAAATCTTTGCTGTGCAAATCTTGAACGAGCTGATCTCTCTGGATCAGTGCTTGACGTAAGTATCATTTTAGGCTACAGGAGAAAATTAAATTTTTAGTCTATTGAACGGTCTCAAAGAGCCTTTGAGACAGGAATTATAACTATCTTTTACTGGAGCTTTTATTTGAAAACAGATAATTTATTATGTCTGAAAGTGAAATGGATTTGGTTTTGCAAGTTTGATATCCTTTCTTAAACATAGACCTGAAAGGTTTAGCAACTAATAAGAAATTAAATCTTGGAATTAGTTCCTGATCTCCTGGATATACTGTACTTTATTTATCAGGACTCATATTTTCAGCAAATTATAAAGGTAAAGCTGAAAGGAAACTTGAAATCTATTCAACCTCATTTCTGGAATGGGAAAATGTTATTGCTCAAGAAGAATTTGACAGAGATATTTTGAAATAAACATGGTATCCATCAGTCTGGAAGTTAACATCTCAGTGGCCTTTTCCCTCTCTCTACATATATACGTATTTATATATATACATATATATACATACCATATATATACACATATGTATGTATTTATAACAATTATCTGTGTTTATTTGAAGTTAGAGGATATATGCAGACCAACAATGAAATCTATTAACTTTTAACAACTGTAAGTTCCTTACCACCAAGGCCCATGTCTGTATGTCTTTTGAATTAATAGCATCTTACTTTGGCAGTCATTTATTGAATTATTATAATTTGGGTTTACTCATTAGCTGCAGCTTATTTCTCCATGAGGCTTTCTATCAGAGCTAGTAACAAAAACTACCAAATACAAATTTAGGTATTTTCACTGTCCTTATTCTGTCTTATCATGAAGAGTCAGGTTGGTAGCAAAATAGGAAAAAGATTAACATCATCAAAAAAAAAGTTTGAAGGACCTAGTCTTTAAATAGAGGCAGCTTCATTTATGTTAAGGACAAAGAAAAAGATTTTTGTCAAAAACTCTTTTGAGATAAGTGAACATAATTTAAAACTCTTGGCTGGGTGCGGTGGCTCACGCCTATAATCCCAGCACTTTGGGAGGCTAAGGCAGACAGATGACTTGAGGTTAGGAGTTCAAGACCAGCCTGGCCAACATGGTGAAACCCTGTCTCTGCTAAAAATACTATATAATTATTGTATTTTACAATACACCAGGCATGGTAGTGCACACCTGTAATCCCAGCTACTCGCAAGGCTGAGGCACGAGAACCACTTCAACTTGGGAGGTGGAGTTGCAGTGAGCCGAGATAGCACCACTGCACTCCATAATGGGTGACGGAGTGAGACTTTGTCTCAACAGAACAAATCAAAACAAAAAAATAAACTCTTAAAACATATATTTTCTGCCATTTTACTCTCTGTTCTGCATTATGCATTGTGATTTGGCTGCTCAGGGTTGATAATGTTGCAATGGCTGGTGCAGAAAGACCCAACAAGCATTCTGTTAGTGTTTTGTAGCTAAATAATGTCTTTAAATGCTGGCATTTGTATTCTGACTTCTGAGTTGAAGGCAGTAGGATCATCTTTGGATATCAAGAATTTCACTTAGAACATCAAGATTCCTACAGTAATAAGAGAAAATTCACATCCCTAACAAGTTTATGCCTTCCTTACTCATACATTTTGACTGTTTCATTGACATGCATAGGAGTGTTTATAAAAATAGAGATAGAGATGTCATAGTTCTGACTCTCCCAACTTTTTTATCTAAACCATTATGTTTCATGTAAAATGAACATGCTGTTGTTAATTTGCATTTGCTTTTTAAAAAACAGTTGTTTAAAAATTTTTTTTTAATGTTTCCAGTTCTTACTGGGTTTAATTAGAAAAGCCTTTATTGTAAACAAAATAATTATGAGTGTATTGAGTCGAGCCCTTTCCCTTTTTCTATTTTTTTCTTTTACTGTTTGAGCTAATTTGAACAAAATTATGAACCTCATAACCAGGACTTTTCTTTTTTCTTTGCAGTGTGCAAATCTCCAGGGAGTCAAAATGCTCTGTTCTAATGCAGAAGGAGCATCCCTGAAACTGTGTAATTTTGAGGATCCTTCTGGTCTTAAAGCCAATTTAGAAGGTGAGATCCTATCTGTAAATAGCTATTTATGGAGAAAGCAGACCATAAAGGAAAAAGCCCTGGAAAGTAATTGTTATGGGTGAAACAGGATAGCAATAGGGGATATGTTTCTTCTGTCATCATATTTGGAGAACTTCCAAAGAAGTAGATACCTTCTTTTTTTCTCAATCAAATGCTAATCTAAACTGAGGACTTAGAAGAAATAAAGCCTCGAAAATTAAGATTTTAGTTGGAAAATTAAATATCAACATCTTAAACTTTCAAATGTAATATAATGTTCTTATACTGGCCAAAAGGAAAAATTTCTTATGCATAAAGCCAGGGAGTTTTAAAAAATCGTTTTTAGATTTAATATATTGTTTCTTAGTTTGTTATTGTTTTGTTATATCTGTGACTGACCACTTTGTTTACTTGTATGTTTTAGGAGACTACTTAACTCCCTCATCATAAACCTGTAGAGGCACAGTATGAAAGTGTTAACTATCATAAAACAGAACGAAGTTTCTTCCTTTAAAAGTACTGATGAAAGCATTCTTTCATCAGTGAACTCTTTATATATATGTTTGTTGAGAGACAAGATTTTAGATTCATTTCCAAAAGTTAAAGGAGGCTGTCATTATTCACCCCATTAAGTCATCTTGCAGTTTTATTGAAGTGGATAACTATATTTTTAAGTTAAGCTACTCCCAGAATGTGTTCACTGTAGGTGCTAATCTGAAAGGTGTGGATATGGAAGGAAGTCAGATGACAGGAATTAACCTGAGAGTGGCTACCTTAAAAAATGCAAAATTGAAGAACTGTAACCTCAGAGGAGCAACACTGGCAGGAACTGATTTAGAGGTGAGTTCACCAACATTTTAAGAGTTTTTATTACTCTAGACTTAATAAGTATTTCATGCAAAATTTATTGAAATCAAAACAAAGTAGTTGGCTGGTAAAACTGCCAGGTAACATGCCAACACAACTGGAGGGATATTTTCCTTTGATTTGTGTGTTTACACAAATAAGAATTCCAGAGCAAGATTCACTTACCTAAGTCATAGATGCCACTTGTGGATTGGAAGACTCACCTGACATTCAGTCTAAGTTGATTTAATTTCTCTCCTTTTCCTGAGTTTTTCTTAAGTAAATAAGTTTGATAGATGCATTATTAATCTAATATATTGCATTTTCCATAAAAAATAATTCTGAACAGAATTAAATGGGCTAGATTACTTCTTAAACTACCTAAGAAATTTAAATGATACCCAGGTTTGAAATCAGGTCCAGGAAAAGTCTATTTAACATTGGAGCCGTATGTTTTTTGGTTTTCAGCTTGAGACTATAATTTTGCCAACTCATCTTTTTCATAAGAATTGTATTTGTATGTCTTCTTAATCTCTCAGTTTAGCTACCAGACTTGATAGCTGTTGATAGGTCTACACCAGCACCATCCAGTAGCACTTAGTGCAGGAGGGACACGTTCTATATCTGTGCTGTTCAGTATAGTAGCTACTAGCCATAGATAGCTGTTGAGCACTTGAGATGTGGCTAGTGTAGATGAGAAATTTATTTTTAAATTTTATTTAATTGTAATTCATTTAAATTTAAGTAGCCACATGTGGCTGGTAGCTATGAAATCCGGCATAAATTGCATTGCAGAGAACAGGGTTTCAAATTTTAGCTTGCTGTTAATTTTTTTTCTTAATGCTTTTGCCTAGATCTCTTGATAGCTCTCAGTAGCAGAGGAGCAGGCCTCTTTCAACTTGAAGGCAAAAAGAATTGACCCAAGATTATAATCCTATCACAAGCACAATTATTTATTGTTTGTTACATTACTTCCATCTAAGATTATATTTTTTTTCCTAGGTTTTAGTTACTGTGTAGTCAGTGTGGCTTAGCAGCAAAAACCTCCCTCTGTCTGATTGCAAAGACTGATAAGACTGACTATTGAGGGGAGAGCTGCTGATATCTGTTCTCCTAACAGGTTATGTTTAGTCACCCTTCTCTCTAACCATTCTCCCCCTATCATATCCAGGGACTTAACTAGAATCTCTATCTTATCTATCAGTCTGTGATCTCAAGAGAAATTAAGAGCTGGGCACAGTGGCTCACGCCTGTAATCCCAGCACTTTAGGAGGCGGGCAGATCACCTGAGGTTGGGAGTTCGAGACCAGCCTGACCAACATGGTGAAACCCCCGTCTCTACTAAAAATACAAAAATTTATCGGGGCCTGGTGGCACATGCCTGTAATCCCATCTACTCTGCAGGCTGAGGCAGGAGAATCTATTGAACCTGGAAGGAGGAGGTTTCATTGAACCGAGGTAGCACCATTGCACTCCATCCTGGCAACAAGAGCAAAATTCCATCTCAAAAAGAAATTAAAAAACAGCTTCAAACTGTGGTAGTTACACTACTCTGTACATCTACCAAAACTCATTGTATTATATGGGGCTTTAAAAAGAAGGGTAGTTCCTTGCTATGAAAATACTAGGTCTAGGGAATGGAAAAATCTGTTATGCAATTTGATTAAGTAAAATCCCATCTCATGCCTTTGTTGTTGCTGCTGTTGTTCTTGGATCACAGTAAAATTATTTCGATAATCTTTATTACCTTGGGGCTGGGTGCAGTGGCTCACACCTTGTAGTCTCAGCACTTTGGGAGGCCAAGGAGGGCAGATCACTTGAGGTCAGGAGTGTGAGACCAGCCTGTCCAGCATGGTGAAATTTTGTCTCTACTAAAAATACAAAATATTAGTCAGGCGTGGTGGCGAGCACCTGTAATCCCAGCTTACTCAGGAGGCTGAGGCAGGAAAATTGCTTGTCCTGAGAGGTGGAGGCTGCAGTGAGCCAAGATTGTGCCACTGCATACCAGCCTGGGCAACAAGAATGAAACTCCTCTAAAAAAAGAAATTGTGTGTGTGTGTGTGTGTGTGTGTGTGTTACTATGTTAGAATCCATTCTGTATTTTTTTTTTTTTTTTGAGACGGAGTTTTGCTCGTTACCCAGACTGGAGTGCAATGGTGCGATCTTGGCTCACCACAACCTCCGCCTCCTGGGTTCAGGCAATTCTCCTGTCTCAGCCTCCTGAGTAGCTGGGATTACAGGCACGCACCACCATGCCCAGCTAATTTTTTGTATCTTTAGTAGAGACTGAGTTTCACCATGTTGACCTGGATCGTCTCGATCTTTTGACCTCGTGATCCACCCGCCTCAGCTTCCCAAAGTGAGGGAAGATTACAGGCTTGAGCCACCGCACCCGGCCCCCCATTCTGTTATTTAAATCAATGGTCCCCAACCTTTTTGGCACCAGGGACCAGTTTCGTGGAAGACAGTTTTTCCACAGACCAGGGTGGGGGAGTAGTTTCGGAATGATTCAGGTGCATTACATTTATTGTGCACTTTATTTCTACTAGTATTACATTGTAATACATAATGAAATAATTATATAACTCACCATAATGTAGAATTAGTGGGAGCCTTGAGCTTGTTTTCTTGCAACTAGACAGTCCCATCTGGGGGTGATGGATAGTGACAGATCATCAGACATTAGATTCTCATAAGGAGTGTGCAGCCTAGATCCCTGGCATGCACAGTTCACAACAGGGTTCACTCTCCTATGCAAATTTAATTAATGCCTTGATCATCCAACAGGAGGTGGAGCTCAGGCTTCAACTTGAGCCAAAAGGGGAGTGGCTTTAAGTATAAATGAAGCTTCATCTACTGCTGACCTCCTTGCTATGTGGCCTGATTCTTAATAGGCCATGGACCTGTATGGGTGTGTGGCCCAGGGGTTGGGGACCCCTGTTTTCAATATCTCATTAGAAAATATGCAAGCATAAGTAACATGCTTCCTTGTTAACCTTTGTTTATACATATTTATGGTGATGAGCCTGAACATTAACTAGAAGTAACAAATACAGATAGAAGAACATCTTACTTTAGGGTGGTGTATCATCAGAAGTTTTCCGGAAATTAACTGAGTTTTATTGTATAGGAACATTTTCCTAATATGCCCCAGAAATCGTTTTGAGAGGAAACAGATAAGGCCTGAAATCTCCACATGAATTACATGAGTATTGTTTTCATCTTGCAGAATTGTGATCTGTCTGGCTGTGATCTTCAAGAAGCCAACCTGAGAGGGTCCAACGTGAAGGGAGCTATATTTGAAGAGATGCTGACACCATTACACATGTCACAAAGTGTCAGATGAGAATTTTAGGGGCTGGAGGAAGATGTACAAGATGAAAATGTTTTCCTTACCACTTTTCTTTCTCCACCCACTCAGTTGTCTAGAAGAAATAACACTGTAAGGAAATTTAAAAAAACATTTAGAGGATTATGCTTGTTCTCAGCGGTGCATAAGGGAAAAAATTGACTTTTTTTCCATATTCTGATTTTTAACAGAAAAGCACTCATTTAATAGATGTAGGGAAACTAGATATTGCTGCCTTTTGAACGGGGTAGGGGATTTTACCTGGTTTTATGACCGGGAATAGTATCTATTATATTTGCTTTTAAATAGGCATGATGTGGAAATACCATCTTGGTTTGAGATGCATTTGAGGATTTTAATTTATGGAAAGCACAACATATGCAATTATATTTATTGAATACCTAGATGCAGTATGGATATTTAAATTGTTAAAACTTGATGAAAACTTTGAAAAGGTTGTTCAGGTTTATAAATAGCTTTAGTGACGCCTTCCCTCTTTAAATACCTGTCACACCATATGAATATGGTGAGATCAGACTCCCTAAGACTTTTCAGGTTCATTTTTATAATGTTTACTTTTAAGAACAAAACAGTAGCTAAATTAAAGTAATATCCAGTTCTTACTGATTGAGACAGAGTGGAAAGAAAGACTTCGTTGTACATCACTCATTCCAAAGGTACAGTGGAACTCCAGATGGAGGAAGAACTTACCTATCACTACAACACTTAAAAATAAGCATTTCTCGGAATTTCATTCTAGGCAGATTCCACTCAACACCACCAGACCAAGCAATTCTGTCTATTTACACTGTTAGCCTAGTTTTCTCATACAGTCAACACAAACATAAGAAGATACTTCAAAACCAAAAAACCAAGGTGCATCATTAATATTCAATTCAAATACCAAATAGTTTACTTAGGGCCAGCTTAGAAACAGACACTAAATCCAGATCTACTGTAATCAAAGCGTATACAATATGAATGAATAATGGTAGAGTTGCCTGTTAAAAGGCAATCTGATATAATTGCAGCTAGAACCCTATCGTGAGGAATGAGGAATTTTAAACAGACATTTGATTATAGCCACCAGAAAATACATAAAAATAAAGGCATTTGGCTGGTCCAAGATGTAACCATCAGTCAGCACCTGTGATTCTTTAACTTACTTTATTTTTAATTTTTTAAAACAAATGTTAGCCCAATTTTCTTGAGTCATTATCTCTCTGCAGTAGCAGCAGAGGAAGGGCCTGTACCTCCCTACCAATGACCTGGTGTCCTTACGTCTACCCCAAGAGCAGGGATATTAGCTGTGTCCAAATGGGTTCTGAATTCTACAGACTCATCAACATGAGGCAAGGAATCATTGAAAACCACTTTTGTCTCCTTTGGGAGAATGACATATCTTTAGTATTTACGTAGCTTATTCTTCTATATCTACATATGCAAAGCTTTCCTTAACAGTAAAGGGTACATATGCATAGTGGGAGGAGATCAGACCTTTACAAGTGAAGGAAAGCAACTTCAGAAATGAATTATTTTCTTTGCTTTATTATTTTTACCAAGACAGAGAAGTATTGTATTGAGAGATAATCTATTTTCATAATCAATATGTGCCTAAATTATATTTAAATCATTTCACTCTGTACTATATTTTCAGGAATTATAGAATGTGTTATTCATTCACTTAAAGGTACCTCCATAGAAATAACCTAAAACTGCAGAAGGATCTGAAGGATCTAAACATAGTGTGCTTAGAAACTGCAGATTTTAGATTTAATGTATACTGCATTAATAAATGATATAAAGTGTTGAAAAGGAGTTTCTTCTCTTGCTTTTGAAAATCATCACTTTCTATATTTTGCTTACATTTCTTCAATATGTGTTGACAACCAGCCCTGTGGTTCTGGGTAACAAAGGAAATACAGTATAACTTAATATGTTATGGATTAGTCTTTTTGAAAGTACCATTAAATTTATTTCTTTAAACATGATTATTTTTATCATTCTTTTAAAAATACACCATCCTAACATAAACCTTATGAATTCTGAACAAAAGACTGCCTCCCCAGGAATTCATTTGTTTGTGTTAAATTGATCACTCTTCAGGTGATGAATATTACCAGTTAGCTTTATTAGACTGGATAAATAGTATGCCCCCAAAGCATTTTTTGCCTGATAACTAGGATAGAGAATTTTAAGGAAGGAGGAAACTGTCAAAATAGTAAAACTTCCATTAACCCTAGTGATGAAACATGTCTGTACACATAGGTAAAAATACAGTTGTTGGGATGACAGGGAAAAGGTTTTAAATCTAAACTGAACTAGCTGGATTATCTGCATTAACAAAATTTGGTACTCAAGTAACTGTCTAAGCAATACTATCTATTGTAGTCTAGTTCTTTCAACTACAGCCTCAAGGAAATTTTAGTAGAAAACCTTATAAATTCAATATTCTTATGAAGAGTTCAATTATAAATCCAACTTGGAATATTTTCTCATTTTATGACTCTTATGTGTACTGTAAATCTGGCCTATATCATCTTTAATATATGAAAAAAAACTTAGAATTGCATTAAGTCCCCAAGGAAGAAGTGCCTTTAAAATTAAAAGGTTCCTTACTACAAAGAAAAGTAGTTACATTATTTCAGTATAAAGCACCTTATCCAAGGATTAATTCTCTGAAACCCTTTCACAACCTGATTAGACATGTCAGCAGGAATTAACCTTGAGTGCTTCCTGCTGAGATTGTACATTAGGGCAAGAAAAGATTTTCCATTTCTGTTATTTCAGTGAGATTATGAAATCACCATAATAATTTTTAGGTGTTTTGATATTGATGAAGCAGTTTCTTTCAAATTTAGAAAAAATATGAAAACTATAAAATCTAATTATTTAAACCCAATTATATTTAACTTTTTGGTAAATTGACCTAACCATAAAATCCTTAAATGGTTTAAAGTTTGTCATTCAATATAAAAAACTCATTAATTGCATAGTTGTTTGATAACCTATTTGGTGCTATAGAAAGTAAGACAAAACGAAGTTGACTCTTGCCTTGAGATCTGCGTGACCTAAGACAATGGTAACAGAGACTTTAATGACATACAGCATATTTAATGAATTCATAGACCATGTTTGTGATGCTTAATAACGTCAACTTGGACTGAAGCATGCAAAGTATTGATTCTGGGTGTGTCTGTGAGAGAGTTGCCAAAGGAGATTAACATTTGAGTCAGTGGGCTGGGGAAGGCAGACCCACCCTTAATCTGAGTAGGTACCATCTAATCAGGTGCCAGCAAATATAAAGCAGGCAGAAAAACATGAAAAGGCTAGACTGGCCTAGCCTCCCAGCCTACGTATTTCTCCTGTGCTGGATGCTTCCTGCCCTTGAACATCAGACTCCAGGTTCTTCAGCTTTGGGATTCAGACTGGCTTTCCATGCTTCTCAGCTTGGAGATGGCCTACTGTAGGACCTTGTGATCATGTGAGTTAATACTTAAACCCCACTATGTGTGTGTATGATATATATATATATATATCATAGAGAGACAGAGAGAGATCAGTTCTGTCCCTCTAGAGAACACTAATACAATGTTGTTGTGTTCATCTTAATAATTTCAAAGCACTTGTCAAAAATTTAATGCTAACTGATAGAAATAACCTACAAGAAATCTAATGAGGCCTACTTACCCAGGGATAAGTGATTCACCTGACAATAGGTGTCATAAGTCTTAACTCTCATTTTATTAGTCCTATCCAGAGACCACATTTTCTGTTTTAGCAATACTTAGGTGCACATCTCAGCAAACACAAATCAATTGGACAATTTAAACTAGCACTATCCAACCATAATGAACTCTTGTTGAAAAATAGTCTGTCCCTAGTTGTATATTGTAGTGAGAAGAGATTCCAATCTTCATGTCAGAATGGCACCTATATGAGTCAAAATGTCTAAATGAAATAATTTACATGGAGCAAAGTCAAATACTTACGTTTTATTTTTAAATTATCCTCTATTTGCAATTATACTTTAAAGTGTATCCCCTTCTCTATCCTCTTATGAGGACTGGACAGCCTCCACAGAGATGGCTGGACAAAGCAAGGGTAAACTTAGGTAAGACACCATTTCTCGTTACTCTGAAATCCCTACAAATGTGGTTATTCCAGAGGACACTGGGCAATGACTGACAGGGTTTAGCATCCTACCTGAGGGGAAACTGCCAATCCCAGCTGTAAAATGAACAAATATCCAGTTATTATTATTTTTTAGCCATCTTACAACTTAGCTAATATAACAGGATTTACAGCCAATTGTACATGAAAGTTTAATTCGGTGTCAGATAAAGCATATCTTTGATGCAGAAATAATAAAGCATTAGGCCTTATCTGGTTAAAAGGTTTTTGCCATTCATTCATTCATTCAAACCTATGCTTATTGAATACTGACTAAGTGCCAGGGGCTTATTAAGAGACATTTAAATAAGATGGGATCTTTGACTATTACAGGTTTCAGCCTAGGGCTAAATTAGGAGAAGATAACAAGGTATTCAAATAAATGTAACTAAGAGTAATGGTTGTGTGTCTGTGTGTGTGTGTGTCCTCGAAGTTGCATCTCTAGGGTGGAACAGCTATAAAATTTTGATCACGATATCCATTTTGCAGGGCTTTTGCAGTGAGCGCTCTTATACCTGTGCTATATATTAAATAACTATAATTTCTCATCTTTCTGTTCCCACTTCCCTTGGTGGTTTGCATATTTAACTCAATAAGCATCTACTGAAATGAACTGATTTGTTGATGTAAGTATGCTCAGTATGGTCTTGCTCTTGGTATATGTTTTTTGCCTTTTTGATGCTTTAGAAGGCTTTCAAAGCAAGCAGGGAACGTGATGAGTAGATGAGGGAATTTTCAAACACATTATCTGATTTAGGATTCTACATGAACTTGGTATATACTGTCAATAATCACTTATTTAAAATCAGATTTTTAAAACTGGAAGCAACTCTTTGATCATCTAGTCCATCTAGTCTACATCCTTCCTTTTACAAATGAAGCATCCAAGAGCCAGAAGCTTTCAGACATCCTGACTCAATGTCCTGTATTGATTGCATAGCCTCCTTTGTGCAGGTTACAGATGCATTTGACTTCACTTAATCTAAGACATTTATTTTCCTTGAACTCTTGATAGGTCTGCTGCTTTCCTCAAGGGAATCCAACCTAGCTGGATTTTAATCTCTTTGAATTGTGGCCTCAGCTATAAAAGTTTTAGCTGAGGTTTTAATGGCTGCACTTAAGTAAATTTAACAGATACACCAGGGGGTGTTCCAATTACATACACCATTAAAGGGCTTTATGTGAGGATTTGAAAAAATTACCATTAAAAAGAAAGCATAGTCCATGTGCAGTATAATTTACCAGCAGGAAAGATTTCAATGTCCTGGAAAAGTTCCCTATAAAAAGGAAGCTAGGAAATTAGAAAAGTCACAGTACTCAACATACTTCAAGGGGATCGTGAAGGATTTTTGCCTCTAAGAAGCTCTCTGCCTCTAAACAGGTAAAAGTCTTTGTATTATTTCTAGCACGAGTTTTTCTTTTTTAGATTGCATGCTATTGTATGTCTACAGGGCATTTGACAGCCCAAGGGCTAGATCCAGGTGTGACAGTATCTAATGAAGTTCTGTCCTTCACGGTCCTTGCCATGAGATCCAGCCTTTGGGGAATCCCACAGCTTATCGACCCGTATTTGATTTAATCTTTAGCCTCTTTGCCATCAAATGAAAATTAACCTGGAGACACATTTCATTAGATAATTTCAGGTCCACTTGGCTAGGAAGGCATCTGGTCTGGGACTAACTACTTTGAACACTGTTGAGTCCTCTCTCCTACAGATGGTCCAGCCAGCAGGTTAGGAAGACTGAAGGATAAACAGAAAAATGTCATTAGTACCATGGGGTAGCCATTTAATGTCAAGCAACTTTATATTAGCCAGAGATTCCTAGTAGAAGCTACTTTTCTTAACAGATGGCTCAGTTCCCGTTATCTCAGCAATGAGTTGAAGACCAATCCACAGCAGGGGGAATGTTAAGCCAAAAATGGTGAATTTGATAAGGGATGAATTATGGGGTTTGGATAACCAAACAATAAAAGTATAGACTGTTTTAGCACTAAAACGTCCTGAACACGTGAGCTTAAAGTACTAATTTTGTCCCCAGTGGCTAAGAAACTCAAGGCAAACCAGCAGGTGTTGCCTTGAGTTTCTGAGTTTCTTGAGACTGGGTTTCAGTGTCTGTGTGTAAAAATGGTGACTGAGTTTCTTGAGACTTGAGTTTCAGTGTCTGTGTGTAAAAACGGTGACTCTGACTTCGTCCTCTGCAGGGTTAATGATAGAGATGCTAGCCGTTTCACAGAAGAGGTCTTTAGTTTCTACTCAACCTTGTGGATCTAATTTGATTGTGCATTCATGTGCCTTAGAATGGAGCTGATTCCAAAACTCCTAGCTGGCCTTACTCTGCTGACTGTGTGTGTGGCGGGCTGCTCCAGCCAGCACTGGTCCTATGGACTGCGCCCTGGAGGAAAGAGAGATGCTGAAAATTTTATTGATTCTTTCCAAGAGGTAAGTTTCTCTCAGCTTCAGAATAAGACACAGCTATTTGATTCAATTTAACTATATTAAACATTCAGGATGAGCCCCAATGGCAACGTTCTATAATGTTGTACCCTAGATACTCCAGGTGAGATAAGGCACTTAGAAAGTAGAGGTCCTATTCCTACTTTCCATTCAGACAGGGACTGAAGAAACAAAAGAGCCAGAAAAATTCCAAAAGAATGGCAACAAGTATGAGATAGTACATCATACTCTGAGTGTGTGGAATTGCTAAAGGAATTAGAAACGGTCGGATAGGGTCAAGGTCTGTATCAGAAGATGATTCATTGTGATTTGGGAAAAAAAGTTAGAACTTATTTTTTTTTCTCATTTCATCTTTTAAAAATATCTAGGATATTAGATCAGTACATTTGTATAATTTATAAATGAGTATCCTTATCAAGGATGCACACCCTATAATTTCTTTTCACTGATGGGGCATTTAAGCAAAGTTGGAGACTAGTAGAATACAGGAATTACAAACTCAAGATGATAAAAGAGTATAGTGGAAAACACGCTGGATTTAACATAGAGGTTAGAATATAGAACGGCACAAACACTAACATGTGGTACTTGCTTTTTTGTTTTTTGGGGTTGTTTTCTGAGACAGGGTCTTGCTGTGTTACCTAGGCTGGAGTTAAGTGGCATAGTCACAGCTCCCTGCAGCCTTGACCTTTTGAGCTTGAGTGATCCTCCCACCTCAGCCTTCTGCATAGCTGGGACCACAGGCATGCACTATCACACCCAACTAATTTTTAAATTCTTTTATAGAGATGGGGTTTTCCTATGTTGCCCAGGCTGGTCTCAAACTCCTGGGTTCGAGGGATCCTCCCACCTTTGCCTCCCAAAGTGCTGGGAGGTTTTTTATTTATAAAATATGACCTCTCAGGGTCATGGAGGGAGAGAAGCCATCTTTGTTAGCTGATTAACCCAAAAAATAACCCAGGGCTAAGAAGGGGAAAAATTTTAAATCATTTCATTATCATTGGAAAAAAATACCTGTTTTTTTGAGAAATAATAAGTATAATTTAGTATTAAAGAAGCCCCAGAATCTGAAGCCTCTTTTCTTGCAGATTATACATGAAACAAATCTCATTTAACAATGACATGTTTAGTAAAACCCAGAAAATGAAAACCAACCCTTTTTACAACTATAAACTCTTAGGGGATTTTTGTTTTTTTGTTTTGGTCTCTCATGTCTCTCATGAGACTCAAAGCACCTTGTCATCTCTAAGGGGAACATCTGATCTCTTCTTACTGTCTCCATTATGTCCAGATCCCCATGCCATTCTGTAGAAATACCAGAGGGCAGATCTGTGTGCTTAAAGTCCCTATGCTAATCTTACAACTTTCCCAGTCCCCCTCAGCCCCACAGCCCCCTTGACCCCACTCTCCACAATCTTTTGGTGGAAACAGAAAACAGCATTTCATTTCCTTATCTACATCTCAAAGAATTACATTATCTTTCTTCAGATAGTCAAAGAGGTTGGTCAACTGGAAGAAACCCAACACTTCGAATGCACCGTGCACCAGCCACGTTTTCCCCTACGGGACCTGAAAGGAGCTCTGGTAAGTTAAAGTGATCATAACATAGAGCTTTAGAGGTAGGTAGGCCCTTGGGAATCACTTAGGACAGCCACCTCCCAGCCACTGCCAGGCTTACGTTCTTGATTCCCGTGATACCTCCTGTGGTAGGACTGTATTTCATGACAATCGCAGTCCGTAAGACAACACTGGGGGCTGAAACGTTTTTTTCTTTTCTGAAGTTGAATTGAAATCTCTCTATAAATTTTATCTGTTAATCCTGGCTGTAGCCTTTGGGATAACCAACAAAACAAATTACTTCCCACTGCTGGATTTCAGTTCTTCAAGTGTAATCACCAAACACCCGAGACTACTGCTCTTCAGGCCACTCCACAGCCCTGCACCTGATCCTGCAATTGTACTTTCTATTACATGGGTTTCCGGAACCCTGGGGAATACAGACATATAAAGAGATGTATAAATTGATACATAAATGTATCATAAATTGATTATGATACATAAATGTATCATAAATTGATTATGATACATAAATGTATCATATATTGCCCCAGCTAGAGTGCAGTGGTGCACTCAATGCTCACCACAGCTTCAACCTCCCAGGCTCAAGCAGTTCTCGAGACTGCCTCAGCCTCCCTAGTAGCTGGGACTATAAGCACTTGCCACCACACCCAACTGATTTCATTTTTTAATTTTTTATAGAGACAGGGTCTATGCTGTCCAGGTTGGTCTCGAACTCCCAGCCTCAAGTGACCCACCCGAAGTGCTAGGATTAACGGTGCGAGCCACATTGCCTGACTTACGTTGAATCTTGGATTCAATGTTGATATTCTCTGAGCTCTACTGTCCACTTATTTGCAGCAATCAGAAGGCATAACAGTTAATTATCAGTTATGCCTAGGAGCTGGGAAAGCCCAAATAAGTCATATATAAAAATAAGCTCTAATTTTAATTGTCTCCAGTGACTTCAATTTAATATGCCCACAAGACAAAGAAAAAAGTGGGCTGACATGTTTATTTCCTTTTTCTAATCTTGCTTATCGCATTACAAAAATAGCAAGCAGTGAAATTTGCCAAACATGATATTATGAAGAAACTGAATCAAAGGCTGGTTTAATAGCCAAGCAATTTACCGGACTATTTTTTCACTTCCTTCCTCACAGCTCATCCTTAAACTATTAATGTAGATTTTATGTATATTAAGCAGCTTAAAAAGACCCATTCAGCTGAGCACAGTGGCTCATGCCTGTAATCCCAGCACTTTGGGAAGCTGAGGTGGGCTGATCACTTGAGGCCACGAGTTCAACACCAGCCTGGCCAACATGGAGAAACCCTGTCTCTAATGAAAATACAAAAATTAACCAGATGTGGTGGTACATGCCTGTAATCCCAACTACCAGAGAGGCTGAGGCACGAGAATCATTTGAACCTGGAACAGGGAGGTTGCAATGAACTGAGATCACACCACTGCACTCCAGCCTGTGCGATAGAGTGACAGAGCGAAACTCTATCTCAAAAAAACAAACAAACAAAAAACCAACTTAACTGTGTCTCCCTAGTACTAACTAGAGTAAAAATCAAATAGACCAATTCCTTCTAGCCTGCTATTTTGGAAATTAAAATGTCAAAAATGTAATGAAATTCAGCTGGTAAAGTCAGCCTTGCTATATTTGTTATGTATTTTTCAGGAAAGTCTGATTGAAGAGGAAACTGGGCAGAAGAAGATTTAAATCCACTGGGCCAGAAGGAGTCACCATTACTAACGTGACTAAAGTATAATTCTGACATTGACAGTTACAACCCACTAAATACCTATAAATTGTCTTAATTTCAGAAATCCTTACACCAAGTCACACACATTCCATAATAAAGTGCTGTGTTGTGAATTAAGTGGCGTACATGTTAAATCTTTCTCCAGCTCAGAACTCTGGGGGAAGGGGCACTATAAGCCCACCAAAGGGAGCCCTCCACGTGTGTATGCAGGTGGCAGATAGGAAGGCAGATGAGATAAAGTGTCTGTTGTTAACACAAATATTTGCTACAGCACAATGATCAATTTCCCAAATACTTTCATTGGAAGAGTCTCTAAAGTGGAATCAAATAATTTCTTCACCCCATCTTTAGTAAAATTAGGCAATGATGTGATCCCCAATCTGCTTTATGAAACAAAAACAAAACTGCATTATTAATACATGTGAGTGAGAAGCTTCCATTAGCTATTTACTCAGTGATTTTTTTTAAATGAAAACAGTGGCCGGGCGCGGTGGCTCACGCCTGTAATCCCAACACTTTGGGAGGCTGAGGCGGGTGGATCACGAGGTCAAGAGATGGAGACCATCCTGGTCAACATGGTGAAACCCCGTCTCTACTAAAAATACAAAAAATTAGCTGGGCATGGTGGCGCATGCCCGTAATCCCAGCTACTCAGGAGGCTGAGGCAGGAGAATTGCCTGAACCCAGGAGGTGGAGATTGCAGTGAGCCGAGATCGCACCATTGCACTCCAGCCTGGGTAACAAGAGCAAAACTCCATCTCAAAAAAAAAAAAAAAAAGAAAAAGAAAGAAAACAGTATACTTTACCATCTTCACATTACTTAACACATTAACAAAAAGCAACACACTCACTTAACTTACACATCTGCTTGAAGCTTCGGATTTCCCTAGCCAAAGTTGGTCTTTGGGACAATTTCTTTAGGGGCAGTTGCAAGCCTCCCTTAAATGGGATAAAAAGATGCTCATCCAACTGCCTGATGCTGTTAGAGACTTCCAGGAGGTACCCTTGATTCTCAAATGGCCTGAATGACTAAGGAGGAGGAGGAGAGTGAAAATGGCCCCTGTGGAGCTGAGATGGTAGCTCACACCAGCAGTCTCAGCTACTTAGGAGGCTGAGGCGGAAGGCTTGCTTGAGCCCAGTTTGAGGCTGCAGTGAGCCATGACTGCAACACTGACTAGCTTGGGCAACAGGGCAAGACTCTGTCTGAAAACTGAAAATGGTCTCCTTATAGAACCATCATAAACACCTCCCTGAATCTGAATAACTCTAACTCATCAATGTAGCTTTAAGGAAAAAAAAAATCATAAGCCTTTTATAATAAAGGGTAGGGAAATATATCAAATGATATATTTAATGAAATGAGTTCTCAAATGTATATGGCTTTAAATGATCAAGTAGTAAAAAGAATGGTTTGAAAATAGTTCTATTATAGCAAAACTTTTATAATTTGCAGCAGCTTACAGATAATTACAAAAAAGCCAAGAATCACTACATAAGATAATAGCACTTAGATCTGGACAGAGGAAGACATTTCATAGTATTTCTCTATGGAGATCCAAGAGCCAAAAGATTACCCAGGTCTGCCAATTTAGTATTTAGGGCCCAAATGCTGGGGTGTTTTAAAGAAGCAGTGATTCTTATAAATTATATGAACACAGTGAAGCATTACTGCTTCTAAAAAGCAAAGCACTGGAACACATTTTTTTTTTTGAAATAAGATCTCACTTTGTCACCCAGGCTGGAGTACAGTGGCATAATTACAGCTCACTGCCACCTTCACCTCCTGGGCTCAAATGATTCTCCCACTTCAGCCTCCCAAGTAGCTGGGACTATAGGCATGCATCACCACACTTAGCTAGTTTTTATCTTTTGTAGAGACGGGGTCTTACTCTGTCGCCCAGGCTGGAGTGTAGTGGCATGATCATGGCTGACTGAAGGGTTGACCTCCCAGGCTTAAGAGATCCTCCTACCTCAGCCTCCCAAGTAGCTGGGAGTATAGGCATGCACCACTATGACAGCTAATTTTTAAAATTTTTTTGTGGAAACAGGGTCTCACTTTGTCACCCAGGCTGGAGTCCAGTGGCATGATCAGGGGTCACTCTTGCCTTGACCTCTGGGGCTTAAGCAAGCCTCCTGTCTTGGCCTCCCAAAGGGCTGAAATTACAGGCTTGAGCCACCACTCCTGAACAGAACAGGAGTGGTTTTTCTTTTCTTGGGGGGAAAAAATCATAAGCATAAGCTCAGGACTAAACAGTGGTGCTAATAAAGGTGTGACTGCCCCTTCCCTCTTCCCAACTTGACCCACCAATAGCAAGAGATTTTATGAAGCACACCTTAAATACCAATTTTCTAACGTCTTATTTCCTTTATGCGGTGGTTTTTCAACCTCGGTCTAACATTGGAATAACATGGGAGGGACTTTGAAGAAATATGGATGCCTGGATCTTACTCCCCACCCTCAGAAATTCTGATGTAATTGGTCTGGGAGTGGCCTCTCCCCAGGTGATACAAACATTTAACCATTTTAGAACCAGTTCCTATCATTTTCACCTAAGTTATTTTATGTAAGATACTCCCTTTAACCTTTTTATTTCTCTCCTTACTTGTCTAAATATCTCTGGGGAATGGGTAAAGAACAGAACCAATGTACATTAAATGAACTGCTATCAGAAAATTGTCAGGCAGGATGGCAAAAAAATAGACGGAAGGGGTGAAAAGGACCAAGTGGTTTGTCATTTTTCTTATTTCCGAGCAAAGATGACTCTGGGACCCCACAGTGCAGGTTTAACCTAGCAGGACCTGTAAGGAAACAAGCCAGAAAAACGCTGGCTGTAAAGTGTCGTGAAGGAGGCATGGATAAGGAAAAACTGCGAAGTTCAGGAATGAGTTCATTTCATTAAAATAAGGGCAATAACAAACTAAACACACAATAAACTTTAAAATACATTTCCATTTTTAATTTAAAAAATAAATAACCGCAAATCTGAACAAAATCTTCCTACTTCAATGCACATCGTCTTCACTGTCCATGTTTGAAACCCAGCTAGTAACAAAATCCTGGCAAAGGCATTTTTGATAAAGTTTAGATGAACAACTCACAAAATATGGCGAATAGATGAATCTGAACAGCTGATACTGCAGATCAGCCTTGCTAGATCCTAGGCGTCAGAGTGAAGTCCTGAATTTCCTTTTGTAGATTAGAACTGATGGTTCAACTCTCAACCCATCCAAACAGAAACTTACCTTTTCCAATTTAATTGTAAAAGCCAGACACTGCAACTTCTGACTCCCTGGTTCAAGAGATTCTCCTACCTCAGCCTCCCAGCAGTGGGGATTACAGGTATGTGCCACCACGCCCAGCTAATTTTTGTATTTTTAGTAGAGACGGGGTTTCAGCATGTTGGTCAGGATGGTTTTGATCTTCTGATCTCATGATCTGCCCACCTCAGCCTCCCAGATTGCTGGGATTACAGGCGTGAGCCAAGACAAGAAATCAGCCAGTGACATAGGGGCAACTAGAGGAGAGGACTCTTCCAGCTTGCGAAGAGTAAGCAAAGGTAGATTGCTGTCTCAAATCCTGCTTTACATCTTGTTTTTCATTATGAATTTGCGGTGTGGCTGCAGTTTTTAATGGGTTTCCCTGGCAGGAGAAAATTACTGCAATTCTGGAATCAAAAGGTTAAGGTGAAGCAGGAGGAAGCACCCCATGGCCCAGCAATCTTTAGGGTTTCATTTTCATCTGGTACCACTCCAGTTCCAATCCTACAGCACACCAGAGTGAACTGTCTTTGTATATTTGTACACGCTCAACTGCTACATATCAAGGGCGAGTACCATGACTGGCATTCCATAAGAACTTGATATATGTTGAATAAAACAATTCTTTTTAAAAAGTCTCAAAGCAAGACAAGTCACTAGAACAGAGATAGAGGAAAAAAAGATTTAAAAACAACACCTCCAACCGTAACACCAGTATTCACAAAAGTGGTGGCAATTTTAGGGCTCATTTCAATGTTTTTCAATGCTCTAGAGAGTTCTTAGCAAGAAAAACAAAGACCAAGTCTCTTTTTTCCTCCCTGCTCCTTATCTCTCTATATTTAATGTAATCATGAGGTGTTTCTTTGCAGTCCTCCTCTGACTTCAGGACAGACATTACTTGGGACTTTTTGTCAAATCTGACTTCCTACCCAACAGCTTCCCCAAAAAAATGAACCTTCCATCATCCGCTGTAATCTCTTAGTCACAATACTACCTGGAATCCCTTTTGTTCAGGCAGGAGAGAGCTATTATTTCCATTAAGGTAGAAAGGGAATCATAGGGAATAACATGTTCTATTAAAAAGAGAAGGTATCCAGATGTATCCTAGCTTCCCAGCCTCTGCTCAAAGACCAGGCTGTGGGACTCATTTCTACTGCTGTGGAAGGACAGCCTTGAGGTTTGTTTTTTTTGGTGACCCAGTTCATATCTTTCTATTTTAATGGCAGCCTGTAAAACAGGCCGTGGTACAAATCCCCCCAAGCCGGTCTGCTGAGTGACTTCTCAGAAGTTGTGCCAGGCTCTAGGTAAGCCCTACATGTCCTTTCTGTTGGCTCCTCCTTTCTCTACAGCTTAAGTTCTTTCCATGTAAAATCCTCTTGAGTTCTTCTTAAGTTTGTCTCTAGTCATAAATAATCATGTAAAAGACTCCAAAGAAAACCACCATTTGGAGAAGGATCATATGTGCAGAACTAACAGGCACTCACATTCCAAATTACCTTGGAAGAAAAAAAAAGTATCAGTAATGCTCTTAGAAAGTTCCAGTTCTTACTCAGGCCTAGCAGAGAAAAGGACTATCATGCGAGTATCTCTTCCCGTATTTCATCTCACTGAAACCTCACAACTCATGCAAGAGGCATTACCCCCATTCTGAAAGGTAACAAAATGAAGACTGATAATTTCAAATAATTTGTGTTTGTTTGCAAAGTTAAGAGATGTCATAGCTGGGATTTGAAACCAAATGGGTTTAATTCCAAAGCCAGTGATGCTTCCATGCTAGCACGCTGCAGGTTCTCCTGGGTCGGAATAAAGGATCACCTTTTCCACACCGGTTTTAAAATCTGCATACTCATTTCTGAAGTAACACCCTGGACACATCTGAAAGTTTTCTGCTTCCTTGCTCTTTGTGATGAACTGATAGGGTGGCGGTGAAACAGGAAACACAGAGAATCAGGCAGGCAAATGCCAGCTCTGACAGCGGAAATCTCTTTCTCTGCTGTCTTCACTTCCTTAGTGGAAAGGACTCTGGGCAAGGCTGTGGAAGAGACCACTATCGAGCTTCACCCAGTGATGACCTTTGGATTCACAGTCAAAAAGCTTTCTGCTTTGCCACAAATAGTAGCACAGAAATATCTGGGACGTTTCAAATATTGTTCCAACCGAAAGTAAATATTTAAAAGTTTGTCACAAGTTGTCTTCTAGAAGTTTCCTGGGTATAGCCTAATGCAGCAAGCTGGGTTATTAGAAACTGTAGTACAATTTTCTGTGTGTAGCCTCAATTTCCTTACCTACTAAGTAAGGGGGCTTGTTGGTTGATTTTTGAGGCTTCCAGCTCCAAACATCTAAAACTTCATGCGGCTATTTATGTATGTAATATTTGGTCACCTAAATCACTCCATTTTTTCTTCTGAAAGGAATACGATTAGTACCATTAGCAAGTAATCAAATTAATTCCACAATCAAGAGGAATAAATACTGGAAGGGAGATATTGCACTGTATTCTCCAGGGTAAAATCAGGGAGCAGATGGGCCTGCTGAGTCATCCAAATGGGGTCTGGAAAAGAAGCTGCTGAATCCGATTGCTAAGTCCCTTGTAGCCAGTGATTTGCGCTCAGAGGAGGTAACAGGACAAAAAAAAAAAACCGTGTGTGCAAAAGGAAGAGCTTCAAAGAAGTCCATAGGGAAGGAGTGGCTGCAGTGTGTAGAAGGCCATTAGTCAGGAGCGTGGCGGGAGAGGGAGACGGCAGCTGTCCCATGCCACGAGAAGATGGAAGCTGGGAGGACGCAGGAACTCAGGGCTCACATTTGAGTCCATGCTCTTTTAATAATGACAGCCACATGTACCTGAAAGCACCCGATCTCCTTTAAAAACGTGTGTTCTTTTCCTCAAAGGAGACACAGTCGACATCAGAAAGATACGATTATTTCAGCTACCAAAGTGTATTTGGTGTCCACATCTTCCAAGATGCAATATGGGATGGGATGGATGTGTTTGCACAAGAAAAATACCTAAGTCTCAAGCACACCTTTTCATAAGCAAAGCAAAAATTCCTTCCAAGGAGTAGATTACAGGCGTTGCTCCACCATCAGTGTGGAAGAACTCGTCCAGGCTTGTGCAGACCACCATGTCTCTGCGGTACAGGCTGACATTTAACAATGGTGAATGCGATCTCTTCTTCGAAAAATTCAGAGGATGTGGCTGTTCTGGAATTCCATGTGGACTGGAAGGGAGGTGACATGGCCTCAAGCATCTATCAAAGAGAAGCTTTTGGAAGAACATAACTGGTTTTAAGCTGGTAAACGTCATCCCAGATCAGGAGACGCAGCAGGGAGCCCCGTGGAATGAGGACACTGGCTGGAGGCCAGTTCTCAGGCAGCAGCTGTCTAAGGTACTCTGTATTGCAGAGAGGGCAAAATCCTTACTGGGATGCAGGCTCGGAAGTAGGGATGCCGGATTTCCGAGCCTTTGGCGGTGGAGGAGGTGGTGCTTTGGCTTCTCTTCGGACAGGCAGTGGGGGAGCGAGCTGTAGGAGCAGACACACAAATTAGAAGCAGGTTTTAGTTTTCTTCCCAACTCTGCCTTTTCCTCCCATTTCCCACATTCTGCTTTAGCTTCTCATTGATCTGAGTTTATCTACCTAAGCTTTGCAAGGTGAAATGGAAAACTACACGCATTTGTCCTTCTTGTTTCCTGTGAGTTAATCAGACACACACACACACACACACACACACACACACACACACACACAATTGCACTCCAGCCTGGGCGACAGAGCCAGACCCTGCCCCCACTCCCACCCCCCCCAAAAAAAGTGAACTAGAACTCACAACTTATTTCACAGGTACCCAGGATGAGGTACAGAGAACACCTGCTCTACCTTTATCATCTGCTTGAATGTCTGTCCTTCCCACTGAAAACTTCTCTATCTCTTGTGGTTTCAGGAATGAGCCAAGAATCGACTGCAGTGACAGGTCTATGAGCAAACCTGCCCACTACAAAGCCTAGAAAACTCGATGCTGCCTGCCAGGAGCTGCACTCCCTGGCCATAGTTGCCAGCTGTGGTTTCCCTACCTCGGTGGAGTTCCTCTGGCTGCCCTCATAGGGCTTGCTTTTGGGGGGAGGTGGCGGTGGGATGGGAATGGCTGCAAGTCCATCTATCTGCAACGATGGGGAACCTAGAAATGACACAAAGGGCACACGGGCAGAGAGAGGCACTGAGCAAGGAAACTCACAGAAATGCTGCTGGCACCTTAACACCTAAGCCAACCCGGTCAACCAACTTGTGAAAGCCACATTCTGTGGTTTCTGTGAATAGAATGAAGACTTCTCACCCAACATTACACAGGTAATGCTCTCGCCAGAAAGTTTTAAGAGCTTCACAAGATGTTCTGAAGCAAACACTTTATTTTTTCTTCAGGGTTTTGCAATTAAGATAAAGATAAGAACATTTTCTGGAACGTATGGTATTATTCTGTTCTCTGATAGAGCCCAAGTGCTTAGGAAAATATTCCCTTCCTCCAGGAAACTGTAATTGATTAACTCCTGGTTGACAACTGTCTCCCATCTGGCTCTGATAAACCCATCCCTCCACCATGTCTCTGGACTACGGGTACCTTGCAATTCTTCTCAAGTGTTGTGCACTGCTGGTTCCCCAAGCCAGACTGTAAGCAGTAGATGGAATGGGTCTATTTCTAGTCCCTGTCCAGGTCTGCCTAACCTAATGGTTAGCTTGTAAGTTACTTGTTATCTGTCTAGTCCTAGAGCAGATCTGTCTCATTTATACTTTCACAATTATAAAATGGACACTAACACCCTTTGGATCACTCTCCAGAAAAGTGGTTTGTTTTTTTTTTTGAGACCGAGTCTTGCTCTGTCGCCCAGCCTGGAGTGCAGTGGTGCAATCTCCGCTCATCACAGCCTCTGCCTCCCGGCTTCAAGCAATTCTCCTGCCTCAGCCTCCTGAGTAGCTGGGATCACAGGTGCACACCACCACACCTGGCTAATCTTTATATTTTTTTAGTAGAGATGAGGTCCCTCCATGTTGGCAAGGCTGGTCTCAAACTCCTGACTTTGTGATCTACCCACCACAGCCTCCCAACGTGCTGCGATTACAGGCATGAGCCACTGCACCCGGTTTATCTAGAAAAGTTTAGGGCTGGGCGCAGTGGCTCAAGCCTGTAATCCCAGCACTTTGGGAGGCCGAGGTGGGTTGATCACAAGGTCAAGAGATCGAGACCATCCTGGTCAACATGGTGAAACCCCGTCTCTACTAAAAATACAAAAAATTAGCTGGGCATGGTGGCGCGTGCCTGTAATCCCAGCTACTCAGGAGGCTGAGGCAGGAGAATTGCCTGAACCCAGGAGGCGGAGGTTGCGGTGAGCCAAGATCATGCCATTGCACTCCAGCCTGGGTAACCAGAGCGAAATTCCGTCTCAAAAAAAAGAAAAGTTTAATGAGTCCTAGTGGCCACCCTGCCAAACTCCAGTCCAACTGTATGATACTCAGGACCACTGAACTGAACCAGTTTTACAATGGTCTTACATATGTTTCGGCTGGTTTAGTTACAGACTGCCCAGATTCATACACAAACTCCACACCCTCGTGAAAAGACTGTAGGGGATATAGGAAAACTTACTTAGGGTCCTGGTGGCTTTTGGAGTGAGTGGAGGTGGTCTCAAGGGCGTTGACTGAGGAGGTGAAGAACCGTGAAACGGTGATAGCCGATTATCTACCAACTGGAGACTCTTTGGCCTTTGTGCTTTTTTGGCTGGGCCCTAGAACCAGAGAGAAAAAGACAGCAAAACGTTTTCACGGTGAGGAAGGCTGAGCTCAACAACGCTCTCAACAGCCTTGTCTTCTGAGCAGACACTTGGAAAGGACTTAACTCAAGGAGCGATTTTTAAACTTGCTACATTGTCATATGGTGGGCACCACCGACCAGGCACTAACAAGAACCACTGAACCACAGATGATTTCCTGGCTGGCCACAGGCCTGATTTCCATCACAGTTGGACTGTGTCACTTAAGTTGGAAATAAGCCACCCTGATTCTCAGGAAAAGGTGGTGTTCCCACATTTAACAACTCTATGTGGCCTATGGAAGAAAAATACCTTTTTAAAAAATTAAAGAAGAGAAATGACAATGTTTGCACTGACCCAGGGGAGAGAGTGGTGAGAACCACAGCTCTAAGTATCAACCCACGTGTTTACATTGTGGGTACAAGACCTTCAGCAATACTGATTTATGGACTGGAACTCCTTGGAATGTGCCTCCCTTACCACAACCTGCGGTCTATCACTAACCCAGGCTGCTGAGTCCTGAGACAAGCCACAGCCCAGCTTCAATCTGGGAGGGGATGGTGATGTGCCTGGATCCAGGGAAGGTGGGGCAAGCCTCCAGAGATTTCTTTTTCTCTTTTTTATTTTTTTACCATCAAATCGGGTTCTGGCGCTTTCTCTGCAATGACCTGGGACTTGCTCAGACTCCAGTCTTTTCTCTTACACTTGCTGATTCGGTTCTCGCTGTTCTCCTCTTTGAGGGACAGATCTTCAGCTCCGGCACCTGACGAGGCCCTGCGCTCCAAAAGTGGCTCCAGGATTGAGCTATTGGCCAGGAACAAGGACAAACATCACAAACACTGATCACCTTGTAATCAAAATTCATGATGAAAGTACAAGCAGTTATGACTCTTCAGCTTACTTTTCTTTTTTTTTTTTTTTTTTGAGAAAGGGTCTTTCTCCCATCATTCAGGCTAGAAAGCAGTGGTGGGATCACAGTTCACTACAGCCTTGACTTCTGAGTAGCTAGGACTACAGGTGTGCACCACGATGCCCAGCTAATTTTTTTTTTTGAGACGGAGTCTTGCTCTGTCACCCAGGCTGGAGTGCAATGGCATGATCTCAGCTCACTGCAACCTCCATCTCCCGAGTTCAAGCGATTCTCCTACCTCAGCCTCCTGAGTAGCTGGGACTACAGGCATGCGCCACCACTCTAGGCTAATTTTTGTATTCTTCAGTAGATTTTGTATTCAGTAGGTATCACCACATTGGTCAGGCTGGTCTCTATCTTTTGACCTCATGATCTGCCCACCTCAACCTCCCAAAGTGCTGGGATTACAGGCGTGAGCCACCACACCTGGCCAATTTTTTGTATTTTTTTTTTTTTTAGTAGGGATGGGGTTTCACCATGTTGCCCAGACTGGTCTCAAACTCCTGGGCTCGAGTGATCCTCCTCCCTCGGCCCTCCCAAAGTGCTAAGACTAGAGGCATGAACCTATGACTTCACTCTGATTCTATATCTAAATTTATAATTACAACTGAACAAACATCTCAAGGAGTTAATGTGCAGAAACAAGACCATCAGATGACTGGACAAAATATTAGTGATTATCTTATCCCATGAAGAGAAGGTCTTAATTCAAATTTATAGACAAAGACAGAATCCTCAAAGTAAGAGATTCAATAGGCATCTTTATATAGTGGGTAACAGCACAACTCTGGAGCCAGAAAGCCGGTCTTCAAATCCTACCCACAAACTACAGACTACTAGAATGTAGTAATCTAGGTGACTATATTCTAGAAGTAATCCCAGCACCTAACTAATAGGAAAGCTACATGTACAAATATGTTTGCTACAGTTTTTAATAAAAATATATTCTACACTGATACAAGTTACATATTTTGTATTAAAATCTATAATGAAGTTTTTCTTTAGAAAGAAGGATATGGCTTAAATATTCTATAGTAGGAGAAGAATTGACCATGGCACATTTGTATGATATAATGTCCACTGTCATACAAAATGATGGTAAAAACTGATAATAATAAAGATTACACAGCAACATGAAAAATGCTTGTAATAAAAAGATGAGAAGATAACAGCAAAGTACCAAGCCCTGTGTATGCTATAATGGGAACTATGTAAAGATATGTATATCAATGAAAGGATGTATAAACAATTGAAGAAATCCTACATATCTGATGTCCAGGCAGGGTGGCATTCAGGTAGGTTATTTTTATGATGTAATTATTATATAATGGAATTAAACATTTGTGAATAAATGGTGAGTCAAGTGGTGACTTATATTCAACACTATCTTAAATACTTAATGATTTATACATACTCATCACCTATATCCTATTAATAAGCAGTATGCCACAAAAGGATAGATGCAATGCTTTTCTACTTGTATAAAAAGTAAACATACTTTTTTTGGTATTACATAACTGAACTTTAACAGTGGTTATCTTTGAGTGATGAAGTTATAAAGCATTGTTTTCTTTTAAAAGTTTCCAGTACTTTAGCAATATATTATTTAAAAATAGTAATCTCAGGCAGAAAGAACACGACTATAAATTAACTGCTTTCAAATATTTTAAATTTGAACATATGGAAAAGCATTTTATGTTTTTGGCAAGGAAGCCTCAGCATCAAAAAGCCATCAGTCTTCCTAAAGTTGGTCCACACATTTAACATGATCCTAATATAAAAAGTAATAGGTTTCTGGACAATATCCAACAGCAACACTAGCAGATTACATTCTGAAAGGAATATTAGAAAATAAAAAATGTTTTATATCTACAGTAATTAAGATTGCATAGTACTGATACATGAATAGACAGGTAAATCCAAGAAATAGAAAAAAAAAAACAGTCCACAAACAGACTAAAGAGTACGTAGAAATTTAATTTGTTACAATTGACATTTTAAAAAAAAGATGACTTGCTCACTAACTGTTTTAAGAAGAACTGAATAGCCATTGGAAATAAACATGTTGGCTCCATACCTAACATCTTATACTAGAATGAATTCCAAAGGATTACAAACAAAATTGTGAATAGTGAAACCCTAAAAGTCAATGGAAAAAAATAATAATACGTTTTTTGTTATCTTAGAGTGGGAAAGGCCTTTAATTGTGAAATAAAATCCAGAATTCATAAAATAAAAAATTGATTATATGACTATCTAAAAAAATCAGCACAACTCATTAAAAAATTAGAAGCAACAAATTAGAAGTCAAAAGATAGAGGAGAAACTGGGAGAAAATATTTCAACTTATTTCACAGAAAAAGGGCCAACAATTCAACACAACAAAAAGTATCTGAGCACAGGTCACAGGAAATAAAACACACACAAATGAAACGAGGTTCAACTTTGGGCCAAACAAGAGAAATAAACAAAAACCAGAAAACAAAGAAACCAAAAATCTATACAAGAAAACATTTTCTACCTAACATATTGGTAAGATTTAAAAAGACTGAGTGCAGTTTGGGGGCTACGGTGTGAGTAGGCGCTCCTGTGTGTCGCTGGTGGGAATGTAAACTGGCATAATCTTTACAGAAGTCGGTTTAGGAATATTTTTCAAAATTGCAGATATACATCTTTGACAGAGAAATTTCACATGTGGGATTCTTTTACAATATTGATATACTTGTATATGTGCAAAATAACTTGTGTTTAAGGTTATTCACTGTCATGCTGAAGTGACAGTAATGGACTGAAACCAACTACATGATCACCAGTAGGCACTGGTAGAATACACAGGCTGAATATCTCTAATCCCAAAATCCAAAATGCTCCAAAATGGGAAGCATTTAAATGCTGACATGACGCTATAAAGAAATGCTTACTGGGACATTTCAGGTTTGGGGTTTTGGGATTAGGGATGCTAAACTGGTGTTATGCCAATATCCAAAAACCCTAAAACAAACGAAATCCAAACATTTCTGGTCCCAAGCATTGTGGATGAGGAATAATCTACCTGTATCGTGCCACATACATGTGATGATATATAGTTACAGAAAGATAAAGAGGGAGCTTTTTGTGTTCTGAAATGGAATGAGTTTCACGATATAATAGCAAATAAAAACAGCAAAGTAAATTCTACCATTCATATAAAAAAAGCGTGGGGAAGAACATATAATTAGGCAATGCTTATGAACCTATACATAGCTGCCAGGGGGTCAAGAACCTGAATGTCAGCATCATTTGGCTCTGGGGGGTGGGCTACTGCAGGGGTTCTGCTGTAGTGGGAAGTCTGGGATTAAAAGGAGATTTGTTGTTATATATCCTTTGGTACTTTTGGAATTTCATATCATGTGATTATAAAACCTATTCATAAAATAAATATAAAAATTTAATTTTTTAAAGAGAAATGATGAAAAAATAGGTAATGACTATAGGTATGTAATAGTGTGGTGAGATTATGGGTGTTTTTTTGTCATTTTTCATTTTTACTGTTATTATTCTGCCAATAACTGTTATTATTCTGCTAATCGTGACATTCCTCATTAGGGAAACAATGGGAATGACCCAAAGGCTATTTTTCTTAAATGGGGTGATGCGTGGCTAAAGGCAAACATTAGTACGGCATTACCCCACCCTTCCTGCAGTTGAAAGATCAAACCCTTACCCATCAGATCCCGGTCTGGAAGGAGCATTGTCAGATGAGTTTGAAGAGGTGGAAACCACAGAGGAAGTGACTGAGGTGATGGACAACCTCCGCAGAGTAGAAGACATGATGTAGGGGAGCACAATAGACCCTGTGCGGCTTTGCTTCCTCTCCGTCAAGTTGGGTGGCTGAAAATACGCAACTCCAAAGGGTTAGTGGGCCTGGAATTCAGCCCCTATGAACTGGCGCAGCTGCCTTGTTTGCTTGTGGCTAAATAGTACCCATCATTATTGGCTGGCACTCAATTGTGATGGGTTGGTGCCTGTGCTGCCTCTATTGTTAAATATTGCAGATATTGATATTGTTAGCTATAGGTACAACTTAGTTTAAACCTCTTGGATTCTAAGACTAGAGACAAAGTTGTCATAATATTCTGCCACCTACATAAGAGAGGAAGAAATTAAGATGTTCCTTAGACTCTCCAATAAATAGCAAAACCTTCTGTCTGCTTCCCCAGCTCAGCTTTCAGCTTTTTAAAACATGCAATATTTTGGGGCCAGGAGTGGTGGCTCACGCCTATAATCCCAGCACGTTGGGAGGCCTAGGTGGGTGGATCATGAGGTCAAGAGATCAAGACCATCCCGGTCAACATGGTGAAACCCGGTCTCTACTAAAAGTACAAAAAATTAGCCGGGCATGGTGGCGCGTGCCTGTAATCCCAGCTACTCAGGAGGCCGAGGCAGGAGAATTGCCTGAACCCAGGAGGTGGAGGTTGTGGTGAGCCAAGATTGCGCCATTGCACTCCAGCCTGGGTAACAAGAGCGAAACTCCGTCTCCAAAAAAAAAAGGATAAGAAACACAGAGCTTTGTTTGAGGAAACAATATTAAAGTCAGGGGTCTAAGAATAAGATCATTACAGGGCTAGGCATACTGACTCACATCTTTAATCCCAGCATTTTTGGAGGCTGAGACAGGAGGATCACTTGAGTCCAAGAGTTTGAGATCAGCCTGGGCAATATAGAAAGACCCTATCTCTACAAAAACATTTAAAAAATTAGCTCGGTGTGGAGCACACCTATAGTCCTAGCCACTCAGGAGGCTGAGGTGGGAGGATGGCTTGAGCCTGGAAGTCAAGGCTGGAAGTGAGCCATGATTGTGCCATTGCACTTCAGCCTGAGTGACAAAGAGAGACCCTGTCTCAAAAATAAAAACGAAACAAAAAGAATAGGACCATTAAAGAGAACAGCATGAATTCAAAGAAAAAAAATGCAGATAAGTAAAGCTAGAATGTATTGCACCATCACCCACTAGAGAGAAAAGGTTAGTACATACACTATTCACTCAACTGCTCGGGAGAAGAAAATAAAATTGTAGCTGTGAGGAGCTTGTCAAAAACAATTAGGAAAGCAGCTACAGGCATATGAAATGTAATTCATAATTGCTTCTTCCCTTCAGAGGCGTGAAAACTGTACACTTTTCATCAAAATAGATACTATTCCTAAGATTAGGAAAAAATAGAAGAATTTGGCCAGACAGGACAAGAATAACCAGTGTCTGGGATTCAGAAAACTTGGGTTTTTTTGTTTTGTTTTGTTTTGAGACAGAGTCCCGCTCTGTTGCCCAGGCTGGAGGGCAATGGTGTGATCTCGGCACAGTGCAACCGGGTACAAGTGATTCTCATGCTGCAGCCTTCTGTGTAGCTGGGACTACAGGTGCTCACCACCAAGTCCAGCTAATTTTTTGTATTTTTAGTAGAGATGGGGTTTCACCATGTTGGCAAGGCTGGTCTCAAACTCCTGGTCTCAAGTGATCAGCCCAGCTTGGCCCCTTTGTGCTGGGATTACAGGCGAGAGCCACTGCACCCCTAATTTCTAGTAGAGTGGTTTTGATTTCTAGTATAGTGGTTCTCAAAGTGTTGTCCCCTGACCAGTGGCATCAATATCTCCCAAGAACTTCTCAGAATAGCAAATATTTGGGCCCCACTCTGAGATCTGTGGAATCAAAAACTCCGGGGTTATGGCTCAGCCATCTGTATTTTCACAAGCGCTCTGGGTGGTTCTGATGGTTGTTCTAGTTGGAGAACCTCTGTCCGGCACAAGGACTGTTCAAGGTCACCAAAGGGGAACATGCTGTCTCCCACCAGTCCCAGTATTTCCATGCCATACCTGAGCTATCACAACTCATTTGGCATCTGAAAAACGAATCAGTATCATAAAAGGTTCAAAGAGACTAGGAAAAAGCATCATGGCCACTTAGGTCATGCTCACCAGTGTTATAACCCCATAGTGCTTTTCTACTTTCTCCTTGAGTTCTCGGAAGCAAGAAGACAACCGCTCATGCAGCGGCTTGAGCTGCTCTGTCAGTTTCTCCCCATGGATGCGGATCCCTTCCGTGAGCAGGGGCATCTGGAAAGCAGGGCAAACAAGGAGTGAAATGTACTTTGAGAAGAGGAATCATTTTGATGTGGTTGGGGAAGGGAGGGAGGCGGTGGACAGGTACACTGGTAGACATAGTGCTGGGCTATGGGAAGCCACTTCTCAGTGCAGGGCTTGTGGCCTGGATGGACTTTGGTCAATGATGTGGGAAAATGTGCACACCAAGAATATAGGTTGGCCCTAAACTGGGGAAGGGCTGCTGGATGAGGCAAATCTAACAGAGCCCTGGGGCACTTCTGTGGATGAGCAACTGATGGGTTTAAGTCTTAGACCCAATTAGATAGTCATTTTTTTTACCACTGCCCCCTGAAGTCATGAGAGAAAAAAGTGAGGCCAGCATCTCTCAGTTGGAAACACATGCCAGGAAACCAAATGAAGAACTTTTTTTTTTTTAAGATGGAGTCTCGCTCCGTCCCCCAGGCTGGAGTGCAGTTGCACGGTCTCGGCTCACTGCAACCTCTGCCTCCCAGGTTCAAATGATTCTCCTGCCTCAGTCTCCCGCATAGCTGGGATTACCGGCATGCAACACCATGCCCAGCTAATTCTGTATTTTTAGTAGAGACAGGGTTTCACCATGTTGGCCAGGCTGGTTTGGAACTCTTGACCTCAGGTGATCCGCCCGCCTTGGCCTCCCAAAGTGCTGGGGTTACAGGCGTGAGCCACCACATCCAGCCCCAACTGAAGAACTTTCATCTCAGTTTTAAGAAGGCTCCGTCAACCCTGGGCGGTTTAACTGTCTGCCAAGCAAACAAATCCATAGATAGGCTGCGGTTCAATAAGGGTTAAAGAAAGGAAAGTAACCCCGAGTGGGCTTGCTGACTTAAGACCTGGACGCCTCCCCAGGAGCGTAGAGGAAAGCCGTCCTGTACCTGTAACGCTATGAGTCGCTTTAGCAGCTCAACTTTCTCCTGGTCTTCAGGATGTTCCTCCAAGTACTTTTCTGTAAAAAAAGCCTAAAGGCAGAGCATACGCAAGTGTTAATTAGGACACATTCCTATCTGTGCAGGAAAGCCTGGAAGGGTGAAACATGTCTCCTGTGACGAAGAACCAGGTGTGTCTAAGTAAAAATGCATTCCTTTCCTGGGATCGCTCTTACACCATGTTGGGCAATGCAAAAAAGTGTGTGCTATTGTGTGGTCTTTCCTTAATTAGCTAATTCTTAGCAAGACGACATTCTCGGCAGTCACCACCCCACCACACACACACGCTAATCAAATCATCGACATCAACATTAAAATAACTCTCCCAAAGAACAAAGCAAAGGCCAAATGACAGTATCTCAAGGCTAATCATTAAATTAAGGGCATAGATATTATAAGGGAAAGAGTAAAAAGTTAACAAGCAGATGGAGATGACAGTTTTTCCGCTCTTCCTGTGATACTGGCTATATCACGCTTTTTTCCTATATTAAGTGAAGATTAATATCTGTACTTTCTTAGTAATCACCTATCCCAAATGCTATTTTAAAAACAAAATGAGATATACATGCGAAGACATTTCAAAAATATTAAATGCTTCTTGCCCTTATCATTACATATCAGCACCATGCTCATCAGTAGACACTCACGACCTCCCAGCTAAGTCCCTGTAACAGGTAAATAAAACCCAAAACTTTAATTCCAAACACAGGCCTTATCTAGGGTACTGTTTTAAAGAGATAATTTATTAGAAAAGAGAAATACAAGCTTGCAGTAAATGTTTCCAACAGGGTCCAAAATAGGAGTTACATTTTTTCTTCTCAGACCTTAACATTCATTTCTGAAAGTGCTTTCAAAGACCAGCCTTCAGATTCCCCTTCAGTCGTCTGCTTTACCGCCATGAAAGCCAACACCCGCCCCTCCCACTGGTCCACTACATAAAACCAAGAGCTCCTGGGATAACAGGACAGACTTACAAAGTGAATGGCCCATTTTGGTGGCAAACAAAATATGTGCAAAGTCTATCTTGTGGTCAGATACTAGGGGTTGAATTATGTCCCTGCCAAATTCCTATGTTGAAGTCCTATCCCCTGGTACCTCAGAATGTGACCCTATTTGGATGTAGGGTTGTTGCAGATTTAGTTAGTTAAAAGGAGGCCATACATACTGGAGTAGGGTGGGGCCCTAAACCCGTATGACTGGTGTCCTTATAAAATGGGGAAATTAGGAGACAGAAGTGTAAACATTAGGAGAACACCATGTGAAGAGATGCAAGAGGATGGCCATTGACAGGCTATATGGCACATCCTCAAGCCATGGACCACCAAGAAGACACGAGAAGCCAGGAAGAGAGACATGAAATGTTCTCCCACAAATCCCTCAGAGGGAATCAACGCTGTGACCACCTTGATTTCAGACCTCTTGCTCGTGGAAAAGTGAAACAAGAAATTTGTTGTTTTAAGCCACCCAGTTTGGAGGACTTTGTTACAGCAGCCCTAGCAAACTAATGGAACAGAGAATCTGAATATATAGAAAACAATGATCACAAAAAGAAACATGATAATATCATGCATCAGCAAAACAGCTCATTCTAGCCAGAGTCATATTTAGAGGGACTGTCTGTATAAATGAAAAAGGAGTATTTACTTGAGTCTTCTTTGACTTTTACCTTTCAAGTACAAGCACTTGAAATTTTTGAAAGTTATAATCATTGTTTTTTGATAAATGATAAAATACATGGAAATTTTCCAAATATTGGTTAGATCAGGAACATTGCAGCAGAGTACCCTGAAATTCCTTTTTCTAGCAGAGCTGTGCCTCAGATCAGAAACGGTGATGAATTACAGCACACAGCTCCTGTGTTCTTATCACTTTGACGACGAATAAAGAGCTGGTTTAGAATATTTACCTACATCAAGTATATAATGATGGGCTTCCCAATTGACTGCAATATGTCATAGTGATTAGCGAGTTGACCTTTTTCTTACGTTTAGAAATGTGCGGTCATACATATTAATTAAATGAATACCTTAGTATTTTAAGCCAAAGGTCCTGAAATGTATTTTTAAATTTATATATCCTTGCTTTCTGTTCACTTTAATTAGAATACTGTCACACTGGAAAAACTTCATATGAAATTATGTATTATTCACAGATACTGGCATATACAAATCTGTGATTGGGGCATTCTATAAAAATTAATACTTAGAAAAAACACATGAAGATTAGTATCAAAGACTACGTATATAAAAAGTACACACTGAAAGCACTACAGTATGCAAAAAGTACTTTTATTTAAAAATATTAATATATTAAATTTTTAAAATATTTAAACATTTAGCATATTTAAATATTTTTTAAACATTAGATCCTATTTTTATAATGACTGCCACGGTAACACTGGATATTATTATGGCACCTAACATGGACAAATTAGAATTTCTGTCTGGCGTGGAGTCCTTCCCAGCTGCTGAGTATAGTAAGGCTAGAGAAGGCTAAAATGATGGGAAAAAGGGTAAGAAAGATGATCGTAGTGGCAGCCACAGAGGACAGAGTCACCACCCACGAAGAGCATTCCAATTATACCATCTGCTCCAAGTAGGCAGGAGGAGGCAGAAGAAAACCAAGACTGGCAAAGCCTCAACTCTATGCCAAGCACTGTCTCATGCTCCTTTTAAGATTAAGGATGTCTCCCTTAATCTTCCAGTCCATCCTGTGATCTACCTTATGAGTCAGGCATTTTTCTTTCTTCTTTTTTTTTTTTTTTAGATGAAGTGTGGTTCTGCCACCCAAGTTGGAGTTCAGTGGTGCTATCTTGGCTCACTGCAGCCTCCGACTCCCAGTTTAAACAATTCTTGTGCCTCAGTCTCTCGAGCAGCTGAGATTACAGGCACCCACCATCTAATTTTTTGTTATTTTTATTTGAGACAGGGTTTCACCAAGTTGGCCAGGCTGGTCTTGACCTCCTGGCCTCAGGTGATCCTCCCACCTTGGCCCCCCAAAGTGGTGGGATGACAGGTGTGAGCCACCGTGCCTGGCCAAGTTAGGCGTTCTTCTCACTTTGCAGATATGTGAAGCTCAGAGAGGTGAAGCATGTTGCCAAGAGCACACAGTGGCCAATGGGAAGCACTGGGTCTGGGGAGCAACTGAGTGCAAAGCCCTGCTCTTCCTAGGACACACACACACACACACGGACACGGACACAAGAGCGCCACCCAGTTAATGCTGTTTGCCATTCCCCTCTGGCTGCTTTAATTTCTACGCACTCTTCAGGCAGCTCCACAAAGGTCTCCTTGCCAAACGTGGATTTATATCTAAAAAGTTTATATTCAAAAAATATTTAGCCACTGAAAACATACCACAGCAATGAAAAATTCTGCCTCTATCAGTTATATTTAACATACACTGAATGCATGATGACTATTTTAAATACTGTCACATCCTAACCCTATGCCATGGATTAAACTGTGCTGATTGATGCTTTCATGTCTCAACGAAGAATACTTAGTTGAACTAATTTAATTGTAGAGCTAGGGCCATCAGTTGTCCATACAACCTCTGCCATACCAAGTCAGGGCAAGGATCTAAGAAGCTAATTCTGCTGCCCAGGCTGGAATGCACTGGCACAGTCTTGGCTTACTGCAATCTTTGCTTTCGGGGTTAAAAGCAATTCTCGTGCCTCAGCCTTCTGAGTAGCTTGGACTACAGGTGCATGTTACCATGCCTGGCTAATTTTTGTATTTTTAGTAGAGATGTGGTTTCACCATGTTGGCTAGCCTGGTCTCAAGTTCCTGACCTCAAGTGATCTAACTGCCTTGGCCTCCCTAAGTGCTGGGATTACAGGTATGAACCACTGCTGTGCCCAGCCCCTATAAGCTAATTTTTTTTTTTGAGACAGAGTCTTGTTCTGTCGCCAGGTGCCAGGCTGGAGTACTGTGGCACAATCTTGGCTCACTGCAATCTCCGTCACCTGGGTTCAAGCAATTCTCCTGTCTCAGCCTCCCGAGTAGCTGGGACTACAGGCACATGCCACATGCCCAGCTTATTTTTATATTTTTTTAGTAGAGATGGGGTTTCACCATATTGGCCAGGATGGTCTAGATCTCTTGACCTCATGATCCGCCTGACTTGAAAGTGCTGGGATTACAAGTGTGAGCCACTGCACCCGGCCCCAAGAAGCTAATTCTAAAGAGACTGTGGTTCTGCCATCTCCAGAGATGCTGCTCCATTTCCAGTGCGTCCTGGGTTCTGAGGTCCACCCATTAGCTTTAAACCACTCAGGAGAGACAGACTAACAGGTGCATTGACCAGAGGTACACTGGGTTTTCCGCCCCCGGGATGCTTTACTAGGCAATGTTCTATACCTGCTGGGTTGCTGATAGTCTCTAAGAAATCAGGGACTATCATTTCATTGACTTTACCTGCCAGAAGGGAAAGTGAACATCTCTTAGAGTAGCTGTAGGAAATGAATCTGTCAGTGGCAAATGGCACAGAGGGAGGCACAGAGACACCCAGGTCTGTGAATCCTTAGGGGGTTCTGGGACCAAGCGAACCTTTTCATAGTTGGAGAAGCCCCCCATGACAGCTGGGTCCACGATGCCACTAAGCAGCATGGAGAGGGGATGCACAGAGAGGGACCGGTCCCAGGCGTGCTGCTGAACACAGTTGCTGATCCTCTCATTGGTCATCTCCATGGTTTCGATGGCATTCTCCAGAGGACTGATCTCCTCCTGGGTGACAGAGCATATGGGAGAAAAAGGACACTTTTCAGCTCCAAGGAAAGACTGAAAAGGTTTAACTCTTTCCCTGAAGATCATAAAATACCCACAAGCTATAGAAAAGGGAAGATTTGCTTATCAAGGTTAAGTTTAAAACAGCAATCCCCAAACACCAGGCCATGGACCAGTGCCAGTCTGTGGCCTGTTAGGAAACAGGAGGTGAGCAGCAGGTGAGTGAGGGAAGCTTCATCTGTATTTACAGCTCTTCCCCATCACTCTCATTACCACCTGAGCTCTGCCTGCTGTCTGATCAGTGGCAGCATTAGATTCTCATAGGAGTGCAAACTCTATTGTGAACTGTGGATGTGAAGGATCTAGGTTGCAATGCTCCTTATGAGAATCTAATGCCTGATGATCCGTCACTGTCTCCCATCAACCCCAGATGGGACGGTCTAGTTGCAGGGAAACAAGTTCAAGGCTGCCACTGATTCCACATTATGGTGAGTTGTAGAATTATTTCATTATATATTACAATACAATAATAACAGAAATAAAGGGCACAATAAATGTAATGTGCTTGAATCATTCCAAAATCATCCCCTATCCCCCAACACCCTCCACCTTCTCACCCCAGGTCCATGGAAAAACTGTCTTCCAGGAAAGCAGTCCCGGTGCCAAAAAGGTTGGGGACCACTAGCTTATAAGGACACCACAATTTTTTGGAATTGTGGTAAGATGCAAAATAAGGTATTTAAAATCTCCTTACCAAGTAGAATGATGACTTAAAAATGGGAGCTATGGTAATAATTATTCCTTGGACAAAATGTCTACAGAAAATTTGGGAAGAAAAGAATTGGACCTGTGGTAAGAATCATTTCTTAGGCAATGCTTCCTTGGAGACTTTTGGGAAGATCATTGACAATAGAATAGCGGTATATCAGTTCTGAGTCACTTCTGCACCAAAACTGTCCAGTGACAAAACATTTGATGCTTCCTCCGTGAAAGGAAGTACGTGATCTTGGAGGCCATGCATTCAGACCATACATAATCTTAGTATGAACTCTAAGGTTATCAGAAGTCAGAAATAATAGGATGTATTAGAATCTACAGGCTGAATTTTGGATGAAAAGAAAATAAGACAAAGTACAGATTCAGAGAGCTCTTCCTATGGAAATGCCTTCAAAATCAGGTTTCAAAAAGAAGTATCTCCTTCTTCATTCTACCCATTATCAGCCAACATGACTTCCTATTCCACACTTGAATCCAAAAGTCTCCATCCAAAAATCATATCCATACTTGAGGAGTAATGCCCCCAATTTTTTTTTTCTTTTAGAGACAGGGTCTCACTCAGTTGACCAGACTGCGGTGCAGTAGTGCAAATATTCATAGCTCACTGCAGCCTCCAACTCCCAGGCTCAAGCAATCTTTCTGCCTCAGCCTCACAAGCAGCTAGGGTGAAGGGCACATGGCACCACATCGAGCTTTTCTTTTCATAGAGGTAGAGGTCTTGCTATGTTGCCCAGGGTGGTCTCCAACTCCTGAGCTCAAGTGATCCTCGCACCCTGATCTCATAAAGTTCAGGGATTACAGGCATGAGCCATTGTACCTAACCATGACTTGTAACACATCAAACTCCAATTCATATTTGTTCAGGAAATATTTCTTGAACATCTGTTTTAGGCTAAGTACCATGCTATGCACCATATATACAAAAGTGATTAAGATGCATGTACTTCATGGCTTGGAGGAGCTGACTGTGTTAGCAGGATCTCAGGACATATAAACGTGCTAGGTTAGAAACATGACCAGGGTGTCACAAGGGACAGACTAAGGGTAGGTCACCCAACTTGGGTGTTCCAGAGATGAATTCATTAAGAGAGTGGTGCCTTGACAAGAGTTAGTTAGGTGCAGAAATTGCAAGAGTGTGTTTCAGGCAGAGAAAATGATCCAATGTCACTGAGGACTGTAATTAGCATGGGATGAGCAGTATGGTTCCAACAGATTGCCTAGGAGATGACGCGGAAGAGTTAGGCTGTATGTGCGTGTGCTAAGGAGGACGGACTTTATACTCCAGGTACTTGGGCCGTGGAAGGGTGTTAAGCATGAGAGTCGATGAAATGGCGAGGTTTCCTTAATGGAATTCCCACTGAGGCAGTGAGGCAGTGAGGAAACTGGACCTGAGAAGGCTATGCATGGCAGGGAAGCCAAAGAGGAGGTAGGAAACAAAATAGATTTAATAAACACTAAACAGGTAAAATCAGCGGCTTTTGGGAGAGTGAAGAGGGAGGAGTCTAGGGTGACTGGTGGCATGATTAACTGAGAAAGAAGAAAAGGCTTTGGGAGGGAAGATGTAATTGACAGGCAACTCCGAAGCGGCATTCCAAAAATGTTTCTGGGTGCCAGCTGGATCGCTGAGCAGACACCACTCCTCTGGACATAAAAGAGCCATTCACTGTGAGTGACCTTTAGGGCTGGTGTTGTCACATCAGTGTTACAAAGGAGCTCTACTATACAAGCATGCCTTTTATTTCTCTTTTGAAAAACAAAGTTGGCCAGAGGAGTCTGGCCAAGCTGGTGTGAACGGCAGTGGGAATTCAACAAAGCCTGTGATTCTATCTGGAGACAGAAAGTTTTTTTCTAAGTGCTGATTTCAAATGACTCACTGTTGAAATCTGTTTGACTTCAAACCATTTGAGAATCCCAGGAAAGGTATATGCAGTCGTATATGTGGTCCGTTCAATCCACATCGTCTGGTGGCAAGAAGAAAAATGTGAAATATTGGTCAATTCCCAGGAGGAAAACATAGAATGTTGGTCAATTCCCAGGGAAAACAGCCAAACTCCCTGTTTCAATTAAGTGAGATTCTATTCCCAAATGCCTTGTAGGGAATGAGCCAAATTTTCTCATAAAATTCAAGCATTCTGGATGTTTAAGGCTGAAAGGGATCACTACTTGGGACTTCTTACCCTACAGAGGGAAACGTGAGGTCCAGAGAGGGGTACCTTGCCAAGGTCATTATGAGAAGGAGGCCTAGGAAGAGTCCAGATTCTGGACTCCTACTCCAGCATTTTCCATGGAGATGACAGGTGGTTGGCTAGGTAATTAGCAGGGGAGGCCTCTGTTCCCAGAGGTGCTATTGTTTTTCCTGTGGAAGCTGCTTAGGTAGGTGGAAGACCTACACTTGGGATGTCAGTTTTACCTCTTAAAGGACAAAAGGGGCAAACTCACAGCAAATTCATTGTCTGGATCCTTCTCTCCTTTCCGGAACGGCCGGGAGTACCTGAACTGCTGCACTTCATTGGCTCTGTAGTAGCTGCAGAAGGACACAGCAAAGCTGTATTTTCTCTCTTAGAAAAACCACTTCCGGATTTGATTTCAACAAAACCTGTGACATATCTGCCGGGTCTGAGTGTTCCCCACTAAGCTATCTCACAATCGACAGTGCCTCCACATGAAGGCCTGAGAAAGCACACAATCTAATATTATTTCATGTTTACATTGTTTTTTTTTTTTTGAGACAGAGTTTCACTCTTGTTACCCAGGCTGGAGTGCAATGGCGCGATCTCGGCTCACTGCAACCTCCTCCTCCTGGGTTCAAGCTATTCTCCTGCCTCAGCCTCCTGAATAGCTGGGATTACAGGCACGCACCACCATGCCCAGCTAATTTTTGTATTTTTAGTAGAGACGGGGTTTCACTATGTTGACCAGGATGGTCTCCATCTCTTGACCTTGTGATCCACCCACCTCGGCCTCCCAAAGTGCTTGACCTGTGAGCCACCGCGCCCGGCCTATTTCATGTCTAACTTTTATATTATTTAGGAATTTATTTCACAGCACACAATCTTATTTATTTAGAGTTGGAGTCTTACTGTGCCGCACAGGCTGGAGTGCACTGGTGCTATCTTGGCTCACTGAAGCCTGTGCTTTCTGGATTCAAGTGATTCTCCTACCTCAGCCCCCCAAGTAGCTGGGATTACAGGTATGTACCACCATGCCTGGCTAATTTTTTTGTATTTTTTAGTAGAGATGGGGTTTCACCATGTAGGCCAGGCTGGTCTTGAACTCCTGACTGCAAGTGATCCCTGTCTCAGCCTCTCAAAGTCAAAGTACACAATTTTATATTTTTAAAAAGTATACTTTAAGTTCTGGGGTACATGTGCAGATCTTGCAAGACTTTTATGTAGGTATACACACACCATGGTGGTTTGCTGCCTCCACCCGCCATCATCTACATTAGGTATTTCTCCCAATGCTCTTCCTCCCCAATCTCCCTATTCCCAAGTGTCCCTCCCCTACTTCCCACCCCCCAACAGACCCCAGTGAAAGCACACAGTTTAAAAGGTATACGTGGCCAGGGGTGGTGGCTCAGGTCCATAATCCTACCACTTTGGGAGGCAGAGGTGGGAGGCACTGCTTGAATTCAGGAGTTTGAGACCAGCCAATCTGGGCAGCACAGAAAGATCGCATGCATGCACGCACACACGCACACACGCACGCACAAACACACACATCAGGCATTGTAGCACATGTCTCAGCTACTCAGAAGGCTGAAGAGGGAGATCTCTTGAGCCCAGGAGTTTTGAGGTTACAGAAAGCTATGCATGCTACTGCATCCCAGCCTAGGTGACAGCAAGACCCTGTTTCTTAGTGGGTGGATTGCCTGAGCTCAGGAGTTCGAGATCAGCCTGGGCAACATGGTAAAACCCTGTCTCAACTAAAATACAAAAAATTTTCTGGGTGTCGGGTGTGCCTGTAGTCCCAGCTACTCGGGAGGCTGAAGCAGGAGAATTGCTTGAATCCAGTAAGTAGAGGCTGCAGTGAGCCAAGATCGTGCCACTGCACACCAGCCCGGGTGACAGAGCCAGACTCCACCTCCAAAAAAAAAAGTGTACCCACTTATACTTAGGTTTGTGATCTCATTTGTACAGTTTTATAAGAGTTCTATCAACCCTATTACCATTCAGCTTTTTAACAGAGGTAATGAGGCCCTCTATCCCTGGGGACCAGCCACTCCTCCGTGATGGTTCTGGGTGAGAATAAATGCTCAGGGATATGAAAGCTAGGAGAGAAAGTCCTGAATGTCCTCTGCTTAAAAATACAAAATCCCCACATCCATGTGAATTACCAAGCTTTTATCTTACACTCAAAAAAGAAAAGACAGTAGGTCTGGCAAACTGTAATAAATATAAGGCTTTGGTTTCGATATTCCAAACAAGTGTGAGAGAGAAACCAACTTTTCTCTTTTTTGTACAGACAGAGTCCCACTTTGTTGCCCAGGCTGGTCTCAAATTCCTGGCTTCAAGCAAAACTCCTCCCTCAGCCTTGGAAAATGTTGAGATTACAGATGTGAGCCACTGTGCCTAGACAAGGATATTTTTTTTTCTTTTAATGAAAAATCACTTACTTTAAGATCTGCTCTGGAACTGGTTTATCCTTGTAGCTGGGCGGCAAGCTCATCACTGGCTTTACGGTGAAGCACTGCATGTCTGAGGAGCTCGTTAAGGAAAGGAGAAGGGCTGGGGCCACCAAGATGGCAGACAGCAAAGGCCCTGTTCCCCCTGGTTTACAGTCAGAAATGCCACCAGCACCAATCACTGCCTTTGACCCGAATGCCAGGATTGCACTGAAAATGGAGTTCCTTTATGTATCACCAAAATGTCTTACTCAATGATTATAATTTACCAGGAAATAGGTGCTTAGAAGTGGATTTAAACAATTTTCTGGGACAAGCATCCCTCTGAAATCACCAGACTCAGAGCCCAGGCTACAGGAATGCTTTTATCTTTGGATCCCATCTGTTTATCCCATGCCATAGCTGGGCACTGTGCTAGGGATTTTGATTATGTTATCTCTAATACAACAACTCTACAAGAGGGATATTATTATTCTCTTTTCACAGACGGAGAATCTGAGGATAAGAGAGGTTAAAATCCAACATCGCACAAGTGATAAGTGGTAAACTTAGGCTTCAATACCTGCTCGAGGGTAAGGGCAGCTGGTTTGATTTAATGATGGAGTCTTAGAAAGTCTTAGTACCCCAACCCACCAGTGCAGAGATACTGTTTCGAAGTCTACAACAGAATCCAGAATTCAGAATAGGAAGTCTATGTTCCACCTAAGTTCGCCATCTGGCTAGGAAATATATTTCATATCCATCATTTGTCTATTATCACTTCTTTTGCTATGTCATCGCCACCAGCTAACACTATTAGGGTCCCAAGGATTTTACATGGAATGGGAACCAGCATCAGAGTGCTTGAGAGGATGGGACTGTAGCTCCTATCGTCACTGGCTTAGCTGGGGCTGTGCAGAGCAGTAAGTGCCTCAGAGCCGTATTCCCCATGGGAAGGATACACTGCTTTGGAGAGGACTTTATGTCTTCCCCAGGAGGCGTGGTACTGGTCATCTTCTCCGCATTGGGAAACTGGGTTAGCAACCTCAGGCTGAAGTCCTCTCGCCTCTCATATTCCTTTCCCCGGTAGATGAAGATTTTATTCTGAAGGGGAGAGACAGCAAGGGAAGTCATTAAATAGGAAGAGTGAAGAGGCAACTGGCATTCTGGGTTCTGAGGGAGACATGGCCCTCCCTAGCCAAAGTTCAATCCACACCATCGAGCTCTTAGTGAGTATCTAGTCCATGCCCAACAGTGACCGTCATATCTTACAAGAGCTGCGGTTTATTTCAGAAGTTAAATCATAGGCATGAAAAATACTTAGGCCAGTGCTTCTTCCAGTGTGGCCCAAGGACCATGGCCAGTCTGTAAACAGGATCCATCTGCAAGGAAATAAGAAACTTGTGCCCTCGTTTAAATCGATGGCATGACCAGGCATGCTGATAGTTTCATGTCAAGACAAAATATCTTCCTAAGGAAGGAAGGAATAATTAATTTACATTGAGGAACTCCTTAACGATCTCATCATGATCCAATAACAGTGTGTGGACCAGCACTTGAACAGCACTGCCTAAGTGTCTTCCGGCACAGAGACAGTCACAGAGAACAGGAGCAATGGACCACAGTCCCCAGCCAATCCAGAAAGTCTGATAGAAAATCACTGCATTAAATACTATTTTCTTCACCCTAAACTGTAAATTTAATCTGTTTAATCAATTTTTTTTTTTTCCAAAGAAATTTCCTAGGCCCCAGGAATGGGAGTAATTTGTCTCACAGCTGTGGTTGTCTGGGCAAGTGCAAACACAGCCATGTATGAAATGAGCAGTTTGGAATTTTTAACCAAGACTTGGGCCCAGGTTGTCTTGTAAAATGTCTTTGAAAATCACTTGTCCATCATATAACAAATATTTATTGGGCAAACAGAAGATCAGCTGGGAAACAGGAAAATAATGGTGATCCTGCTGTCACAGAACTTACCTTCTGGAGGACAGAATAAAAAAGAAGCAAGTAAATAAATAAGTAAACATGACAGCGTAAGTACCGTGAAGGCAATTACACTTTCCAGGCAAACACTGAATGAAGGGAGTAAAAGCTGCCGGGTCTTCTGGAATACATGGTAACACTTTCCAAGCTAGGAAAACTCCATGGGACTTAAGCCTGTTGAAATTCTATCATTCAGATGAAACGCGGTGGGCAAAGGATCAGAGTATAATAAAATGCTAGTTGTATGATGCAGACGATAACCATCCAAGGAATTAGAGAAGCACGTCAGCAAGAATTAGCTCAGCGGAAAGAGGAAGCTCCAAGGAAATCATGGGCCTTAGATGGACATAGATGGATGAATGAGATAAGGAAAGGTAAAGAGAAGGGGTGAGAAGGACCAGGCAGGCACGTGGAAAGGGGAAGGCCCAGGGGCAGAAAGATCAGAGTTCCAGGAGAAGAGATGAACTTGGACTGGAAGAATGAGCCAGACTATGAATGGTAGGTTTCAAAGACTCAAAGGCATGTTCATTCACTGGAAGTTCTGGAAGGTGGAAGCCGCATGACAAAAGAAGAAGTGTAGACAATGTAAGCCAACAGTGGAATCTATGCCCAGCTGAAGGCTCACAGGCTGAACTGAGCAGAACGAAAAGTAACAGCATTCAGTGTTTGCCTCTTTGGTGATGGAAGAAGAGAAGGCAGATAGGGGAGTTGATGCTGATTCAAAGATCACTGGTCTTCAGCCTAGGAAACATAGAGAAACCCCATATCTAAGAAAAGCTAAAAACATTAGCTGTGAGGAGTGGTGCATGCCTGTTAGCCCACCTACTCAGGAGGCTGAGGCAGGAGGACTGCCTGAGCCTAGGAGGTCAAGTCTGCAGGGAGCTGTGATTACACCACTGCATTCTAGCCTGAATGACAGAGCAACACCCCGTCTCTCAAAAAAAAAACAAAAAACAAACCAAAAACAAAAACAAAGTCACTGGTCTTGGAATAGGAAGAATAGTGGTACCCTTGATGGAAACAAAGGAGATAATGAGATCTCACTGGGCTGGAAGGAGAAGATGTAATTTTATATATTCTGAATTTGGGGAAATATCCCATAGAATGGAAGGGCACTGAGGTTACATCACTCCTAAGGATTTTATATTCTATAGTACACTTTGAGGTATGTTGAGGACTATAAACTACTTAACAGTTTCCTGAGCACTCCTATATGCTATTTAAATCTCAAAACTTTCCTGTGATATAGGCATTATTTTTCTAAATTACAGATCAGAAAACCAAGACTCAGAGATTATGTGATTGACCAAAATCACATACTCACTCAGCAGGTGATTTAGACTAGAATGCTTTCCACTTGAAAGTCTGGTGTTCTTGATTTCATGGAACCACGGCTGTCTCTGTGGTCACACTTCCTGATTTCATGCAACACACAGGCGTATGTAACAAGTACAGCTGGGGTACCCGTCCTCTTATGTTGACCTGGATTAAACTAGAGCTAATGCTAGACCCTGATGCATTTAGAGCCTATAGTTTTTCTATTTTTTAATTTTTGTTTTCTTGAGACAGGATATATCACTCTGTCGTCCAGGCTGGAGTGCAGGGGCTTGATCACAGCTCACTGCAGCTTCTAATTCCAATCCTCAAGCAATCTTCCTGCCTCAGCCTACTGAGTAGCCAGGACCACAGGCACATGCTACCATGCCTGGCTAATTAAAAAAAATTTTTTTTTTAGAGATCGGGTCATGCTATGATTCCCAGGCTGGTCTCGAACTGCTTGTCTCAAACTCCTGGGCTCAAGTAAGCCTCCTGCCTTGGGTGCTGTAAAGTGCCTGTAAAGTGCTGGGATTACAGGCATGAGTCGCCATGCTTAGCTCCAGACTTTCCACTCTTTCTTTTCTTTCCTCTGCCTGGTCCATTTCATCCCCAACCATGGTTATTTTAACTATACATAAGTAACTCACCAACTTTTACCTCCTGTATGTAACTTCATTTGAGTTCCAGATCTATACAGCTAATGGTTGACTTGTGCCTTTTGGATGTTCCAAATCTACCTCCCCTTGAGTATGTGCAAAACCAAACTTTTGCAAATACTTTAGAAGGCCTTGGGAGGCCCTCTGCTATCTGGTACCCACAGCCATCTGCCCCATTCTCCTGTGCACCCCCTTGTACACACTCACCCTCTTGTACTCCAGGCTCACAGCTTTGGGACCTGCTATTCTCCAGGTCTGGGACCTTTGCTCATCCTCTTGAGAGCTGCATGGCTTACTCTTTAACTTTTTTTATCTGTTGTTTTTTTTTTTTCCAAAATGCCATTTTCTTTTGGAAGTCTTTCTTGTTTACTCTATTTGAAATTGCAACTCCAACCCCAACACCTGCCTCTCTAGTCACCTTCCCTAAGACCTCTTCTCCGGGATACTTACTGAACAGTGTTCCAGGCCATCTGATACACTAAAGACTTGATTGATTGATCTCATTTTTTGATCATTCCAAGCTGAAACATAAGCTTGATAATTTCAAGATTTTGGTTTGTTTTGACTCTGCTCCCATGCCCATATTAGAGCCAAGTACACGGTAGGAGTTTAATAAATATTTACTTAAGGAATAAATTCATTCTCTCCTCCATGACTCTGGCCTTTTCCGGTCCTGCTGACCCAGTAAATGGGGGTTCGACTACCCTCTCCAATGATGCAGGACAGAAGCCCAGAAATGATTGTTGGCACCTCTTGCTTCCTCACCCACACAGCCCATCAATCATCAGATGCAGTGACTTCATCTCCACCAGTCGAGTCTTTCCGCTTCTCTCTAGAGCCACCACCCCCACTTCCCGAGTCTAGCCTGTCATCTTTTTTCTGAACATCTGCAATGGTTTCTTAGCTGTTTATTCTCAAACACCTTCTGTCCATTCTCCATAGACGACCATGGAGACCAAAGCCAGATGACCTTTCCAACACAAAAAAATCTGCAGTGGCTCCCACCACTCTCAGGATAGGGACAAAACAACCCAGGAAACCCCAAGGCCTTGCAGGCTCTTCCAGGCTTCCCGCCTCCCCACTGGCAGCCCAGGTCTCTTTGCACCTGCTGCACTGGCCTTTCCTTCCCAGGCACTGCCCTGCTCTTGCTTGCCGCTTCCTCTGCCTGCAGTCCTTTTTCCTACCTGCTTTACTTCCTCCACTCCCACCTTAGCTTTCAGATTGCAGCTGAAACAGAAGTTCCCTGGAAAGCCTTTCCTCATGTTTTATTTTATTTATTTTGAGACAGAGTCTGGCTCTGTCGCACAGACTGGAGTGCAGTGGCACAATCTCTGCTCACTGTAACTTCCACCTCCTGGGCTCAAGTGATTCTCCAGCCTTAGCCTCCTGAGTAGCCGGGATTACAGGTGTGAGCCACTGCTCCAGGCCCTGATTGTTTTTTTTTTAAGACATAGGCTGTGTGTGGTGGCTCCCACCTGTAATCCCAAAACTTTGGGAGACCGAGGCGGGTGGAACATCTGAGGTCAGGAGTTTCAGATCAGCCTAGCCAACACGATGAAACCGCATCTCTACCAAATATAAAAATTAGGCGGGCCTGGTTGTGCACACCTGTAATCTCTGCTACTTGGGAAGCTGAGGCTCGAAAATTGCTTGAACCCAGAAAGTGGAGGTTGCAGCAAGCAGAGATCACACCACTGTACTTCAGCTTGGATGACAGAGTAAGACACTGTCTCAAAACATAAATAAATAATATTAAGACATAATCTACATACAGTAAAATGGACCCCTTTTAGTGTAAAATTCTGTGAGTTCTGACAAACATAACCAAGACCAATCAATATACAGAACAGTTTCATTGCCACTGAAACCTTCCCCAGGCCCTTCTGCAGCCAACCTCCCCGTGACCAGCAACCACTGATCTATTTTCTGCCCTGAGAGGAAGTGTTGTCTTAGCAAGAATTCCACATAAATAAAACCACAGAGTCTGCAGCCTTTTAAGTCTGACTTCTTTCACCGCGCAAGATGCATGTGGGAATTGCGCCTGCAGTTGTGCGTTTCAGGAGCTCGCTGCCTGTGGCTGCTGCAGGGTTCTGTTGTGTGGACACACTGCATTCTGTTCATCCCGTCACCCCATCGGGGACACTTGGATTGGATCCAGTCTTTGGTGACTATGATTAAAGCTGCTGCTATAAACATTCCTGTACATTTTTTGTAAAGGAGTAAGTTTTTATTTCACTTTGGTAAATATTTCCTGGTTATAAATTCTTATAGTACAGGATATCTTTCTTGTTTACAGTTTATTTGTTTGTTTATTTTTGAGACGGAGTCTCGCTCTGTCACCTAGGCTGGAGTACAGTGGTGTGATCTCTGCTCAATGCATCCTCCTCCTCCTGGGTTCAAGCAATTCCCCTGCCTCAGCCTCCTGAGTAGCTGGGATTACAGGCATGCACCACCATGCTTGGCTAATTTTTGTATTTTAAGTACAGATAGGATTTCACCATGTTATCCACACTGATCTTGAATACCTGACCTCAAGTGTTCTGCCTGCCTCAGCCTCCCAAAGTGCTGGGATTACAGACCAGCCCACTGCGCCCGGCAGTTTAAATTTTACATTCATGTGTGATTAAAATCTCCCCTCATGAATTTAGGTTGTAAAATCCATGAGGGTAGGAACGATGTTTGATTGTAATCAGCAAGATATTTTTAATGCCTTCTCTATTCCTGGCACAGAGTAGATACTCAATAAATACTCACTGACTGAATGAATAAACTGTCTCTTCATTAGGCATTCTTAGGAATGTAAATTGCTTGCTTTACCACTTGTTTTAAAATCAGGAGAAAGGAGATGGATAATAAATGTTTAAGCAAAGCTCAGCTCTAAGAGAAACTTTCTTTTAGTAACATAAGAATTTTTGTTCATTAAACTGTGAAATGAATATCGCATTATAGACAATTTTAAAATGGAAGAAAATGCCATCGTTGTCACTATTATTATAACAAAATGTTTTAATTTGAGAGACTCTTGCAGTCTGGTTCTTGGGATACCAAGTAGGTATACTTTCAAATTAGCTCTGGCTAGAAACAAAATAAACAACAAAATACATCAGTCCACACTTTTCTCCCGGCGTGACCCGTGGCAGCTGACCAGTACAGGGGATGGTTCTGTTTTTTCCCTTTTTCACTGCACCTGGGAAAAGTCATTTCAAAAGACCTGCCAGAACACCAGGGGTGTCCGGGGGTGTGGGGTGAAGAGGCCAGCCGCTCAGGAAGTGGTTTCCCTCCCGTACCTCCCATAGCGAGAACACGGGTCAGCAGCTGCTAACATACTGTTGCCCATCTGGAAAAGAAATGAGTCTTCTCCCTCCTCCTAATGGCCTGGGAGACCACCATCAGGTTTCTTACCCGTAGGAAAGAAGGAAAGCCCTGTCCATAGTATCCAACAGCAAAGTATTCAGGCTGAGGCCTCATTGCCTTAATGATGTTCTCATAAAATGAGGCCCTTTTTTTCTGCAAAACAAAACAAGACATTCCAAGGGGAGATTATAAGGACATGGTTGGAGGGAAAAAAAAGTCAGACTTTGTTTTGTTGTTTCCCATGCAATGCAGGGCAATGTAAGGTCTTTGGAAAACACCCTATGGGCAGAAAAGGGTGATTCTGTTCTTGGATCACAGGTTATGGACCTGGGTTCCATGAATGGGTGTGGGAGGGCTGGGACTCCCTGAGGGTATATGCAGAAGTGTGTGCACATTCAAATTCTTCTGCATAACAGGGCAGTGCACAACTTTGAGCAATTTCTCAAACTGGGCTCTGGACCTATGAAAGGTTAAAAGGTGCATTCTGAGATTCACAGAAGGTGGCTGCACTTAACCAGAAACCCATGGGAGAAGATAAAGATTCTTCCTCCTGACCTTCCTTCCAAGGCCAGGCACAGTGGCTCACGCCTATAATCCTTGCACCTTGGGAGGCAGAGTGGGAGGACTGCTTGAGGCTAGGAGTTTGAGACCAGCCTGGGCAACACAGTGAGACCTCATCTCTATGAAAAATTTTAAAATTAGCCAGCAGCTGTGGCAGGAAGTTGTCTTGAGTCCAGGAGTTCAAGGCTGCAACTATGACGGCGCCACTGCACTCCAGCCTGGGTGACAGTGAGACCCTGTCTCAAAAACATTCTAATAATAAAATAAATAACTTGTTTTTAAAAGAACTGTGCAGTTCATGGAGGTGGTTTGGATGAAAATGTCTGGTGAATTGTAAGTGCCCAGAAGGTGGTGATGATGTTCTGTTTTTCAGTACTTGCTACCACTTCTATCTTTAATTCGTCACAAGACGAGGGGCTTCCCAGCTGTGACTCACAGTGTTGGCCTTAAAGAAAGCAAAATAGCCAGCCAGACCTGGGCAGCTCTGAGCAATGACCCGAGCCCCAGCCCCACAATACTTAGCATGCTATTACTCTTCTATCTAGGTGACGGGCTCTGTCGAAATACTATTTTCTTAGACTGGTAACATATCGCATTACTAGTATTCCAGCTCAGTTCAGTTGATAAAAAAATTCATTTTGAGACAGGATCTCACTCTGTTGCCCAGGCTGGAGTACAGTAGCATCATTACAGCTTGCTGTAGCCTTGACTTCTCAGGCTCGGGTGATCCTCCCACCTCAGCCTCCCAAAAATTAGCTGGGACTAGAGGAACGTGCCACCACACCAAGTTAATTTCTTGTATTTTTTGTAGAGATGGGGTCTCACTATGTTGCTCAGACTGGTCTGGAAGTCCTGGGCTCAAGCAATCCATCTGCCTCAACCTCCCAAAGTGTTGGGATTATAGGTGTCAGCCACTGCACCCAGCCCAGTTGATGATATTAATATGTGAGTTTTTTTGCATGTGACAGGGGCTGGTATAGTACACTGGTAGACTTTTTACAAAGTGATCTTGACACATGGCTCCTCAAATAAATGATAATTTCATGACTATGGGTGACCTGATCTTTTCTAACTCCTCTACTAAAAATTACTGAATGCAATTTTGTGGTTGTCACCATTGGGTATTCAGAATGGTGGCTGTCTGTCATCGGGCATTTACAGTGGCAGCTGCTTTCCATTGGACATTTGGAATGGCGGCTGCCTACCACCAGGCATTTGGAATAGTGGGTGCCTTCCACCAGGCATTTGGAATGGTGGGTGCCTTCCACTGGGCACTCAGAATGGTGGCTGCCTTCCACCGGGCATTCATTTTTGTTTTGCTGTACTGATGGCTGGGAATATGGAAGATCCACAGAAAGAAAAGTTGCTTCAGGAAGAAAGAGAGAGCTGCCTATGGAGATCCTGAGGGATGTGGAAGGTGAGTCACTATTATGTGAAACTTGACATTCTACACCTTCGAGACAACCCCATTCCACTTCCAGGGAAGTTCTGAGCCTCCCGTGAAGGATAATTTGCAGAAATATTGATGAGAGCCTTTGCACTACATCTTTTCTTTTTCATTCTCATTTCAAACAAAGTTTGCTTTTCCGCTGTAAAAGACACAATTCATCCTATCAATTTATAGAAACATTTTTATGAGCACGAATTTTAACAACCCTGTTGGAGGCCAAACAAATTTTGACCCAGACTCACCAGGAGGTTGCCAAGGCCCTCGTAGTCAAACACTTTGCTTTCGTAAGTCTCAGCCAACTCTTTGCTCAGTTTGATGGCCTTCTCCCACATCTTCAGAAAAAGGAAAGTAGGGTTAAAGTGGAGAACAAGGCAGTCCAGCAGCAAAAGCCACTGGCAAGTCACTGGGAATGAGCAAGTGGTCGTGGGGGTTGAGTTTCGGTAGATATTCCTCACTTGCTTTATCCCTTGGATCAATGAAACCTTCTTTATGACATCATAAAGACAGTGTAGATTGGCAGCTTTGCCGGGGCAGCTTCTGTAGTTCTGTTTGCAAGGACATTAAGAATAACTGCCATGTGTCCCCCAAAAAGCAATACTGCATTTTATAGGCAAAGTATCTACAAAACTTGAAAGTAGAGAGGACCCACTATCAGCCAAGGTTTGGAGAGCATGCAAGCCTTGTTGGAGGGGGAAAGGAAGCTCCTGTGGGACTCTGGTTCAGAAACGTGTGTGTTGTTGGTGTGTGTGTAGGGGTGTGTGTGTATGTGTAGGTGTAGTTACGTCATTTGTGGGATGGAAAAAGCTAACAGTACCGTTGTGTGGAATTTGGCAATCTGTATATCCATGCAGGGCACTGATTCCCCTACTTAGTAGACACGAGTTTTAGGAAATGCCTCCGAGCATGTATAACCTTGTAAGTTACAGGCTAATGCATGTCCTCAGTGTCTGAAGCTAGCAGCCCAGATTGAGCCTTCTAATCACTTTGGTATTTCATGAGCTGTCTCTTGGATGGATACTATTAAACCCACAGCATTGGGTCACCTCCTGCTTCATTCCTGTTCACAAGGTGCTATGTTCCATCATTTCCGGCTGCTAAAGGAATGTGTGCAGAGCCCACAAGCCACTGTGAAACACTTCAAAATTAAATCTTTTTTAAAGTCATTGTTTGCAAAATTTGTCCCCCTCTGAAATCTCAGAATTCAAGGATATGCAAGGAGAGAATAAACAGTAGTTGTTTGTTACTGTTGCATATTAAATAATGTATCTGGTCTTGGTCCTGAGTTCCAGTGAGGTAGCTCCTAAACGCTCAGAATTTCTCAAGTAATAAAAGTCTTGGTTATTCCTGGTGCCACCACCCAAGGATCACACCCAAATCTATGCTAATGAGTCACTCATGGTGGCCTCCTAGTCTCAGGATGGGCTACCATGCCAGAAATACCAACCACGTGACTAGAAGGTTAGGGCTGTGAGCCATGTGGTATCAGCCTGACCTCCAGGGACAAAAGGAAGGCTAAAGATCAAATTCATCACGTAGTTAAAGATTCAATCAATTATGTCTGTATCATGAAACCCTACAGTGGCTCACACCTGTAACCTTGGCACTCTGGGAGACCAAGGCAGGAGGATCACTAGAGCCCAGGACTTCCAGGTTCTAGACCAGCCTGGGCAACAGGTGGGACTCCATATCTACCAAAAAAAAAAAAAAAAAAAAAAAAAACTTCAATGAAAACTCTGTGGACCCATTGCTTGGGTGAGCTTCCTGATTGAGGAACACACTGATTTGCTGGGAAGGTGCCCCAACTTCATGGGGGAAGACACAGAAGCCCCGTGCTTGGGACTCTCCCAGGCTGTTCCCTGTGGGTCCCTTCATTTGGCTGGCCCCAGTTTACATCCTACTTGATGAAGCTAGAATCGTTAAATATAGCACTTTACTGTGTTCCGTTGGTTGTTCTAGTAGACTATGAAGCCTGAGGGGGTAGTGGGAGCCCCCCAAATTTATAGCCAGTGGCCCAGAACTGTGAAGAGACTGGGGACCCCTAAAAACTTGTGGATGGCATCTAAAGCGGGGGCAGTCTCGCTGGAGACAGTGCCCTGAACCTGTGTAGTCGGTGATAACTCTAAGTGGTAAGCATCAGATTGCACTGCGATACTGCAGTCATTTCCTTGTTCCCCCAGTACAAAAACAATCCAATACTCACTTTGCCTTTGTCAAAATATGATATGATTTCTTGATACAGCTTCTCTTTAAGCTCTTGCTGAGTATAAACATAGTAACTGTCCCTCTGAAGCAAATGAGGCACACAGGGCTTGTCAGACCACTGAAAAGGAAGGAAAGCCACACATAGTTAATATGACAAATATTCAGCCCCTCACAGTCAAGACGATATTGCATGTATATTTGACTCATTGACATTGTATTTTAGCTTATGTATTAAACTCAGAAGTTACATACACACACATAGACACATGCCAGCTCCAAAACAAGTATCATGCCAAATAAATGAACACTCACAGAATTCCCCCACAAAATCAGCGATAAAGAGAAGGTCGCTAACCAGCATGACTATCGCTGTTCTGGGCCATCATTAATATAGTCAGTTAAAAGAAACAAATTAGGAGTATAAAAATGAATAGAAAGAGGTAAAACTATCACAATTTGCAAACATTATGGTTGTATTCCTCATAAGGCAAGGCTGTTGACTAACAAACTACTACACGCAATAAAATAATTAAGTTACGCAGCAGGAAAAACATTAATATACTTGGAATAAAAGAAACTTCAGATACATGGAAACTAAATATACAGAAGATAATACCAGAACAGAACCAAACAAAAATAAGTCCAAAAAGATAACATTTCTAAGAGTGAACATTACAAGGAATACGCAAGACTTATATGCAGAAAACTTTCACACGCCATTGAAAGGCACAAAAGCAGACTCAAACAAATGGAAAGTCATACCATGCTTTGGATAAGAAAACTCTATTTCATAAACATGTAAATTCTCACTAAATTAATTTTTAAATTTCATGTTTCCAAAGTCCATATGGAAAAATAAACAAAAAGGAATAGGTAGGAAAACTCTGAAAAAGAAGAGCAACCAAGAGTAACTACCAGGTAATAAAACATACTATCAAGAACTCATAATTAATACAGTGTGGTACTGGTACATGAATAGACAGAGACCCATGTAAAAGCATATACAATCTAGAAAGAAATTCCCTCCCTCCAAAAACAAGGATTTAGTAATAAAGATGGGATCTTATACCAATAAGCAAAATGTGACCTATACTTAACAAACAGCATCTCTATTTAAATAGCATGCTAAGGGGAAAAAGCTACATTTATATCTCATACCTTACACCAGAATAGGACAGTTTCTGAATTGCCAAAGTGGAAAGACCTACAGTTACAGACACTGGGGATTTCTTTCTGATCGTGCAAAGGCAAAGCTCATAGTCAACAGCTTCACCTTCTAAGCTATATACAATAAGTTTTTTTTTTTTTTGGAGACAGAGTCTTGCTCTATCACCCAGGCTGGAGTACAGTGGCACCATCTCAGCTCACTGCAAACCTCCACCTCACAGGTACAAGCAATTCTCCTGCCTCAGCCTCCTGCATAGCTGGGACTACAGGCGTGTGCCACCATGCCCCGCTAATTTTTTGTATTTTTTAGTAGACATGGGTTTCACCATGTTAGCCAGGCTGGTCTTGAACTCCTGACCTCAAGTAATCTGCTGGCCTCAGCCTCCCAAAGTGTGGGGATTACAGGCGTGAGCCTCCGTGCCTGGCCTATTATCCACTTAAATATGAATTGTGAATTTCCTTTGGGAAGTGGTGAAGCATAGAAATCCTGTTTTTAACTTGTATCTTAGGACAATGCATGTATATTACTTCAGTATAAAATAAAAAATTCACTGTAAATATGAATAGCTGGGAACAAGACTGGAGGCAGAGTGATCCAACAGAAGGCTGCTGTAGTCCTAGAGGTGTGACATGCTGATGGGATGGACGAAGGTGGTATCCAGGGAGATGAAGAAAAGTGGACTGGCCAATGTGGTGGCCCACACTTGTAAGCCTAGTACCCTGGGAGGCTCAAGTGGGAGGATTGCTTGAGCCCAGAAGTTCAAGACCAGACAGGGCAACATAGGGAGAACTCATCTCTTAAGAAAAAAACAAAAAGAAAAAAAAAAGTAGATAGGTTAGGGGCATGTTCTGAACAGAGGGGACACATCTCTTGCTTGTGGAGAATGTGGGAGGTGGTGAGTAAAAGAGAGAAATCAAAGATGACTATGAGGTTGCCTGAGCAACTAAATAGATGGGAGTTATTAGTAACATGGTAACGAGGTGTGACAGGATGGGCTGGGGAGGCGCAGAGTGAGAAATCAAGGTTCCTGTTACTGGTTTGTTCAGTCTGAGCTGTGTATTAGCCAGTCAAAGTTTATACGTCAATCCAAAGTTAGAGGAAGTGATCAGGACCAGAAATAATTACTTGAGATTCATAACATATACATGTATTTATATCCAAGCCACAACATAAATCTATTTAGGGAGAGAATATAAATAGTAGAGTACTTCTATGGTATTATATTCACTTACAACTCATCTTTCTGCAGTTTTCTGCATTTTACACATTTTTTAATGTATTCATCAATGTGTGTTTTATTTTTAATTAGAGTGTCAATTACCAAAGGTTCCTAAGTCATGGTCTGCTTTCCAAGGATTTTTAAATAAAAGATAACTGGAATTTTCCCATACTTGATCTACAAACTAGCTGGGCCTATTTTAAAAGAATTTTTAAAAAACCAACTTGTATAAAAGGATATCCCTGGAATAAGGTTTTTTCCCATTAAACTCCTGAAAGGTATAGAATTTAGTCTGAAAGGACACTGTACTCCACCCCATTGAAACAGGCTCTCAGCCATTCACCTGCAGAAGCTCAGCATGCAAGAGAAGCGTGTAGGCAGCTTCCGTGTAGTTCTCACAGTCTCGGTGCAAATCTCGAAGCTTGTACAGATATCTGGCAAGAAGGGGAGAAAGGAAGCATTTTGTCACTCAAGAGTTTTTGTTTTGTTTGTTTTGTTTGGAGACAGAATGTTGCTGTGCCGCCCAGGCTGGCATGTGCAGCGGTATGATCATAGCTCACTGCAGCCTTAAGCTCCAGGGCTCAAGTGATCCTCCTACCTCAGCCTCCTGAGGCTGGGACCACAGGCATGTGCCACCAAGCCTGGCTAATTTTCATGTTTTACAGAGACAGGGTTTTGCCATGTTGCCCAGTCTTGAGAGTTGATCTAGTGTTCAGCTCATTCCATAACCAATCCCCAGCCTGCTTCCCTGCCTGACCCCCTTCCCCATTACTGTTCAGAAGCATTTCCTTCCTCTTGAGCCAAGGAGTTGGTTCCTCCCCATTTCTTTAATACACTGTGCAGCCTTCTGCTTCCATATTTTTCCGACTCCATCTAAACTAGACAGAGTTTCTCCTCTTTTTTTTTTTTTTTTGAGATGGAGTCTCGCTTTGTCTCCCAAGCTAGAGTGCAGTGGAGTGATCTTGGCTCACTGCAACCTCTGCTTCCTGGGTTCAAGAGATTATCCTGCCTCAGCCTCCCAAGTAGCTGGGATTACAGGTGCCAAACACCATGCCTGGCCAATTTTTGTATTTTTAGTAGAGATGGGTTTCACCATATTGGTCAGGCTGGTCTCGAACTCCTGACCTTGTGATCCCAGCCTTCCAAAGTGCTGAGATTACAGGCATGAGCCACTGTGCCCAGCCTCTCCTCTTTCTTTAAGGCAGTGATGCTTAATGTTTTTAAATTTTAGGTCTTTGACCCCTTTGGGAAGCTAATGAAAACTATGGAATCTCTCCCAAAGAACGTGCATATTGGTTATGTACAAGTTTGTTTTATGTACAGGGATTTGCAGACTTGAGGCTAGGACTCTTTGGCAGGTTTTCCTGCCTCTCCCTGTATAGCCTCTCCCTACGCAGCCTCTCCCTGTACAGCCTCTCCTGCCCACCCAGGCAGAGAGAAGTTGTGTATCTCTCCCCTGATCCCTGACATGACCTCACTTACGCATTCCTTCTGGTCGTACTTACTTGTGTATCTGTCTAAAGAGTTTATCTGTTCAGGGTGAATGAAGCATATCATGTACTTTTAGGGGTCTCTCAAAGCAGCAAACATGGTGTTAGGCATGGTATTTGTTTACTGAAGAAATCAATCACAAAGCCATGAAATAAACTGCAGAAGCAAGATGCTTCCTTCAGCTTACCGTATGTATATGTCCTCTCTCTTCTTTTCTTTATAAAAATTCTGCCAGAGAAAAAAAAAGAGGATCACAAAATCCCAAAATAAATCAAGAGCTATTGACGAGCTGGCCACAAAAATAGCCAAACCACTATTGTCGCTTTCCCACAGTTTCACTTTTCCAAAGAGTTCACTGTTTCCCTTTAACAAATATCCCTATAAGAAAAGGGGATATTTATCCTCAGGAAGCAAAGGCACAAGAATGACATAACGGACTTTGGGAACTCAGTGGGGAAGGTTACAGGGGGGTGAGGAATAAAAGACTACATTTTGGGTACAGCGCTTGGGTGACAGGTGCTGTAAAATCTCAGAGATCACCACTGAAGAACTTATCCATGGAACCAGAGACCACCTGTACCCCCAAACCTATTGAAATCGAAATGAAAACAAACAAAAAACACACCAAATTTATCCTTGGGGTCTGTGGCTGCTGATACCTGTGAGCTGAGCCAGCCATTCTGATCAGACTCAGGAAGACCCCGGCTCTATGAAGGTGCCCCAGGGCACCTCTGTGTCTGTGAGATCTACCTAGAGCTGAGCTGTGGGGTACAGGGGTGGCCTGGCGGTGCCCTCCTGCCATCCCGGGGGCATGTCACATACCAGCACGTTCACGGTGCAGCTCATGCGGTTCTCCTTGCTCTCGTCCTGCATGACGATGGTTCTATAGTCCAGCAGGTTCTCTAAGAGGCTGCTGACCAGGAGGGCGAAGACCTCCCCAGAGCCGGAGAGGTATTTGTGTTTCCGGCAATGTTCTAGGAGCCTGGAGAGGTGGAGGGAGAGACAAAAGCCTGGGTCCCACACTGTCATTCCAGCAGCACTGACCAGGGTCTTAGCAGCAGCTGGGGCAGGATTTGATGACACAGAATGTCAGCCTTAGATATGAAGTGACACAGTTACGCCAACACACACCTCAAGCAACATCTTCCTGGCCTGGAACCTTCGCTTATGCTGAGCTCTGTTGACTTGAGTTCCAGTTTTCTTTAGGACTCAGCTTAAGTCCCACCATCACTTAGAATCCCAGCCCACAGTGTCCTTCTTTCAATGTCTTTTGTGTTTGTGTTTTATTCAGTCAACAAACCCTTGCTCAAAAGGCTTACGTGTGCTCTCTGAGAACTCTAATCAAGCTGTATGAGACCATTTTCTTCCTGTCTCTATTCTCCCTGAGGCCCAGCATTCATGGCGTCCTTCAAACATTCTGGAACGCCCTGGATGGATGTCCAGCCTAGAGGAACCTAGTACACCTCCTGAAACACTGAAACATGGCTCTTTAAAGTGTTAGCTTCAGATAAAAATGCAGAGTTATGACTTTCAGTCTAAATCCTGTCCCTTTGGACCCACATAGAGTCAAATTCTGGGGTTTATTAGATTAGGTAATCAAAAGAAAAGAGGGACAAGAGGGAGAGGGAAAGAGAAAGAAATGGGTCCAAAACATTAGTTCAGATTTAGGGTTATTCTTGGGCACTAGAGACCTATGTATCTGTATTTTTTCTGAGTTAGTGATCTAGGAAGGAAACGAGGTAAGATCCTTACATTTAAAAAAATCAGCTGTAGGATTAAAAATAGTAGCATATCATGTGTAAATATTGTGTGTATATGTGCATAACTTCACTTAATTCCACATAAGATCAGAATTGCAAAAGATACAAACTGGAAGGTTTGAACCTCAAATGGAGAGACTTAATGGAAACACAATGAAAAATCGAACCAAAGTTCTTATCACCATTAAAAACAAAAGAAGAAAGACCTCTAGTCCTTTCAAATACAGACTGTTCATCAATTCAGTTCCATGGCTAAGTATTCCGAGTGCTAGTTCCTTAAGGAATCTTCAAAAACAAAAACATTTGGGAGTCCTGTCCTTAAACCCAGACCCTCACCCACAAACAGGTGAGCACTGTAGTGAACAAGGCAAGCACTCAGCTGGAGATGCAGTTGGTCAACATCAGAAAAGTTCAGGGGACGTGAGAAAGCAATGGTCTAGAGTAGCTACCACCTGAATGAAGGGAAGGCCTGTAAATAATAATAACAGTAGGCCAGACGGGGGTGCCTCATGCCTGTAATCCCAGCGCATTGAGAAGATGAGGCGGGAACATCACTTGAGGCCAAGAGTTTGAGACCAACCTGAGCAACAGAACAAGACCCCATCTCTACAAAAATAAAAATAGCCAGCTGGGCACGGTGGTGCATGCCTATAGTTTTAACTATTAGGGAGGCTGAAGTGGGAGGATCACTTAAAGTAAGATTTTGAGGCCAGCCTCGGCAACACAGCAAGACCCCTTTTCTTTTCTTTTTTTTTCTTAGAGACGGAGTTTCGCTCTTGTTAACCAGGCTGGAGTGCAATGGCGTGAACTCGGCTCACCGCAACCTCCGCCTCCTGGGATTGGGCAATTCTCCTGCCTCAGCCTCCCAAGTAGCGGGGATTACAGGCACATGCCACCATGCCCAGCTAAGTTTTTGTATTTTTAGTAGAGACGGGGTTTCACCATGTTGACCAGGATGGTCTCGATCTCTTCACCTCGTGATCCACCCGCCTTGGCCTCCCAAAGTAAGACCCCTTTTCTACTCAAATAAAAAAAGGAAACAGCTAGGCATGGCAACACATGCCTATAGTCCTAGTACTTGGGAGTCTGAGGTGGAAGGATTGCTTGAGCCCAGGAGTTCAAGGCTTTGGTGAGCTATCATGGCACCACTGCACTCCAGCCTGGGTAACAGAGAGAGACTCTATCTCTTACAAACAAACAAACACAGGCCAGGCATGGTGGCTCATGCCTGTAATCCCAGCACTTTGGAAGGCCAAGGTGGGTGGATCACAAGGGCAGGAGTTCGAGACCAGCCTGGCACAGATAGTGAAATCCCATCACTACTAAAAATACAAGAATTTGCCGGGCACAGTGGTGGGTACCTGGAATCCCAGCTACTTGGGAGGCTGAAGCAAGAGAATCACTTGAACCTGGAGGCAGAGGTTGCAGTGAGCCAAGACTGTTCCACTGCACTCTAACCCGGGCAACAGAGCAAGACCTCATCTCAAAACACACACAAATGCACACACACACACACACACACACACAAAACAAACTGTAATAATAACAACCATGAACACTAGAGCAGCCAATATTTATTAGGCATGAACTCTGCAACAGATGCTATGTTAGCCCATCATCTCCTGTAATCCTCAAAATAATATAAAAAAAAAGATGCTATTCTTGGAGAGGGGGAGAAAAATGAGATGTTGGATAAGCAGAATCACTGGACTAAAGCCAAACTCTTAATATGAGGCAAAAACAGGGTTTAAAGCTCAGTCTCTCACTGAGGCCAGCAACTAAGTGTTTTTAGTCACTTTCCCAGTTTTTATGACTCCACAGGTGCCAAGAAAGATGATGAGGGCCAGAGGGTCATAGGTGAGTGTGGTGTGGGGCAAGAGGGGACAGTGGGGATAATGGGAGCCCAGATAGGGGCATAGATGTGTGGAATGGGGTGGATGACAGGGCATGGCAAAGACCAATCTGGCTGGAGATAGAACTGCTTTGGTTTTATGTCCTTTATGGGGCATAAGTTATTTGTGACATATACAGCACACCTTGAAATATTTCTTCCTTTACATTGTTGCTTTGCAGTTATAATTAGAGGTGCTAAGACTTTTGTTGAAGTTCAAAAATGCAAACACTGGGCAAAATGCCACTGCTCTGTGCACCTCCTCCTCATTTCCATCTGCTGTGTTCTCTAGGGCCAGGCTGGCCAGAAAACACCGACATTTGACTCCCACCAGCTAAAGATGTCAGCCGTGGACAGTACACACCCCGTAACCAAACCGAAGACCACAGTGGGGGTGGCCCCGGCGACTCTGAGACTATCGGTGCAACAGCACCCCTGTTTTTCTCTGTTACTAAATGTCACCACTGACTTAAGGTTTTGTCCCTGAAATACTCACAGTTTTTCCAGAAGGACCTTGTATTGTTCGTCTCCTCTGCCCCCTTCTACCTCCTGGTCCAGCCTTGTGATCAGCTCATTCTCAAACTGAAAGCAAAGACAGAGTTTCATAGGAAAACATGGCATCCATAGAAGACGACATGGCCAACCTTTCTAGACTTGGTCAACCCATTCATTAAGTTGTGAACTGTTTCCAAAACAGATAGGGAGCATCACAGAGGGTCACACATGAACTGTGCACCAAGACCCTATCAAAATGTTCTAATGTAGTCTCATGTTACTTTGTCCTTTGCATTACATTTGATTAAAAAAATTATTATTGTTATCCAAAACATTGCTTTATGTTACAACTATGCATGTAAAAATAGAATAATAATTCTAAGGCTGGGTGCAGTGGCTCACACCTATAATCCCAGCACTTTGGGAGGCCGAGGAGGGCAGATCACGAAGTCAAGTGATCGAGATCATCCTGGCCAACATGGTGAAACCTCGTTTCTACTAAAAATACAAAAAATTAGTTGAGTGTGGTGGCAGGCACCTGTAATCCTAGCTACTAGGGAGGCTGAGGCAGGAGAATCACTTGAACCCGGGAGGCAGAGGACGTAGTGAGCTGAGATCACGCCACTGCACTCCAGCCTGGTGACAGAGCGAGACTCCGTCTAAAAAAATAAAGACAAAAATAAAAATAATTCTCGTTTTTCTATTTTGTTTTAGTTTCATGTCCAAGTCTCGGCAGTGAGATTGCTTTTGCAGAGATTCACAGCTGCTAAAAGATCCTTTCAATACTAATACACTTTGTAGATAAGAAAACAGAGGCATGGGGAAGACATATGAGGAAAACCACATTCTCAAAGCTACAGAGTAATGGACTAGAACTTAACCCACTGCACTGCTTTCAGCCATACTATAATAGATAGGTTTTAAATTCGATTCACTACATCACTCTTTGGGCCATACTGAAACAGCCAGGATTAAAATGCATGAAGTTAAGTTTTTTAAATTATGCAGAGACAGGGTGTAGCCTTAGGAAAGACATGTAGCAAAAAGATCTCTTCCAGGTTCTGGGCTGTATTACCTGACTCGATCTCTAATTGCTTTACAAAATGAAATATAAAGTGAGTTTTCAGATCAATGTGGACTTGCACTATTTAGGTTACTGCTTCTCTATCTACACAGAAAGAAATGAGTTATGAGTCGACTATATGTGCATTTACCAACACCACAGGGTCTACTACTTCTTACCATATGGAAATTGCCATTTCCACTGAAATTGAACTCACACTGCATCATATCAAAGAAAATGGGGATTGTGGCTTTCCGGAGCTCTACTTCGGGGGTCAGAGTGACCTCCAGAATGGGACCCACCATGGATGGGATGAATTTGATTTTGTGGGGACCTGAAATGAAAGTAAATGAAGGTATTAAAAAATTATTTCATTGAAAGGAAAGTGTTACAATCTTCCTCCACAGGGCCCATAAGAAAAGAAAAGGTTTATGTGGGAAAATCAACTCAATTCAGAAGTGAGTGACTCAATATTATATTCTGATAACACGTGGATGCCAGAGTAAGAGGCAGTTCATTATCAGTGAAACCCAAAAATCAACTTTCACTTCCAGACACACAGACAAATACATCTCAGGGTTATCTGGATTAAAATAAAAAAAGAATTCATTGTGGGATGCTTATCACTCAGAGGTTGTGATCAGGCCTGTTCAAGGCTAGACACTCACCCAGGTTATACCACATGTCCCGGATTCTAAAGCCGATTGCCTTTCTCATGTCCCCATACCTAGGAAGAAGATCATAAACCAGAAGGAGGATTTGCAGTGGAAACGAATCGCATCAACACGATAAGAAGTAAAGTAAAAACAGTCTGTGTCCCTCTTGGTCAGTCTTAAGGCCCAGCCTTAAGAAATGAGGTTCATACCTAAATGAGCACCCAAAGAGAATAGGGCACACAGAGGCCAGGGGACCCTGACAGCATAAAAAGCCAAATGAAAATGCTGAAAAATAACTGAGAAGATGAGATTAACAAACTCACTTCAGGGAGAAGAGTGAGACACAGACACAGCCAAACAAAACACGGCAAACACTGATGAAAAGGAAGATGAACAGAGTATGATTATCCGGTAATGTGAGTGAAGTCTAACAGGCAGACTCAATACTTTACAGACTTATATTTGGGGAATATACATCCATTCCAGTGTGTTCTTCAACGTATTCACACTGGAAGGCTCTGCATCATGCACTCTCAATGGGACTGATACCGCCCACAAAGGGATACAAATTGGTTCTTGGGAGCAAAAAATACTTTGCAGTTTTTGGCAGGTTTTGAGGGAGGAACTGGAGGTAGAAGAGACTAAATAATTCTCCTAGGTATCACAGAGATCCCAATAAGGGGAACAGGACTAAAATTTCAAAGTCTTCAAATACTACATTTCGCAAGTTATTTTTTAACAACATGGCCTTTGGGCCATGAAATGAAATATTTTCCTAAATCTCTTATCACTCCTGCACATGATTCCATTTTGAATTCCAGGCCAGGAATCTTGAGGGCATTTTTCTGCAATGTTTGAGTCCTGACTTTCTCTGCTGAAACAACAGAGAGGTAGAGCCACTGTGCTGGAGTGTGGTTTGCGAAGCACTATGAGCGAGGAAGTACTATGCCTCGCTGCAATCTGGGGAAGCTGCAAGCAGAGGCGCAGCTGTTCTTGGGGAGGGGCATGCAGAAAGCTGAGGTCCCTCTCCAGGTACGTATTTGATAAAAAGCTTGCGATGACTGATGGGAAGACAGTTGGGCCTTAAGAAAAGAGAGGTGAACCTGAGGAATATGAGGTCTGTTAAGTAAGTAGTTTAAGGCCTACCTCACTCACAACATGGATAGTCACTAAATAGTAACTTCTGTGATATCTAAAATACTGCTCTCAATATAAACTGAAGAAGCCCCTTCCCGATCTTAACTTTAAATGGACACTTACTTTTTAAGAATTTTGGTGCGCTTGGCTTGTGAGAAGGTTTCAAGCTGAAGGGACTCGTGGGTGAGAAATGCTACTGCCAAATGGAAGTAATTGTTCCAGAGCTGTTCAAAATTAATTGTGGGGGTAAAAGGAAATGAAAAATAGCATGAATAAGGATCATAATAAAACAGTGTCACATTGTAAAAAGTCATTAACCAGGGGTTAGTGAAACAACAAAATACAATCTACAAGATTTCTTTTTCCTGGGTTTTGATTATTCAATCCTAAAACCTTTGAGACTTAATATTAAGCTTTAAAAAAGCATTTAAACGATTATATTTTTCTTTCCTCCTGGGATAAAGGAAAACTGCGGCCAAGAAGTGTATCTATTTATAGTAGTTGTTTGGCACTATGTTTCAAAAGCCCTACAATTTCCCCAAACTTTGGAAATAGTAAACACTTTTAGGACGTTATCCTGATGAAATAACGACGAATATGTATATACACACGAAGACAAACATGACAAATGTGTGTCTGTGTGTGTTTTTCTTTTGCAACAAAGTGTTGCTCTGTCACCCAGGCTGGAGTGCAGTGGCGTGATCTTGGCTCATTGTAACTTCTACCTCCCAGGTTCAAGCGATTATGTTGCCTCAGCCTCCTGAGTAGCTGGAATTACAGGTGCCCACCACCACACCTGGCTAATTTTTGTAGTTTTAGGAAAGAGGGTTTCGCCATGGTTGGCCAGGCTGGTCTTGAACTCCTGACCTCAGGTGATCTACCCATCTCGGCCTCCCAAAGTGTTGGGATTACAGGTGTGAGCCACTGCACCCGGCCAACCACGAATATTTAAAAATATTTAAAGCAAGGAAATCCATCACAGTGTTATTTAACATAATAGAAAATTGAAACAATCTAAATGTTCATAAGAATTTGATTAAATACATCATGGACCAGTCATAGGACAGACAGTATTCAGACATTAAAAATTTAAAAATATTCAACATTATTGAAAAGATCACAGATAACTGAGAAAGGAAAATAGTTTAAAAGGGTACCAAAGAACTGCACAGCTCAATTCCATTTTGGCAAATATACATATATACATACACATACATATAATATATATTCATCTATATGTGTATGCATCTGTGTGTGTGTGTGTGTGTGTATACTTTCCTCTACTTATGATGAGCTTCCACTTTTAAAGTTCTGAGGCAAAGAAACATGACCTGGAGGTCAATTCACACTGACTTCCTAGAACTGAATCAAAAGAAAATCCTCACTCTCTACACCCAAGTAACAAAAGGATCAGAGACTACTCCTTTGCAACATGTGGCAGATGACAAATTCAAAGTATTGGTCCCCTCCCACAACCAATCAGACTGGTCACTAGCCACTCCTTCATTTACACAGGGTGTAACCAAGTAACCAATGGGAAACTTCTAGAGGGTATTTAAATGCCAGAAAATTCTGCAAGCAGTGCTCTTGAGCCGCTTGCTGGATCCCGCTCCCACTCTGTGGAGTGTACTTTCATTTCAATAAATCTGTGCTTTTGTTACTTCATTCTTTCATTGCTTTCCTTGTGCATTTTGTCCAATTCCTTGTTCAAAATGCCAAGAACCTGGACAATTTGTAGTCAAGAACCACCACTGATAACAGTTCCACAGATACAAAGACAAAGAACACAGAAAGCACATCACCCACAAAATGCAGAGTACTCTGGGAGGTAAGCAGCATGAGAGCAAGGAGCTTACCTGCCTTCACCAGGGAAATGCCCCTACTGGGGCACAAAATAGTGCCCTGTACATATAAGTACTCTGACATTTGTTAAATGGATGAATGAATGAGTGAATCAATGAATGAGTGAATGAAGATAGAGCTAGTGAATCAACGAATGAGTGAATGAAGATAGAGCTAGTGCTATAATCTGTTCTGTAACTCCTTTAGACTTTCACAAACTATGAATACAAACTGCTCTTTAGAACTCTCCATTTGTAGATAGGAGAGTTACCTGTGCCCTTATTTGTAGCCATGTGTGTCCACGTGTATTTGTGTAAATATACAAAGGGTCAACTCCAAATGTTTACAGCGACAAGGAGGATTATTTGTATTTCTGATCTTCTACTATTTTTAATTTTTTTTTGTTTTTTTACATGTGTTACGTTTATAGAACGAAGAAACAACCCCTATTTTATTGTGTTTAGAGGACAGTGGGACAGGTACGTGTGCTTTAGAAAATGAAAAAACACAGGAAAATCTTTTTTACATGGAAATGGTGAAATCTGAGGAGACATTTTCCAAATTCATATAGTTCTCTTGCCATGGGCAAAGAATTACAGAAGCATGTAGGTGAGACACATGCCTACCTGAAGTTCAAAGCTTGCCTGATCCATGAAGCATTTTGTGAGAACTTCAGCAAACTGATTTATAGCACGGAGAAAAACCCTGGGGAAGGAAAACACCAGATAAAGAAGGCAACTTTATGCCCTTTGAAACCTTTTCCCACCAATGTTAAAAACTAAATCAAACCTGAACCTGGCATCATAAGACCTCACAATCTTACAGTGTCCTGGTAGACCAGAAGCACAACACCATCCACAGACGGGGCACAGGAGCTTAGTTTATAGAACTCACAAGACGAGCCACTCAGGGCCACATCCCAACGTAGCTAATTGATGGCACATCTGTGACTGCAAACCAGGCCTCTTAAGCCTCAAACCAGAGTAATATAGAGTCTATTATGATGCTTCTGTTGAAGCTTAGGGTTTCTGATGCAATTTTTAAAATCTAATCTGTACCTAGCAGGGAAACCTTCTTCTAATCAGGTATCAGAGTAGAATTACTCAGAATCGGAGATCATGTAGAGTTAACAATAATGCTTACGATAATGGTTTACTTTATTTAGCTCATTGAATTCCAACACTCTTTAAATATAATATGTATTCAGTTCATTTCCCTTCTGTTCAACAAGTACTTGTTGTGGGCCAGCAAATGCAAGGCATGGGCTCAGGTCTGTGCTGAAAGACATAGTTCCTGTTCTTAAGAAATATGTAACTTAGGGACATTAACAATATGTACATCTAACCATTATCCAACATAGAATCTGAAAATAATTCTATGAGAAGGTTTGAACGGGGTATGGAAAATCAAAGGAAGAAGAGATGACATCCAGGCCAGAAAGGCTTCCTCTGGAGGTGACGCCTGAGAAGAACCTATGGAATGGCAGAAACACTGACAGCCAGAGGTTATAGGGAAGGCACTGCTGGCGGAAGACCAATGTGAGGCAGAGAAGACCATGTGTTGAGGGACTGGGCAGAGGCCAGTTTGGTCGGAGTACAGGTACACACACAGGGAAGGAGCAGAAGCGACTAGTTACTGGGCACTATGTATTGGAAGCCCTACGATTTCACCAAACTTTTGAACTAGTAAATTCTTTTAGGAGTTTATCCTGATAAAATAACCACGGATGTTTTTAAATATTTAAGGCAAGGAAGGCTATCACAGTGCTACTGCACATAACAGAAAATGGAAAGAATCTAAATGTTCATAAGAAGAATCTGGTTAAACACATCATGGACCGGTCATAGAACAGACAGTAACAGTCGAGTCCTAAATGTCAGGATGAAGCCAGGCCACGTAGAGACACTGAAAGGTGCAGTGCAGAGTTGAGGATGACGATGACCATGAGAGCACTGAAGAGACTGCGCTAGAGAAGGGAGCGAGAGCCCATGGCGGGCAAAGGCAATGACCCTGGGGAACTCAGGATCATGAGCACATAAATTTGGTCCTCTGGAGCAGGAAGATCCTCACTTTACAGATGGGTTTGAGGCAAAGGGATTTAAAGGCACTTCCCAAAGTGCACACAGCAGCCTCAGGTATTCAGATAAATGCCTCAGGGCTGGCCACGGGCTGTCTCACCTGCTTTGAGTCATATTCATCACCATCCAATCTTTGGCATAGACATTCTTTCCAATCAGGTCCTTGAACAGGATAAAAGTTTCCATGAGGAAGTCCTGCAGAGAGCAGAGGAGAGGTTGGGGGAAAACTGGGTTCCCTTCATAGTCTTTATTCCGCGTGTACATAAGCAGAACCACAGCCTCAGAACAGGATGTCCTTAGTCCCACAGTAACAGCCCATCTTTCCAGGGTTGTAGGAATAACAAAGCTAGCTATGATGTGATTTGATTTTTGTATTGTCGGACGCTATAAGGAAGATGAGGACAAAAGGAATCATCCACATTTTACAAATGGTACAGCTGAGGCTGAGAAAAACTAAAGGACTTGCTTAAGAGCATACAAAGTGGGAAGGAGGGCCAGGTGTGGTGGCTTATGCCTGTAATCCCAGCACTTTGGGGGGCCGAGGTGGGCAGATCATGAGGTCAGGAGTTCAAGACCAGCTTGGACAACACGGTGAAATCCCATCTCTACTAAAAATACAAAAATTTGCCAGGCATGGTGGTGTCTGCTTATAGTCCCAGTTCCTCGGGAGGCTGAGGCAGAAGAATCTCTTGAACCCAGGAGGTGGAGGCTGCAGTGAGCCGAGATTGCACTATTGCACCAGTCTGAAGGTCAGAGCAAGACTCTGTCTCAAAAAAAAAGAAAAAAAGAAAGCAGGAAGAAGAGGTGAATGAGAACTTGGGGCTTTAAACCCCAAGTTTGAAACCCTTATCTCTTTCATCCTCTGCTGCCATAGCTTATCAGAATGTAACTCATGCACTTAAACATAACTCAGCAATAATTGTTGGGAAATGGGTACGTTTAATAGATTTCAGTTCAATTCTCCTTTTTACGGTTAGAACAGGACAACATGATACACATGAGAGGTAGAATCACGATTCTTCTTGTGCCAGGGACGTTATCATGTGCAGCCTGGAAGTAGCGTCCTGAATGGCCCTCAGAAACGGATCCTAACAGTGACTGGTGACGACTAATAAGTAATCACATAAGCATACAGAGCACAGAATAGGAAACCTGGCTCTTCTGCTCCAAAGGGGACTGGGAGCCAAAACTAATTCAGAAATAGAACAGAGTTAGAAGCAAAGCTAAAACATTTTGAAGGCATTTTTATTAGCTAAATTTAGACCTTTTCCAGTGGGATTCCTGAAAGTCCTGTCCAGTTTCTCTGACACTAACTTACGCAGTCCTGTGTGGACACCTGCATATTATGCAGTAGTAAAAACAGTATGTGAGAGGCAGGAGGCCCAGGTCTATTGCTAGCCATATTTTTCTGAGACACTGGTCAAGCTGGGTAACTTCCTATACTTTGGATGCTGAATGGCATGGGGGATGGCTCTCTCTGGCCAACAAGTGTGTGTGCAACTGTGGATTTCCCCCTGGTTTTATGGTGAGTTAGACATATCCACCTTCATTTCTGAAATCCCACACATAGTTAATGAATTCAAAATTTGTTTCATCATATATTTTATTTATTTATTTATTTTGAGAGGGTGTCTTGGCCTGTCACCCAGGCTGGAGTGCAGTGGCATGATCTCGATTTACTGCACTCTCCACCTCCCCTGGGTTCAAGAGATTCTTCTGCCTCAGCCACCCCAGTAGCTGGGATTACAGGTGTCAAGGTGTTCTGCCACCACCCCTGGCTAATTTTTCATTTTTGTAATTTTAGTAGAGATGGGGTTTCACCATGTTGGTCAGGCTGGTCTCAAACTCCTGACCTCCAGTGATCCACCTGCCTCGGCCTCCCACAGTGCTGAAATTACAGGTGTGAGCTGCCGCATCTGGCCTCATTATATACTTTAAGTGCTTCCCCCAATTTATTAACCATTCTGTTAACCTTTCTTTGAAATCCACAGGCATTCACGGCTTGTGAAGCAAGGATTGAATTTAGATACTTGTTATTTGGTTCAGACACAGATTCTCCACTGAACTCCTAGAAATCTAAATTAATGAGACACCATGACAAAGGAAACTCACAGAGAATCCCAAAGCTCCATTTTATCCACCACTTCCCAATGGCCTTTTTGCAGTTCACTCAGAATGCAGCATGAGGGAGTGAAAGGAATGGCCACTGGGAGGCAAAGGCCTGGCTGTGTATGGTAGCTCGCCCACTGGAGACTAAATTCCAGCATGTTCCCTCATTTCCCAAGGCCTTCGTTCCCTCGTGGGGATAATGATCCTCTTTTAATTACATAATATAGGTGGAGGAGCTCGCCAGCATGCTGGCAAACAGGAGGTTTGCCCCTTTTTTTCTTACTTAACAATGGAGCCCAATTGTTAGCATTTGAATTTAAAACCTCCCTATTATGCCTGCTTTCTGAAGGAAATTTGAAAAAAAAAAAAAATCCCTAAAATGTTTAATGTTAATTTTACTTTATATAGCAATAACAACATGATGATTGTTATAAAAAGCTTGTCCTCATAGGCATTAGCTACATGCCAACCTGCAGGAAGCTGGCCATTTCCCATGCATGAAACCAAGTAACACTTAAATTACACTCAAGGTGGGTACTCTCTTACAGGTGAGGAAACTGAGGTTGAGTGAGGTTAAACAGCTTGCCCCATATGGCATACAAGAAGTGGAATCATCAGAATTCAAACCCAGAGCTGGGTGTTCTAAAGCCTGTGCTCTTACCTTCTATACCACCTGCCTGTAGAGATCTCACACATGGCTACCCTTGGCACCCTTGGCCTTACCCCTCCCCTCCCTTCCTCTCATCCTGGTCCTCTTGCTCCTGGTCTCCACAGGCACACCTACATATTGTTATGGTTCCTGTGACATGCTGCCTGCCAGGGTGGCCCAAGGGGCAGCTCATGGAGACCTTCGGTTCAAGTCACGTGGTCTAACGCTGAGAGTCTACCATGGGACCAACTAATAACATACAGCATTTTCCCTCAAATTCCTTGTATGTTTGTCCATCATGTGGGCATCTCAGAAAGGAGAGTGATGGGCAAGGAAGGAACTGCGAATCCATGGGGGCGCTGGCCACCTGCTCAGCATGACAGATGCAGAAAGTGGAGAATCCAGAACAAAAAGACTTGAATATGCACAGATGATGGGAAGTTATTCAAAGACTAGTGTCCACATGACATCAGTACGCTAATTTAGCTGCACATCCGGTCTATTAGACTGCTCTGCAAAGTCTAAGAACACCTTCACGGACATCTGAACATACATAGCAATAATTATATATATAAATAATATGAAGGGCCACCAACAATGCCCTAAAGGGAAGGCGCTGTAAAGTCACAGCCAGAGGCCTAACTCAGCCTCTTAGATGAATGCTTCATAGCAACTAGGAGAACAATTTTCCTGCTTAAAACAATAGAGAACAAAATATTTTCAACTGAAGATAACTTATAAACGTTTTTGGGGAGAGAGAGCATGGAGAGAAATGCCAGATATAGGAGATGGGGAGGAAGGCAGCAAATCACACTACCATGTGTGTACCTATGCAACAATCTTGCATGTTCTTCACGTGTACCCCAAAACCTCAAATGCAATTTAAAAAAAAAAAGAAAACAAAAAAAAATGTTTTAAAGCAGGAGTCCCCAGCTTTCTTGTCACCAGGGACTAGTTTCATGAAAGACAATTTTTCTATGGATGAGGGCAGGAAGGGGTTTTGGGATTAAACTGTCCCACCTCAGATCATCTCAGGCATTAGTGAGATTCACAAAAGGAGCTGGCAACCTAGATCTCTCCCATGTGCAGTTCACAATAAGACTCTGCTCCTGTGAGAATCTAATGCCTCTGCTGATCACACAGGAGGCAGAGCTCAGGAGTTAATACTCAGTGGCCCACTTGTACCTGCTGTAAAGGGCAGGGATTACCTCTTTTTATTGCCCTCTTCCAAATGATATCAACAATGTCTTAGGAGACTTTGCACACCCCTGCCTTCTAAAATCCTTGCCACAGCATCAATAGTTACTGTACCCACATAATAAGCAATATCCTCTTTTCAGAGCAAAAAACATCTCCTAAATGTTGCTAAATAAGGGTTCTCTCTAAACTCAAGAGAAATTAAGGTGTGTGATAACCTCTTGGTATTTTTGTTGTACTCTTTTTCAAACCCTGTCAAAGAAGGAAAGTAGGAATCAGCTCTCTTCTTTCCATAATCACTGTGGACAGCCACATAGCACTGGAGGTGGGTGGGAAGAGAACCCTGGACTCATGGTGTTCAGTTTCAGTCATTTTTTTAAACCAAATATAAGAAGTCTTCAGGTTACCAGGACCCTGTAAAGGCAACTTACAATGATGTCTTGTCTGGTTTTGAAAGTGCTGATGTAGTGGCCATAGTGGCTGTCATCCATTTGCCGCAGGATGGCAATCATGCAAGCCACAAAACTCCCCTGGAAGGAAAAGAAAGCACAAATCCAAGACTCCTTAGACCACCAACAAATAAAAACAAGATGTAAGCCCCACGAACTTGGCTTTTCTCACTCAATGAGCCATGCAGGTCCCCACCACACTGGAAATGCACTGCATTCTAAAGGTCCAAAGGCCATGTGCCTTGCTGTTTCTGCTTCAAACTTTCTCGGTTTCTTTCTACCTCTTTCTCGGTCTGAGCGAAGGAATCCCATAACAGCTATGAAGTGTGGATTCCTACAGACAAGACACCTCAATGAGATTACCAATGAAGATTTAACAACTTGTGGGGCTTTGGATCTCTTGTTGAGACAGAGCTGTAGTACAGCATTCCATGGAGAAATGTCTGAAATATTCAAACAAATCTGAATCGGGAGGAAGGCTAGCAGGAAAAGAGGTGGCAACACTGATCATGGTGGAAAGGAGGGCAAGCAATGATGATGTTAACTCCCTGCTATATGGTTTGGCTGTGTCTTCACCCAAATCTCATCTTGAATTGTACTTCCCATTATCCCCATGTGGTGTGGGAGGGGCCTGGTGGGAGGTAATTTAATCGTGGGAATGGTTACCCTCATGTTCTTATCGTGAGAGTGAGTTCTCACGAGATCTGACGGCTTCACAAAGGGGTTTCCCCACTTTTGCTTGGCACTTCTTGCTGCTGCCATGTGAAGGACATGTTTGCTTCCTTTTCCACCATGATTGTAAGTTTCCTGAGGCCTCCCCAGCCACAATGAACTGTGAGTCAATTAAACCTCTCTTTCCTTTATAAATTACCCGGTCTCAGGTATGTATTTATCAGCAGCATGAGAACAGACTAATACAACCTGATACCACTTCTCCAACTCCAGAGCCCTTCAGCCAGTTGTTCTCACATACTACCCATATGAATTGTGAGCTGGACTTGAAGAGAAAAAATAACTAGATGATTAATTAACACTGCTTCCATTTGTAAGTTCAGGAATTACATATTCAAGGTTTTCTCCCCTAGTCCAAAAATATTTGAATTACAGACTTGTTTTTTTAGGCAGGGGATAAAGATTCAGGGGTGCTAACCTCCTGTATTCATCTAGTTATGAAAATAACACAAAGGAATTTAGCACAACAGAGATCAACAAGAATTCAACGAACAAAGGAATTTAGCACAATAATCTTTCCCTCTGGAAAGATCCCCCAAGCAGAACAATGAAAGACTGTCTGTGTCCATCTCTTTCTGAACATATGCCTCAGACTGTCTCTTTTGTTTTAAAGTTTATTTTTTAGCCCAGCACTTTGGGAGGCCAAGTCTGGCTGATAACTTGAGGTCAGAGGTTCAAAACCAGCTGGCCTACATGGTGAAACCTCATGTCTCCTAAAAATACAAAAATCAGCTGAGCATGGTGCTGGGCACCTGTGATCCAAGCTACTTGGAAGGCTGAGGCAGAACTGTGTGAACCCAGGAGGCAGAAATGCAGTGAGCCAAGGTCACGCCACTGCACTCTAGCCTGGGTGACAGAGCCAGAGCCTGTCTCAAAAAAAAAACAAGTTTATTTTTTCAATTATAAAGCAGTGTAAATTTATTGTACTAAGGCCTTGGATATCTATATTGCCAAATTATCAGCTAGTTTATATTCCCACCAGTGTCTAACACAATTTGTTTCTCCAGGACCTTGCCTAATCTGGGTATTAGGCTTACTTAATCTCACTTTGCATTTTCATTTCCTTTTCTCTGAATTAAATAGTCTGTCCATGAACTTTTTGGCTATTTATCTTTCTCACATTCTCCCACCTTAGCCTCCTGAGTAGCTGGAATCACAGGCACACACCATCACTACGCCCAGCTAATTTTTAAAAATTTTTTGTAGAGATGGGGTCTGACTATATGGCCTAGGCTAGATCATTTTCTGTTAATGGAAAATCCATGTCAGAACCAATATCTGCTCAAGATTATAACCAATAACCAACAATGTGAGAGGTCCACGGGAAGAACAGCCTGAAGCCACTGGCCCCAAAGGCCTCCTGATAGGCAGCGGGGACAGAGAAGCAGCAGCAGCCGTGGGATCCACCAAAGAGGTACTCACGATGTGGGGAGACTGCCGGCTCATCCCAATCACTGTCCGGTTGATCCTTCTCAGCAGCCGTTCCATTATAAGCTGGATGTGTGTCGAAGTGGTGCCCTGTGGGGAACACAGGATTTGAGGCCATTTCTTCTGATTCAGTTTAACTTTTCTTTAGGGAACCTCAGACAGATGGGTTTTGTCTTTAGATCTCTTTGTGGCTCTTCCCTACAAAGCAATCTCTTGTCCAAAAGGGAAAAATGGTCTCACAGAATAATAACTTTATAAAGAAAATCAACTGAAAAAGATCAGTTATAACATTTAGAAGATGAAGGTGCTATGTAGGGATGAGTGCCTTCCTAATAATTCATACTGCTCAGGTTCACAGAGAGTCCACTGTGGCCACTGACTCAACAAATAGTTTTGGGAAACCCCCATTAGCACGACCTGTTCTGCTCTGAGGTTGAACAGATTAGAACTGCCCCGGTCAATAAGGCACAAGTGTGGGAAATGAACGCCCAAAATACAAAGTTCTTGCCACCTTCTGTATCGGAGAAAAAAAAACACAAGAAATTCAAGTGAAGAGGATTGCTATGGAGTAAATGTTTGTGTCTCCTCCAAATTCATATGTGAAGCCTGATCTCAGACGCTCAGTCTCCAGAACTGTGAGAAAATAAATGTCTGTAGTTTAAGCCACACAGTCTGTGTTATTTTGTTATGGAAGACTGGGCAGACTAATGCAAGGATTTTGTATTCTGACTCTGTCATGTGTGACTTTGAGCAATTATCCAACTCTTCTGAGCTTGCAGTTTTCATAGCTGCAAAGGGGGATAGTACGAGTTTTCTTATAGGACTTACTAGGGCTGACACACGAGTGTGCTGAATAAATGCATATTCTTTCTTTCACCTTCTTTCCTTTTTTGTAGCTAGATACTACACTCATTTGGCTCCAACTTATCCATATGCAACCTGACTTTTCATAGCCTCTATCTGTCCTTGCTTTATGATACATATTTTGAAACTCCTGCTTAATACTTCAAATAACTAAATCATTGCTATATTTATGGTTTTTCTGATTTTTTGGGGTTTTTTTTTTTTTGCTTAACAGTTTTATTACTTTTTACAAATTTAACTGGCAAAGAATGTATTTATGAAGCGTGCACAACATGGTGACTTGATATACATAATTGTGTAATGATTTCCATGGTCAAATTAACACATTCATTGCCACCCATGCTGTACATTAGATTCCCAGAACTTGCTGATCCTATAACTGACACTTTCTACCCTTTGGCCAACATCTCCCCATCCTGCTCCCTAACACCCAGCAGCCCCTGGTAAAGACTGTTCTACTCTCTGCCTCTAGGAGTCTAACTTCTTCAGATTCTAACAGAAGTGAGATCAGGTAGGATGTGTCTAAGGCTAAATGTTTTTTTTTTATTTCAATAGTTTTTGGGGTACAAGTGGTTTCTGGTTACATGGTATTGGTGATCTGAGATTTTCATGCACCCATCACCCAAGCAGTGTACACAGTACCCCATGTGCAGTCTTTTATCCCTCACCTACCTTCTACCCTTCCCCAACAAAGTCCATTATATTAATCTTATGCCTTTGCATTCTCATAGCTTATCTCCCACTTATAAGTGAGAACATATAATATCTGGTTTTCCATTCCTGAGTTACTTTATGTAGAATAATGGCCTCCATCTCCATCTAAGTTACTGCAAAAGATTATTTTGTTCCTTTTTATGGATGAGTAGTACTCCATGATGCATATATACCACACTTTAGCCACTCACTGGCCAATGGGCACTTAGGTGGGTTTTACATTGTTGCTATTGCAAATTACGAAGCTATAAACATGCAGGTACATGTGTCTTTTTCATATAATGACTTATTTTCCTTTGGATAGATGCCCAGGAGTGGGCTTGCTGGATTGAATGGTAGTTCTACTTTTGGTTCTTTAAGGAATCTCCACACTGTTTTTCATAGTTGTTGTGCTAATTGACATTCCCCCCCAGCAGTGGAGCAGTGTTCCCTTTCACCACATCCACGCGCTAACATCTATTGTTTTTTGACTTTTTTTTTTTTTGATACAGAGTCTCGCTCTGTTGTACCCAGGCTAGAGTACAACCTCCACCTCCTGAGTTCAAGCAATTATCCTGCCTTAGCCTCCTGAGGAGCTGGGATTACAGGTGCCCGCTACCACACCCGACTAATTTTTTGTATTTTTAATAGAGATTGGGTTTCACCATGTTGGCCAGGCTGGTCTCAAACTCCTGACCTCAGGTGATCTGCCCACCTCAGCCTGCCAGAGTGCGGGGATTACAGGCGTAAGCCACCGTGCCTGGCTGCTCGCTTTTTGACTTCTTAATTATGGTATGGCTATGTGTATTTCAATTACAGTATTAAGTATTTTGGGTCCACTCTCCCTCTCTGCTTCCCTCTGTCCGTTCCTTCTTCTCTCCCTCCTTCCTTTGCTTTTTATTAGTCACTTACTTGTTTCCCATTTCCCTGAATGAAAGTGATTCATAAAATCAGTCTCTCCAGGAGATGCAGTTTTCACTCCTATTTACATAACATTTCCTTAGAGTGGGACTAACTATACGTGCAAGTCACATGCTGTGCCCTGTGGGGAGGTATGAAATGAACAAGGCTCCTCTGAGCCTTAAGAGATTTATATTGTGGGGGTGGGGGTGAGTGAGACATATTCAAATAAGCGTTAACACAAGGATCCCTTAGAAGGTGGGCTCCTGAGGGCAGCATGCTTGCTTCTCTAGTTCACGCCATAGTCCTAGCCTATCCCATGCCTGGAGCATGAGATCAGTTTCCCAAGGATTTGTGAGCTGCATTCTTTTTTTTTTTTAATACAGAGTTTTGCTCTTGTTGCCCAGGCTGGAGTGCAATGGCACGATCTCGGCTCACTGCAACCGCTGCCTCTCGAGTTCAAGCGCTTCTCTTGCTTCAGCCTCCCAAGTAGCTGGGATTACAGGCACCCACCACACCTGGCTAATTTTGTATTTTTAATTACAGACAAGGTTTCTCCATGTTGATCAGGCTGGTCTTGATCTCCTGACATCAGGTGATCCGCTCGCCTCAGCCTCCCAGAGTGCTGGGATTATAGGTGAGAGCCACTGTGCCCGACTACTGTGAGCTGCGTTCATAATTCAATGTACAGAGTGATAAAATCCTCAAAAGAGACTCGAGGGGAGCATGAAGGGAATCAGTAGAATTTGGCAGGATCACACCAGGGCCAATTTCAAAGAGGCACCTACTGCAGCTGGAATTGAAAGAATGAGGCCAATTCCAAAACAGAGCTGTTGGGAGAGGAGGGAATCCTGCAATATATTTTTTTAAGGCAGGAAGAACAAATGTCAGTAATTAGAGCCTTGAATTAGCCGAAGAGATGAGAGGACAAGGGAAGAGATATTGAGCCAATGCACACATTTCAAAATGTTTATGGAGGGAAAAAAATACCACCATGACTGACAAAAAGTTACTGGACTTACTACTTTACCAGAGCTCCAAGATCAGTAATTTTTAATGTCTCTGCTCCTTACAGGGAACATAATATTGGGAAGACTGAAATAAAAAGCTAATTTAAGTCTCCTTCCACAGGATTTAAATACACTCAAGAGTCTTTTAAAGAGTCTTTCTGTGTGATGAGGTTGGTGGAGATGCTATGTATTAAAAAATATGGTCAGAAGTGGAAGAGACCTATGAAGTCATCTGGAACAATTCCTATATACAAGGAACTGGATAGGAAACTGAGGCACTGAGATATAGGACAAATAGCTTCAGAGGAGTAATAATGGGACTAGATTCAACGCCTCGATTCTTGGGCTTCACATTAACTTTGGATCATAAACATATGATTTCTAGAACAATGGATTCCTGCCTAAACCAATGTGCCAAGTACATTGCTGCCAAATTTATAGGGCTTGGAGCTTTACTTTATTATCTGAAGTAATTACTGAGTTATAACAGTTACTTAAAAACAAAAGGTATTGTGTTTATGACGTGATTGGTCACATTTATGTATCTGCTGCAAAGTCCTTGGTCAGGAACCAAATCACCAATCACGACATGCTTTGGGAACATTTATTTCATTTTATAATGTGGTTTCTATAAACATACTTAATAAAAAAAGGGGAGAATGACCTATAATGAATAAATATCAAAAAAGCAGTGCCAAGGGTAAGTGGGATACAGGGGCTTAGGAAAGTGGAGGGACAGAGACTGGGAGAGTGGCGAGAGACAGCAAATGGTACTCTCACATACTTCTGAGGCTGCAGTGTGGGTTCACAGAAATGCAAGGTGCCTGTGCACACCATGAGCAGGAGAAAAGGTAGAAAGAAAAGGTAGGCCGTGGTCAAATGGTGGTGGACTCTGACAGGTGAACTAAGGATTAGCTATGGGAAAAGGTGTAGTATTCGTATCCTTAGGTAGAACAGAACCCAAAGATACTGTAGAGATAAAGAGTTTAGGCAAAGACAAAGTAGTTTCCCTATGCTGTGGGAACACCTGTGCCATGCAACCACCAAAGACGTGGTGACTATGATTGCGGCAAGATACCTGTTCTTTCTCAGCCCTAACTGTTCAAGTGAATGCATTCTGCAAAGTTCTCCAGCTTCCTGTGTGGGGGCTCCGCTAGGCTTGTGGGCTGCACTATTTCTAGGACATGTGCCCACAGGCACAGCATGTGACTTGCACATCTAGTTAGGCACATCTAGGACATGGTGAATACAGGCAGGTTCAGCCCTAGGTTTTCAAGAGGGATGGGGGCCAGGTCACGTAAGGTAAGAAAACATAATTTCCACAAGGCTTCCAGAGAAAGCATCAGTGTCCAATAGGATATGGAAATGAGAACTTCTTAGTGGCTCAGAAATAGCAGGTTGTCAGGCATCAGAGGATAAGAAGGAAGAGGTTTCTGGTTTCATCATAAAAACAGAATGACCTTTGACACTTATTTATTTATTTATTCTTATTTTTTAATAGAGGCAGAGTCTTACTAAGTTGCCCAGGCTGGTCATCGGTCTTTTTTTGTTTTTTTTTTTGAGATGGAGTCTCGCTCTGTCACCAGGCTGGAGTACAGTGGTGCGATCTCAGCTCACTGCTGCAACCTCCACTTCCAAGGTTCAAGTGATTCTCTTGCCTCAGCCTACTGAGTAGCTGGGACTACAGATATGTGCCACCACACCTGGCAAATTTTTGTATTTTTAGTAGAGACAGGGTTTCACCACATTAGCCAGGATGGTGTCAATCTCTTAACCTCGTGATCCACCTGCCTTGGCCTCCCAAAGTGCTGGGATTACAGGCCTGAGCCACCATGCCCAGCCAGGTCTTTGATTCTTAAGAATAGTCACAGGAATCTCAATGGTGGGCACGCTGGACAAGCCAGGAAAATCAGTCCGTGGAAGGCACGAGAAGTAATCTGACTTCTCCTGGACCTAGATTTGCACTGGAGGCTCTGACCTCCTTAATTATTTCTAAAATGGGCACAACCTGCCTTAATACCTGAGTTGGAAACTACCCGAAAAGAGGAAGGCCATGGAGTCACTCCTGCCTGGGTGCAAAGGGGCCAGTGTGGGCTCCGTGCAGCATCAGAGATGAGTCAACTCACCACATCCTTCCTGTCCAGCACTTCCAGGATGTTGCTCAGAAGCTGCGAGCTTGCCTCAAGGTCAGGCTTGCTGGAGTTGTCATCTAACTGGCCACTGAGCTGGTCCGTCAGCAGCGGCAGCAGCACTTCTCTGCACTCTGAGAAGGAAAACACAGACAGCTCAAATGCAGTAGTGCCACCACGTGCACCACCTCTCCTTCTTGCAACTCTCTCTCGGCCTGTCCCAGTGGCTCTAAGCTCTGCAATCAGCCCTGCAGTGATACAGCCCCTCCAGGCCACCCAGGAACACCAGAAACCTTGTCTCTACTAAAATTATAAAATAAATTAGCTAGGCATGGTGGCACGTGGAACTTTACCCTTGTTCAGTGTGTAGATGAGTAAATTTAAAAAAAAACAAAAAGAATTTCATCTTTGCAACTGGATTATACAAACTAAGAAAATGACCCCTTCCCCAGGTAAAGGTGTGAACTTAGCAAAATGTGTAAATTATTTAACAATTTCTCTAGCTTTTAAAAATGCCAACCTAATACATGACAGTGAGGCCTTCTGAAACAAATAAAACCAAGCAAGTCACAGATTTCTTTTCCAAAATTTTTTTCACCTAATGGAGAAAATTTACTAAAAAAAGTTTCTACAAATACTGAGCTTCCCTAGTACATTTCAGTGGAATTCTGCTCATGTCTGTGCAGGCCTGCAGATTTCAGAAAGTAAGGTATCATCTATTATGTCTTCTGAGAGATTTGCTATTTTAACACATTTTCTAACGAGTTCAGGTACTCTGAATGCTACAGAAGTGACCGTTAAAGTGATCACATTATAATCAGAACAATCTAGTGTGTGCTTGCTCTTCTGCTCAAACACCTTATCTACTATCTCAATTACCTTTTCTGTATCCTTACAAGCAAAAGTTATCAAAGCATATTAAAATGTTTAGTAATAACTTACTTTAGAAATAAATGTTTTCTACTTAAGAGCATTCACAGGCCAGGTGTGGTGGCTCAAACCTGTAATCCCAGCACTTTGGGAGGCCAAGGCAGGTGGATCACAAGGTCAGGGGTTCGAGACCAGCCTGATCAACATGGTGAAACCCCGTCTCTACTAAAAATACAAAAATTAGCTGGGCATGGTGGCATAGGCCTGTAATCCCAGGTACTCAGGAGGCTGAGGCCAGAGAATCGCTTGAACCCAGGAGGCGGAGCTTGCAGTGAGCTGAGATCGCGCCACTGCACTGCACTCTAGCCTAGGTGACAGAGCGAAACTCCATCTCAAGAAAAGAAAACAAGAAACCCAAAAAGCAAAGGGCATTCACTAGCTTTTTGCAGTCATGACCTCTACCTACAATTGTGTCTTAGAAACATTTGCAATTTCTAAGCACAAATTTATAGAGTCAGAAAGTATCAGAACCCAAAGAGGCTACTGATATGATCTAGTTCAAGCCCTTCCTTCCACAGAGCTGGAAGTTGAGACTTACAGAAGGTCACTTATTTGTCCAGTTACATAACTAGCCAGGGACAAGGCCAGCAAGGCTCTCCCACCAATGATCTACTCAACTTGTTTGATGTTGAGGCATGCCGCTGGTCTTTAGATCCCCAGGAAATAAATACACATAACATGAGATCACCCTCCGGGAGCCCCTGACCAGGTAAGCCCCCAAAGAAGCCTCCACAGCTGCCCCACTCTAACAAGGCTTGAGTTTATGGGGAAGGCCCAGGTGCTGGACCCCCTCCTTATATGGCTTTGGGCAGAAACACTTGGTGGCTATTTGCTAGACTCTACTTACAAAATGAAGAGTATTTTATCAGCGTAAGAGTTTTCCCTCCATGTCCCACTCCTCTCCCAGTAACATACTAATAATCTGGCTCTGCCAGCCTACCCCCGACAAAGAAAAGGCTTGAGCAGGCATAGTGGCTCATGCCTATAATGCCAGCACTTTGCGGGGGCCAAGGAAGGTGAATCACCTAAGTCAGGAGTTTGAAACTAGCTGGCTAACATAATGAAACTCTGTCTCTACTAAAATTACAAAAAAAATTAGCCGGGCAAGGTGGCACATGCCTGTAATCCCAGCTACCTGGGAGGCTTAGACAGGAGAATTGCTTGAACCTAGGTGGCAGAGGCTGCAGTGAGCTAAGATTGCACCCTACTCCACTTCAGGCTGGGTGACCCAGGGAGACTCCATGTCAAAAAAAAAAAAAAAAAAAAAAGGAAAGGCTTGCTTTATATGTTTGTCAATTTCCCTGGTGTAAATACTTCCACCATGGTCAATTTCCAGTTACTAAAGTGGTATCACTGAATGTGGAGTTGAGAAGGCATGCACGTAACCAGCTCTCCTATGGGATCTAGCATATTTCTGCTTCCCTGTCCCCTGGTTTTTAAGGTCATACAATAAGTATAGGTTAAAGAAGAGGAATTTCTTTTAAAAGGATCATCTTTTTCCTACTTCCTTGTTGCTTCCTGATGTTCCTGTTTTAAAGACAAAATTCTCTAATTAATGAACCACTTGCAGATTGTTCTAACTAAAGATTAAAGAACACATGATTTTGCTCTTTTAGGAACTGTTGGAAATACTGAGCTGGCTTCAGTTTCTCCTTAAAACCGCTCTCCTTGGAGGTCCTTCCATACCAACAAACAACTGGTAAAATATTACTGACATTTTAAAAAAAGAAAAGCCAAGTGCTGACTGGACACAGTGGCTCATGCCTGTAATCTCAGTACTTTGGGAGGCCGAGTCAGGCACATCATTTGAGGTTGGGAGTTTGAGGTCAGCCTGGCCAACATGATGAAACGTCAACCCTATTAAAATTACAAAAAAATATATACATGTATTAGCTGGGTGTGGTGTTGCATGCCTGTAATGCCAGCTACCCAGGAGGCGGAGGCAGAGAATCACTTATACCTGGAAGGCAGAGATTACCGTGAGCCAACATGGCACCACTGCACTCCAGCCTGGGAGATGGAGTGAGACTCCATCTTAAAAAAAAAAAAGATTCAAGTGTTAGCTGCAGAAATGGGCTGGCAGCTCAGCAAGCAGCAGTGTGTTTTTGTTTTTTTTTTTTTTGAGATGGAGTCTTTCTCTGTCACCCAGGCTGGAGTGCAGTGGTGCGATCTCAGCTCGCCACAACCTCACAGAGCAATTTTTGAAGGAGACTTACCTGATTGTTGAAAAAGAGTGCTCTCTACTATCTTGGTCATGCAGTGAAGTTTCTGCCGAACCAGCTGGTTGTCAGGAATGCTTTGAATGAATTTGCAGAAGAGCACGCTGGAAGAGAAACCTCAGGGTCAATCACATCTTCATTAGTTGAAGTCATCATTATACATTTTTCTCCTCCACTCTGAGATTTGGGCATGGAGAGATTTACCTGGACAGCTACAAAATGACCTGAGAGTTTATGACATGGCAGCAGGGGAGACTTTATCCTCACTTACTGGAGGGCTCTGCCTTAGAGCTGAGTATTTAAACCGCCAAAGAACACCACGTCCATCACTGCATTCCAGACCTGCCTTTGTGAAAATGGCTTTCTTGGCTAACTCCACTCTCGTGTCGATTGAAGTCTGCGTTAGCACTGCTGGGATCCTTAGGGACAGGGCTGGAAGCATGTCATTATGCACTATCTTTTGTAGTTAATTTTAAGTCTGCATGTCTTGTTTTCCCAGAGAAAGTGCAAACCTCTCTCCGAGCAGGTTTTGTATGTTCTTTTGTATCTCCATAGAACTGAGCACAAAAGGTATTCAGTTAATACTTCTTACAAAAATAAAAGCCACGTGTAGCAGCCCAGCTCCAGCCAAGCAGGGGAGTTGTTTTGCTATTTACCTGAGTTCAACAGGATCAAATACAAGTTTGACGTCATTAATTATGCTAGGAAGGTACTTCAAAGCTGCCCCCTGTAAGAAAAACACCAAAGGCAATTCAGTTGCCAGGCAAGACAAAAACAGCATTTACTCCTTGATCCCAGGAAGAAAGCCTGTGTTGGAAATTAAACAGGGAACTGGACACAGATACCCTTGCAATAAAAAGGAAAGCTGGCATTGTTCTACACGATCTCCTAAAATGCTTTTCCTGAAGATGCAAGGGGGTGCAGCTTTCTGGTTCCTACTGCCAGCAGGCTCTGTCCACCTGGAGTTCATTTCTCTAAGGAGGTCATTAAATTCTTGAAGTCTCTCTCACAACGTGGCCATAAAGAGTCAAAAATACATATTAATAGTAAAGTTCACATTTGAGTCTTGAGGGAATATGTATTTCATATTTTTAAAAAATTGATGATAATTAAGATGGTGACTTTGCACTTCTTGGTAAAATGAGGGACAAAAAATAAAAGACTATCACCTGTAGTAGCATCGGGATCAGTCTGCTGAAATCATGGGGTCAAGCAGGGTTCACAATGGTCTTTCAAGGGATGTCTAACTGGGTAGCCTGTCTTTGGAACACTGACATTTGAAAATACAGAAGTTAAAATGGTTTTTTTTTCCCTTTACTTTCTATAAATCATACTGAAATCCATAAGCCATCCATGAACCATGATTCATTTTGTTTCTCCTGAATGATGGCCGATTCTAAGTGGTCCCAAAACATCCTCATCACAGCCTAAGAAGAGGTACCCACAATGAGAGCAGGCTGACCTTGATCTTGACAGCTTCCTCCAGAGGCCTGTCCATCAGTGTATTGAAAGAAAGAAATAAATGGCGGATTGAATCGTTAAACTCATCTCCATCTTCACTCTGGCCATAAAATCTTAGCAGGAAAAAAGAGAAGAGCAGTTGGACATTCCATTGTTAAAAGAAATTTTAAAATAGGTTTGTTGCCTCCTTCACTTCTCCTTCCTTGTTTCACCCTCATAATTTTGTATCACCTAATCTAGCCCCAGGCATCTGAAGTTTCGGGCAATGGGTTAGAGAAGCTGCTCAACCCAGGAAGGTTCTGATCTCAACCCAGCCTGCAAAACCATTTGTTCCATTCTGGCCACCAAACTGCCCATGCTGATGCTGGCCTGCTCTACCACAAGGGCCTTCCAGGACATAAGACCCCTTAGTCTTCACTGATACATGCTTGCCTTAATTAAAGTATCCTACTTGTCTTCAAAAGATCTGTCCATCAACTCAAAAGTGGGTTCTTCCTCCTAAATAGAAATCAAGAGATATTTTGGCACTTTCCAAAAAATACACTAGTTCCAAATGATAGTGCATATGCATAGATAATGGGTGGCAATTTCACCACCAACTGCTCAAGAATAGGATGGCTTGATTTCAGAATTTCATGCACACACTCAAACACACACATGAATATTTAAATTAGTTTTCCTCCATTCACCTATACCTTATAAGGTACCCAAAGACTATGTACCTCACTGAGATAGTTAATCAATCAGAGGGTTACCGGTAATTCTCAATTCATCCATGTTGCAGAACTAGAAAAGAACTTTATTTGCAACTTAGCCCCCAAAGTATCTCAAAACTAACACACCTACAACAGAACTTGCTTGATTTTCCGGCTCAGCTTAGTTTTCCAAGTGTCAGCAAACGGCATCAGCATCCACCCCAAACCTAGATGCTATCTATGCTTCTTCCCTTTCAGCAAATCCTATGAGCTGGAGTCAGTCCATTCTCTCCATCTGCCTCTGAGAGGGAGCTGCAGTATCTCACACTTGAACCACAATGGCCTCTTAAAGTGGTCACTGGCTTCTACTTTCAGACTTTGATAATCCATTTTCCATGTGGGAGAGGAGATGATCATTTAAAATATAAGCCAGATTTTATTACTTCTCTAGTTGTCCCCCAATGGCTTCCCACTGCACTTGGAATAAAATCCAAGCTCCTCCTATGGCCTACAAGGCCCTACATCATTTATTATTTGCTGGCCACTCCCACCCTCTCTCCTGACACTGGATTCTCATTAGTCCTCACACTTGGTGCCCCATAGGTCCCAGCCCGGGGCAGGTCCTGCTCTCACTAACCCTTACCTGACATCCCCGGAGGCCGCTTCTTCATCTTTCAGTCTCAGCTGACATGACACCACCTCCTTCTCCACCCAGCTCAGCTCAGGCAGCCTTCCCTGTTGGCTCCACCATCCCAACACTGCCCTCGTTTAGGGGGTGATCTCTTTACTCCTTGACTCCCTGAACCCCATGGGACCCACACGCATCATCACAGTGGGAGCCTGGTCACGTCTGCTGTAAGGGCCCTGCACCAATGCAGAATACATGGCACTCTATGTATGTGACTTAATTTTTTTTTTTAAGTACTAATGATAGGGAACTGAGGAGTTAAGATCAAGCTTCTTAATATCCTATTATGGGCATTTTACAATTTCCTCTTGGTGTTTTGCTGATTGAGGTGAACTCCAGCCAGGTAATGGGCTCATAAGAGAGATTTAAGCTCTAATGAAGGCAACAGGGGGACTAGGGACCAGATACATTCCACTGCAGCCTCTAGACAGGGCTAGTGCACTGAAGAGACCATTCAGTCTAAGAAACCAGAGGACGCACATTGCCAATCTCTTCCCCAGCTCAGGTTCTTCTTTAATCACACATAAGGAGAAAGTAACCACACACAACCTGTCCCCGACGAGGTGCAATAAGGCAATTCTATCCTAGACAATTTCATGGGTCCTCTGTTGCCTTATCCTTTCATTTTCCACACTTACCATCCTTCACTGTCCTATCTGGTGTCTAGAATGAGGACCCTGATGTGCTTTGACAAATAAAGAGGATATGAACTAGTAAACCAACCATAAGCAAATACACTTTAATTTCACACTCATGTTTTCTTCCTGTGGTTTAAAGGTGATGCTGATTTTCGGATATCAGAGTTTACTCTACAAACTTTTGGGTAAGAGAACGTTCCCTTGGCAGAACACTTCCTGCCCCAACCATTTCTGAACATACGGAAATGTACTGTAACTAGAAAATATAGTGAACAAACTTTAATAGAAGACCTTCTGGGAAGAAAGCAAATAAAGAGACTGTGCATAAATCATGTGTGGGGAAAACACCGCTCGCTTCCACCTTGGAAAGAGGAATAGTCATTCAGCCAGCTGGGTTTTTAAGTCATTAAACATTTTTGAAAAACAATTAGAAATGTAAATATTCATTTAAAAATTCAAAAAGGATCGAAAAAATAGCAAATAAAAATATAATAATAAATATAATTAAAATGCTGAAAAAATACAAAAATACAAAATGAAAAAATAAATTACAACTCTGTCACCTGAAGTTTTAGTATTATTGATATTTCAGACCAAGCACAGTGGCTCACACCTGTAATTTCAGCACTTTGGGAGGCTCAGGTGGGCAGATCCCTTGAGCCCAGGAGTTTGAGACCAGACTGGGTAACATAGTGAGACCCTGTCTCTACAAAAAATATAAAAATTAGCTGGGCATAGTGGCATGCCCTTGTGGTCCCAGCTACTTGGGGGTCACTCGCTTGAGCCTGGAAAGCAGAGTGAGGCAAGCTGAGATTGTGTCACTGCACTCTCACCTGGGCAACAGAGCCAGACCCTGTCTCAAAAACAAAAAACAAAAAACTCCTCTGAAGAAACAACAACAACAACAAAACACTTTAGCATGTGATCTACCCGGTCTTCTTTACTATACATATTTCAAATCTGTATGATTTTAAAAGGAAGATCATACTGTACTCATGCTTAATACCTTTATTATTTAAGAATCTATTGGGCCAGGCGAGGTGGCCCACGCCTGTAATCCCAGCACTTTGGGAGGCTGAGGGAGATGGATTACGAGGTCAGGAGATCGAGACCATCCTGGCTAAGACGGTGAAACCCTGTTTCTATTAAAAGTACAAAAAATTAGCCAGGTGTGGTGGTACGTGCCTGTAGACCCAGCTACTTGGGAGGCTGAGGCAGGAGAATCGTTTGAACCTGAGGGGTGGAGGTTGCAGTTAACTAATCACGCAACTGGACTCCAACCTGGGCGACAGAGTGAGACTTCATCACAAAAAAAAAAAAAAAAGAATGAATCACGGTGCTCTTTCCATATTAATATACTATAGGTTTGAAATGACTGTACATACTTTCATGTTCATTTTTGTCATACCTGATAGATGATTTTTCCATTAGATAAATTTCTAGATGGGGTATTATTAGACAAATGTGACACTTTTTCCTTTTCCTCAAAAATTTTCTGTCTACAATCACCTGATCTTTGACAAACATGACAAAAAAAAAGCAATGGGGAAAGGATTCCCTGTTCAATAAATGGTATTGGGAAAACTGGCTAGCAATGTGCAGAAAGGAGAAACTGAACCCCTTCCTGAGACCTTACACTAAAATTAATTCAAGATGGACTAAAGATTCAAACATAAGACCTAACACCATAAAAACCCTAGAAGAAAACTTAGGCAAAAGCATTCAGGACATAGGCATAGGCAAGGACTTCATGACTAAAACACCAAATTAAATGGCAACAAATGGGATCTAATTAAACTTAAGAGCTTCTGCACAGCAAAAGAAACAATCATTAGAGTGAACCAGCAATCAACAGAATGGGAAAAAAGTTTTGCAATCTACCCATCTAACAAAGGGCTAATATCCAGAATCTACAAAGAACTAAAAGAGATTTACAAGAAAAAAACAAACAAACAAATCCATTCAAAAGTAGAAGAAGGATATGAATAGACACTCTCAAAAGAAGACATAGATGAGGCCAACAACCACATGAAAAAATGCTCATCATCACTGGTCATTAGAGAAATGCAAATCAAAACCACAATGAGATACCATCTCATGCCAGTTAGAATGGTGATCATCAAAAAACCTGGAGACAACAGATGTTGGAGAGGATGTGGAGAAATAGGAACACTCTTAAACAGTTGGTGGGAGTGTAAATTAGTTCAACCATTGTGGAAGACAGTGTGGCGATTCCTCAAGGACCTAGAAATAGAAATTCCATTTGACCCAGCAATCCCATTACTGGGTATATACCCACAGGATTATAAATCACTCTGTTATAAAGACTCATGCACATGTATGTTCACTGCAGCACTGTTTACAACAGCAAAGACCTGGAACCAACCCAAATGCCCATCAATGATAGACTGGACAAGGAAAATGTAGCACATATACACCGTGGAATACTATGCAGCCATAAAAAATGATGAGTTCGTGTCCTTTGTGGGAACATAGATGAATCTAGAAATCATCATTCTCAGCAAACTGACACAAGAACAGAAAATCAAACACCACATGTTCTCACTCAAAGGTGGGTGTTGAACAATGAGAACACATGGTCACAAGGAAGGGAGCATCACACACTGGAGTCAGTTGGAGAGGAGGCTGTGGGAGGAATAGCGGGGGTGGGGAGGGATAAAGTGGGAGAAATGCAAGATATAGCTGATGGGGGGAAGGAGGCAGCAAACTACCTTGCCATGTATGTACCTATGCAACAACTCTGCATGATCTGCACATGTACCCCAGAACTTAAAGTACAATAAAAAATAATAATTTTCTTTTTAAAAAAGGTATTTGGCAGGACAATATCAAAGATGAAAAAAAATTTCATTTTTGCTTTTTATTCTTACTGCCCATTTCTACTCTAAAGAATTTATATCTTCATTAGAATCAGAATTCAAATACAGGGCCAATTTTTGCCCAATCTCATCAAAGGACAAAGATTTTTAATCTTTTTCAAATGTATAGATAAAAAATGCTGTGTGTGTGCATGTGTGTGTATCAAAATTCTTTTGACAGTGAGAATGAAAAAATTTTTAGATTTATTAACCATTAAAGTTTTTCTTTTGTAAATTACCTGTTTTTGTTTTCTATTATGGCTATGTATCATTCTTTTATTGACTTATAAAAGCTTTAACTGAGAAAAGCTATTAACCTTTCATCTGTACTATATGTAAACTTTTTTCTAGGTTTTTGTCTATAATTTTATTTTTTCAATAAACAAAGTTTATTTTAAACATACATAATGCTAAAATCTACAAACCTTTTTTAAAATTATATTTTAAGTTCTGGGGTACATGTGCAGAACATGCAGGTTTGTTACATAGGTATACACGTGCCATGGTGATTTGCTGCATCCATCTCCCTCATCTACATTAGGTATTTCTCCTAATGTTATCCCTCCCTCCCCAATTTCCCCAACCCCGCTATCCCTCCCCTAGCCCCAACCCCTGACAGATCCCAGTGTGTGATGGTCCCCTCCCTGTGTCCATGTGTTCTCATTGTTCAACACTCACTTATAAACAAAGTTTCTTTTAAACTCACATATGCTCAAATCTACAAATTTCTTACTGCCTTAGAAAACAAATTTTAACAGTTTGGAAATACAGCTATTTCTGATGGGTGGGAAAGTCACTGGGGTCATGGGTGTCCCCTGCAAAGCTATTTGCTCTTCTGTGGTTTCTTCTATTTTGGATGGAAATGTTATGCTAGAAATCCAAACAGGGAATGATACTATTTCTAGTGTTTAGTTGCCCAGGTAGCTAAGTACAGTGTCAACAAGGAAACACTCATCTCAGCAAATACCTCCCGAGATGACTGCTTCTTCTACTAGTTACAGCAGATCATGATCTTAGATTTGCACAAAAAACATTCATGAAGTCATCTGCTGTATTAGGTACAGTCTTGCCACAGGAACCTGCTTCCCCAAGTCCTGAGGTTATTACTGCCCCAGAATTTTGCTGATCTACATAAACTTCTAATGAATCTTCTCCAACAGAAACATAGCCCACCTCCATCTTCAGCCTTGCAGTTCTGAAATAAGGCAATTCTAAGAACTAACACCTCACAGAGCTGAATGCCAGTGTGGGGAGTGAGGGAAAAACTACACAGAGTGACAGCTGGTAACCTAAACATCTTAACTGTAGTTAACATTACCTCAAGTAGAGCACTCGAGACTGGATGATGAATCTAAACAAGTACTTCAAGGCTTTCAATGCAGCAAAAAGCATTTCTGTCTTGCTGGAGTCATCTGCATTAGCCACGTAGAAATTCAGTACCTTGGAGAGTTTCCTTAGAAGAATGAAAAAGAAAAATTAATCCAATGAGCAACAGGGTTCTGAGGCTTGGGTAAACTATCTAAGAGGGGAACTTGGCATACTGGAAGAAGTCATACCTAACTATTCTTCTAGAATATGCCCTGAACAGGAAAACCGACACTTTTCCAATTAAGTTTCCTTATCTGCCATCTATGTTTGGAACTACCCTTTTATTGAGAAATACTAGAAGTTTTCTTTCCCTTTGTGGAATTAGACAGGAAGGTTATGAAATGAAATGCTTTAAGTGACCCAAATCACTAGGAGATTTTAATCTCTGTCATGCAATCCTAACATCTTCAGATGCTCCCATAAGGGAGGGATTATGTCTGTCTAAAAATGTTGACTTAAAAGAAGTCAGATTCCTTTTATTCTCCCCAACTCTTTGAGATCCATCAGTATGGAGCCAGATGGAAATTTCATGGAGTGAAGGAAGAGGAACTCAGTCTAACTCTTCAGAACATTCATGGTTCTAAGCATTCAACACATAAAACTGTCCTTTGGTTTTAGGTTGCTCTTTATGACTTTCTAGAGTTTTTGGGCTAGGAATGGTCTTCATTTTGTGCTATACCTTAGACTTTGGAGGACACTGATATTTTAGTCTTAAACTTTCCTTCTGGGAATCTTTGAGCTTTCCTAGAATCGCTAATTAAAAAAAAACATATAGAATTGATCAAGACTTGCAAAGTGAGCCCAGATTACAACCACCAGAGTGCTGTGTTTGGCTCAGTGAGGATTTCCTCATTTGTAGCTACTGCCCACTTGGACGTGAGGCTTGCAGGTGGAAAGGGCACTGTCACTGATGCACTCACTGACAGGTCAGTGGGCAGCAATCTACAGGATCTGGCCTAAGCCAATCCATAAGAACATCATTTACCAATCCAGCTACATCCCTTTCACTGTTTATCACATTCTGCACAATAACTGGAAGGCAATGGGGTTGGTGTGGCAGGAAGACACAATGCCATGGTGAGCCAAGCACCCTGGAGAGGCATGCAGACTGGACATTAGTTACTTACTTTAATCAGGAGCCCATAAACCAAGGACAGAAGGAAGGTTGCACTATGGAAAAGGTAGAGACCACTGCCTCTTATGCAAAAGATGGGAAAATGAAATCTTCTCATATCTTGGAAGTAATACATTTTATAAAGCATTTGTGGCACAGGTAGAGGGTATGATCTTTTCTTATATCAAACTTTGTCTTGTTTAATTCATGGTTTGATCTCTTTGATGCCCCCACGCTGATCCCACTGACATCTAACCTCTAAGATTCTGAGTTGGGTCATTTTTTTTTTTTTAGATACAGGGTCTTGCTCTGTTGCTCAGGCTGGAGTGCAATGGCATGATCACAGCTCACTGCAGCCTTGACCTCCCTGGGCTTAAGCAATCCCCTCACCTAAGCCTCTGGAGTAGCTAGGACTAGAGGTGTACACCACCACACCTGGCTAACTTTTTAATTTTTTGTAAAGACAGGTTCTCGTTATGCTGCCTAGGCTGGTCTTGAATTTTTGGCCTCAAGCAATCCTCCTACTTTAGCCCTACCAAGTGCTGGAATTGGAGGCATGAACAACCATGCCTGACCTATTCTGGATTCTTAAGGAGATTTCACCTTATCCAGAAGGAAGGCTTTGATCTTGACCTCCTTTCCAGAGTTAGAATACTTATATAGTTCCCTTTTTCCATGAGGAAGCTTAGAATGGAGTTCTGCCTTAACAGACACATGCACTGAACATAGGTCCCTCTCGTTTCTCAGCAATCCAAAGATCTAGCAATATGCAGTTCCCTCAGATCATACTTACACGTATGCCAAAGTGGCACTGAAGTGCTTGTAAATATAGGTTTCAAGTACAGGATTGAAATGCTGGAACTTGATGTCTCCTATCAGTGAAATAATGAATACCTGCCAAAAGTGAAAAACAGAAATAGCAGCACTGCACAATCCCAAGCATCCTGTCAACAAGCTGGATTTTAACATCTCGGTGCCTTCTTTTTTCTCAGGATCATTTCTGCAGCATACCCACTCCACTATTCCAGAGCTGATGTCAAGTCTTGAGAATTGCATTTATTTAACATAAAGAGAGAGACTATGATGTGTCAGGCACTGTGCTAAATGCTGGGAAGAAACCAATTCAAGCCAGCATCCGTGGCCTCAGAGAACTGACTATCTCTAAGACAGGGGAATTGGTGCCCAGGTAACTTAAGAGGCAGGAGGAACGAGGCTCTGGAAATGGGTTTTCTCTAACCTAAGGATGCAGCTAATGAAACATTCCATGATATTTCTCTCCTGGATACACTGTGAGTGCCCCAAAAACAACTTCACTAGAGTTTCATCTCCCCATTACCCCTTGTATGCTCCCTTGCACTGCCATCAGGCACATGACCTAAAATTAGCCACACTGCTCTGCTTAAGACAGAGAGATCAAAATCAATCAATGCCCACTGCCAGCTGCCCCGCTCCAAGGAATTTGTTTCCAGACCTTGTCCTGCAGCATCCATAACCACTGTCTCTCTTTCCCATAAACCTGAGTCCAACCAGTTGGATCTCAACTAGGCAGCATTTTCTTTATCTTAAACCTTAGCTTTAATGCCTGATCATTTCTTAAACTGACTAGTTCTCCAAGCTGTTGAATCACCTAAAGCTGCAACTGACTTTCCTCCTCAACTGTGGCATTCAGGTAAAATCCTTCCCTGAACTTTCACCCCACCCAGGTGAAAATGATGCTTGCTTTGGGCCTTTCAGCTTCTTCCCCTCCATCTCTATCTCTGGCCTTCCCAGATTCTGATACCACTTCTCACTGTTCTGATTTCAGTTCTTGGAATGGGTTGTAGGTCTAAGTGATTTGTGTAACAAATTCAATTGTCTGCTGGGTTAAATATTCTGTTTAGAGCCTAATGAGGCTAAGATTATTAACCTCTGACTTGTGAATTGAGTCTCCCTTGCGTAATAAACACACCAGTGCACACACATGCACAACATGTAACAATCTTCTTTGTTGATGATATTGCCTGGTTTACAACCAGAGAATGATAATGTGAGTTAAAATGATTCCCGATTTGTAACAAAGATAAAACGTCTCCTTCTCTCTAATGGGAAAGAGACAGCATATCAAAAAATGAGATCTAACAGGAAACAAACAGATAAAGGCCTAAAATGTAAGTCATTTTTTTCTAATTGTACTTCTAGTATCAGCCTAAAACAATAACCAGAGAGATGTAAACAAATATTTATGTGGGAAGATATTCACACAATTACTTATAATAGTGAAATACTGAAAACTACACAGTTGCAACAATAAACACTGGTGAATATGTTTAACCGCTTACCAGTGCGTCAAACACAAGGAAGTCATAGGTTTCATTGTCTGACATTTCCATCATTATGTTAAAAAGTGCATCTAGTGTATCCTGCAAAAACTGAAGATAAGAAAAACAGAGAGGTTATTCGGATGCTTTCATTCAGCTCCATACCATAGAAATCTGGGGACAACTAGGTTTAAATAAAAAATGTTTAAAAATAGCATTTTAAAAAAAACTGGCACACTTCTTTAACAATGTAGATAAGTTTTATGTTTACAATGAATGGTTTAGTTTTAAATGTTGAACCAATTAGGTATAATTGGTATAACAGGCATATATATATATATATATTTCTAACTATGAATATACAAACATACCTTAACAATCTCTCCTCCATCCACCTCCATTAACTTCTTTAGATTGTGTTTGATGTTCTGGGAGTTGGAACGCCAATTTAACAAGCCTAACAGGTCAACTAGGAAGAATGACCAAAAACTGTAAATATTAGACACAGGTGAGACAGAACAATCCAGACCATTTCAGGACATTGCTAAAGAATTCTCTGGAACAGACAACTGCTCTTAATAGTGGCTAATTTAAGATGGCTTACATTTTCTTTTAAGTTACTATCTTCTATCTAAGAGAAAACCTTGTGGTCCTCTTTCATTCTTCAAAGAGAAAAAAATTAACAATTAATGCATAAGAACTTAAAAGAATGTTTGACTGAAACCAACATTTCTCAAATAATGATATCATGGTCCTAAGAAGTAAAGAAGCATGCTTATTATGTAACCTTCCTACTTTTAATTTGCTGCCTTACTTAACGTGTCCCTTATCACTATCTATGTCTGGGCAGATTCAGAGGGAAAGAGGAACATAGGTATGTGTGCCTCTTTCCCTCCCTCCCCCACCCCTCCCTGTGTGTGTGTGTGTGTGTGTGTGTGTGTATGCATTAATTTATTTCAACATCATGACCACAGGGTAGATTTTATTTTTTCCATCTTTTATATGAGGTGATAATACATTAACAGTCCAGATAACTGTGGTTTCTCTGAGACATGCGTGCGCGTGCACACACACACACACACACACACACCCGTTTATTTCTTAATAGAGGCAGGGGCTCTCCATGTTGGCCAGGCTGGTGTTGAACTCCTGAGCTCAAGTGATCCTCCCACCTTGGCCTCCGAAAGTGCTGGGATTACAGGTGTGAGCCACTATGCCCAGCCCCTTTGACATTTTTAAAAGCTCAACATTTATCAAAGCTGTAAGTGGCTTAAAGTTTCAAAATTCTGCCTTGTAAATCAAAAGACACCTTAAAATTTTTATCCCAGACTTATACTAAGGGTTATGAATCTGCTCCACCTTTTCCTTAAAATAGCCACTGATTTGCCTGTCTATTCTTCCCTTCGCTTGAGATATCAATAAATACTATGTATTTCGTAAGAGGTAGCTGATGTCTCCTTGACTCTTCCCATAGTTTTGAGCCATCTGAAGGCAGGAATCATACAGTGTTCATTCTTTTATGTCACCATAGTAGTAGGCATCTATTAGGTGTTCAATACATGTTTGATGAAGGAATGAATGAATGAATGAATGAATGGAAAGGGAACCAGCAGCCCTTAGGAAGCTCGTGATATACTCAGTCCAATCATGAATGCATTCATTCATTCAGCAAGCAATTAACAGGTACAATGCTAGGCCTTCCACTAGGCACCATACACTTCCATATTCTCCAGCTCTTACCTCTGCCACAGGCTAGTCGAAGGTATTACTCATTCCATCACTTGACTCATAGTTGCGGGATGAAAATGATTCAGTCCCTTCACCAGGGGTGAATATTCACCCAGCAGCTTCAGCCCCAGCAAAGCCCTCATCTATCAGCTCAGAAGTCTATTTCCTAGTGATACCTGCATGCCAGACCACTGCTCACATAAGAATATATTTTGGCATCTGGTGAATTGTAAGGTCTTAGGGCCAGGACAGGAGTGACATAGGGTTACATAAAGAGCCCCAGGCTTGCTGTGTTTCTACAGGTTTATCCATGTAGCTCTAGTTAATTTTTTTTCTTGCTGTGCAGTCTTTTCAACTGTATGGGTATACACAATTTGTTTATCTACTCTGCTGCTGGTAAAAACTTGGGTTGTTTCTAGTTTTTTTATGATCATAAGCAAGTTTCCTATGAACATTCTCATATATCTTTTGGTATACAAATAAAGCAGCTTCTCTGAGGTAGAAAACTAAGGTGAGATTTCTGGGGCATCAGGAATAATATCTTCAATCATATTAAATATTATCCAAAGTCACTATCCCCATTTTATATTCTTGTCACAAATGTGTAAGAATTCAGGATACTTCATATCTTCAGTAACGCTGAGTAAAAGCTCAAGTTACATAAGAATTCACATAAGACACAAGACTTCAACCAGATAGTTCAATTATTAACTACATTAATACTGTAGACTGCATAATATTGTATACTGTATACTTGAAAATTGCTAAGAGAATAGATTTCTTTTTTGGAATGGAGTTTCGCTCTTATTGCCCAGGCTGGAGTGCAATGGAGTGATCTCAGCTTACCGCAACCTCTGCCTCCCAGGTTCAAATGATTCTCCTGCCTCAGCCTCCCACATAGCTGGGATTACAGGCATGCACCACCATGCTCGGCTAATTTTGTATTTTTAGTAGAGACAGGGTTTCTCCATGTTGGTCAGGCTGGTCTTAAACTCCTGACCTCAGGTGATCCGCCCACCTCAGCCTCCCAAAGTGCTGGGATTACAGGTGTGAGCCCCTGTGCCTGGCTGGAAGAATAGATTTTAAGTGTTCTCACCACCAAAAAATAAGTAACGTGGCACGCAAAAGTCACTGGCTGCAGGAGATTACTGGGCACCCGCAATGTGGCTAGGGCAACTAAGGGACTGACTCATAATTTATTTACATAAAATACAAACAATGCAAAAGAAAACAATATACTTTAAAGGCTACAAATGTGGCAAAACTATAAAGAGAAGCAAGGCATGACAATCCCCAAATTTAGGGAAGTAATTGCGTTCTACCGTAAAGGAGAGAATTTAAGAACACATACTTTATTTATTTATTTATTTTTTGAGATGCAGTCTTGCTCTATTGCCAGGCTGCAGTGCAGTGGCACAATCTTGGCTCACTGCAACCTTCATCTCCCAGATTTAAGTGATTCCCCTGCCTCGGCCTCCTGAGTAGCTGGGACTACAGGTGTGTGCCACCATGCCTGGCCATTTTTTTGTATTTTAGTAGAGATGAGGTTTCACCATGGTCAGGATGGTCTCAATATCCTGACCTCATGTTCCACCCGCCTCAGCCTCCCAAAGTGCTGGGATTACAGGTGTGAGCCACCTCACCTGGCCAGAATATATACTTTTAGAAAGAAATGAATGACAAAGGTATTCAGACTCAAACAGTTTAAAAGCCACTGGAGTTTGTAACAAACAGATCTCGGAGACTCTGTAACTGCAAAATGATAAACTATAAACTCTTTGGAGCTACAAAGAGCTGTTTTCAAAACCCAAGTCCGCCTCCTAGAAGCTTAAGAAAGGCTTTTTACTACTTTAAAACTCACTTTTCTGATCAATAAACTGGAGATGATCATGGTGAAGCTGGTGCTGGAGGGTGAAATGACTGATGAGTATGAACCTCCTGGCCCAAAGCCATGCATCTCTGGGACCTGCACATCCCTCTCTTCTCCCTAGAAAAACAAATCTATTCCCTTCCATTGGGCCCAGCAACCAATGATCCCACACAAATCAGTCTGTTCTAGTTTTTAAAAAATAATTCAAGTAAACAAAAAAGAGAATCTCCAAGATGCTGAAACTCCAGTGGCTTTTAACCTTTTGAGTCTGAATAGCCCTCCTCAGGTGAAGGAGGAATGCCTTTGGTCACGCTCTCAAGTGAGAACACAGCTACGCTCTCTACTCAGTAAAAACCCTCATACAGTTAGCTGGTGGCTTATTAATGTTCTTCAACTTTTTATTAAATCAAATTCATTCTTTATAATTTCCATCAAGTCAGAAGAAAGCAAATGCATAAATCATCCATAGTCATCTGTCCCTGGAATACCCCGTTTTCCCTGATGCTCGAGATGCCTTGCCAAGTCTCCGCCTTTCCCTCTCTGTCCCCTGTTCCCTCTACTTACTCTCAGTCCATTTGGATAGCTTACATTGGCCTTTCCTCTCTGATTTAGATGACGCTTGCCTTTTTAAGCTTTCTTTGCAAGTAGGTATTACTTCTGACTTCTTAAATGTGTGTTAAGATGAATTTTTAAAAAAATCAAAACATCAGGAATAAGGATGACAAGGTAAAGCACACAGTGTTATCCAAAGGAACATTCTGTGATGATGGAAATGTACATCTGTCTACCCCAACACGAAAGTCACCAGGAGACTAGAGCGCTTAAAATGCGATTAGGGCAACGAGTGGACTAATTTATATTTTCATTAATAAAACTTAATTAACTAACAAAAATTGTATATATAAAGTGTACAACATGACGCTTTGACACACACACACACACGCACACACACACACACACACACACACACACAGTGGAAGGCTAAATCGAGGTAATTAACATACACATTACCTTACTTATTTTTTGGTGGTGAGAACACTTAGAATCTACTCTCTTAGCAATGTTTAAGTATATACTATATTATTAACTGTAGCCACAAAAATATATAATAGATTTCTCAAACTTATCCTTCTTGTCTAATTGAACTTTTGTACCCTTTGTCCAACTTCTCCCCAATCTCCCCACTTTCAATTTTAATTAATTTAAATTTTACAAGCTCCATGTGTCTGGGGGCTACTGGATCAGGGCAGTACAGGCTAGTTAAGAACATTCAGAAGTTGGGATGAAGTACATGTATCAGCAAATGAAGGGTCTACACTGAAAACTGCAACTTGTCAGGAAACCCTAAACTTTTGACATGGAGATAACAATGTAACAATATGGTTATCTCTAACAGAAATTCCTTTTGCTTTTCATTACTAGTTAATTCCACAAACTTTTATTTTTGTTTTCTTTATTCTTCTTTGGTCTCTAGTCCAGAAAGGATAATCTACTAGATGTCCAGTAAGTGTTATCCTTCTCAAATATCCCTTCATAGTTTTAAAAGAACATTAAAGCTTCATATAGTATACTACCATACTTAACTTTAAAAAATAACATTTTGACATTCCATAGTTAAAAATCTGGAAAACACCAAAAAGAAGAAAGAAAACAAGAATTAACAAACTTTTTAGTCCTATTTGTCTCTCTCTGTGTACAAATAATGATGGTGATACTAGTGATAGCTAACATTCTATAGTGTTCCTACATAGACTGAATTCTATTTTGTTTTTACCTACTTTAATTTACGGCATCCTTTGAAATATTTGCTATTATTGCTCCCATTTTAAAGACAAGGAAATCAGTGCACAGAGATGTCAAGTCACTTGCCCAAGATGAAACAGCTAGGAAGTGGCAGAGCTGGGATCTGAAGCCAGACAATCTAGCTCCAGATTGCTTACATGTACTTAAATAAGAATCATTCTGTATATAGCGTTAAAATGTTCACTGTATCCTTCATTATGTTTTGAAATACAATATTTAGCAGCTGCATCTATTTTGTCACTTAATTATATTATAAAATGTAGTTAAACTGACCCCGACTATCGGACATTCGGGTTGTTTCCAGAATTTCCCTGTTAATGAATAATGGGGAAACAGCATCATCGTACATCAATCTTTGTGCACATCTCTCATTGTTTACTTAAATTTAACTTCTAGGAGTCAAATCACAGGCTCAAAGCGTCTGAAGACATTTAAAATCCTTTCTATGCCTTCTACGTTATCTTCCATAAATGTACCCATTAACCTACCAGGAATTTATTGTTAATATATTTGCTTTTTCCATAACAAAGGATAAGTTACTGATGGTTTTGTAATGTCTTCTATGTTCTCTGGCTTAATTTTTGGTGAGCCTGCTTTTGCTTGCACACATGGATTTACCCTAAACTTCACTCTGTTGAGTCTAGCCACTTGTCCAAGCTTAAATGCAATCCTTATTGTCTTGTCAACCACGATTTGTCAAAGCCAACCTTACACCGAGCCCTTCTAAAGATGAACCAGGATCTGATCCCTGGGTTTGTCCTGTAACTACACTATTTTGTCTATCTTCGCCCTCCTTACAGCAGAGCTCTTGCCTGTACCTCACTCAAATTGTCTCTTAGGCCAAAGGCACCAGTCTCTACACAGCATATGGGAGACAGAATTTCTAGGGCAAGACCCCTAGGCAGTGCATTCTTGGTTTATTACATTCAGTAGGACTCCTCACACATGACACAAGTTAAATAAGTAAGAAGTTGATATTGGCTATCGAATGCCATAGACTACACAAGAGAGGTTAAAACTGCTATCAGAGGTTTGAAGGAAAAACCAAATGAAGCCCTCTTTGAACTATTCAGCTGAATTTACAGAAAATCTCTGACTGCTTGGAAAAAAACTGGGAAGAGGAGAATAATCGAGGGAAAGACAGAACTCAAACAGGAAGCCCTACCATACGTGTTTTGACAGGAGACTGATCATATTTCTTTGCCAGGCTCCTCCCCTTATTACCAACACCTCTTTCTCCACATACTATACAGAATGCACTATCAGGGAATATGGCTTTTGAATTTTACAGGTGCTGTTAATAAATATATTTACAGGTTTTATCATGTACTAAAATGTTTTTCTTTTCTATTTTCTTCTTTTCCTCCCCTTCCCCTTCCTCTTACTCTTTTCTTTTCTTTTCTGAGATGGAGTCTCACTCTGTCCCCCAGGCTGGAGTGCAGTGGCGTGATCTTGGCTCACTGCAACCTCCGCCTCCCAGGTTCAAGCAGTTCTCCTGCTTCAGCCTCCCGAGTAGCCGGAACTACAGGCACATGCCACCACACCCGGCTACTTTTTTGTATTTTAGTAGAGATGGGGTTTTACCACTTTGCCCAGGCTAATCTCGAACTCCTGAACTCAGGCAATCTGCCTGCCTCAGCCTACTAAAGTGCTAACATTACAGGTGTGAGCCACCGCACCCAGCTTAAAATAATTTTCATCCTGCTTTAAATTGGACAACAAAACTTCAGAAGAAGATGTGCAATGTGATCAGTACTACCCAGAACATCTTTTGAAAAGCAGAGAGCAGAATCCAGCTGGCCAACATCCTACCTAATAAGACCCAGCCTCATATGGTCCAGCCCCATATGGTCCATCCAGCCCTGTGAGTCTAACCAAGGAGCCCAGGAAGGCTCAGCAGGAAGCTCATTTGTGTCAACCTATTCACCACTCCTACCGTTCTGGGTGAGCTTTGTGGAGCAGATGAGGGTGGCTATCTGAAAGCTGTCTTTAGTGCTATCCTTGCTTGGCATGAAGGTGACCAGGTTTTTGGATGCTTGAAGCTCTTTTTCTTCCATTTCCATCTTGGTCCCAGGCAGGGTCAGGTAGAATTTAGCATCTTCCATTTTTTTGTTGTCACCCTAAAAAGGAAGCATGTTAGGAACACCAAATGATGGCCAATATCTCTTATATGCAAATAAAAACAATTCTGTCATGCATTTCCAGCATGAGAAGTGTGGCTTTATCAAATTATCCTGAAGATCCCTTCCAACTCTGAGATACTGTATCTTTCCACGGATATTGAGCCCAGAAATAATTTCATGATTGAATGGAAACAACGTAAGCTGTGAACCAGAAACCAGAATATGCTAGTCTCTGCTAGAGTAAATAAACATATTACAGAATAAGGTTAAATTTACTTTATTCAACCTCTAAATGGGGACAATTATATTTTACTGGGTTGATGAAAAAAGAAATAATTTGCCATCCCTTCCAAAATGATTCATAAACTAAGATGTTAAGAAAAATATTCATCAGGTAGATGCATCTCAAAAGAGCAGCTAACTGTGGGGGAAAACCCCAGATACTGTTGGATAAATGAGATCTTCCAGCAACTACTTCATGCTCTAAAATCTCAGTAGAAGTGGGAGCTCAGCACCACTTGGAAGACAGCAAAGACAAAGTCTCAGGGAAGGAAACAAGGCCCCCAGAGCGGAGAAATGGTACATGGCTCACGGTGATAGGAAAACCACATCCACTGTTACTGAAGCCCAACAGTGCACCTGTCCACATGCTGTGCGGGATGATGCAGAGAGCACATCGTGAGAGGCCAGCCCCTTACCGTGCACTGCTAGGGAACACCATTCACAGGAGAGGGTGAGAGCCTCCTCAGAAGACCCAGTAATAATGCGGCCGGAGACGATGGCTCACGCCTATAATCCCAGCACTTTGGGAGGCTGAGGAGGGTGGATTATGAGATCAGGAGTTCAAGACCAGCCTGACCAACATGATGAAACCCCATTTCTACTAAAAATACAAAAATTGGCCAGGCATGGTGGCACAGGCCTGTAATCCCAGCTACTGGAGGTTTAGGAAGGAGAATCACTTGAAACTGCGAGGTGGAGGTTGCAGTGAGCCGAGATCATACCATTGCAATCCAGCCTGGGTGACAAAATGAGGCTCCATCTCAAAAAAAAAAAAAAGCAAAAAAAAGACTCAGTAATAAAGCAACTCACTCTCTTCAGAAAGTAGGTGGGAAACCACACAGCTGGAGATCCCAGAGCACTTTGGGTTTCTAGACTTTAATGGGCAAGTACCTGTAGCTCTAGAAAGGTTTCTGATGTTTGTATAAATAAATGTAAAAGGAGCCTTAAATGCCCATTTGAAAGGGAGTAAATATTTTTCTCAGTCATTTTCTGTTAGCACCACCTTATAAACCACCAGATCGTGCCTCCCATCCTGCAGAGTGGTGCCATCCGGGTTCATCAGCTTCACGAAGGCCACCCCAAATGCTCGTTCCGATTTATCTCTGGCTGAAAACACAGAAAGACATGTCTGGGCAGTGAAGAAAGACACCAGGAGGCGGTGGCTATGACAGCTGATTCCCCATTTTGCTCAGGGTTGTGATATTCAACCATATTCTAATAAGCACAATTCAGCAGGTTGCAATAAGCCACATACCATGTGTCACTGAAACTGCCTGGCACCCCCAAGTATGTGTTCCTGTTCCTATGTCCCCTAATAAATGAGACTAGCGTCTGCCCGGTCAGACAAATCAGAAACGTGCATGTTGACACCAGCTCCACCCCATGTCAACTCCATGTCCTAAATAGTATCTCCTCTCTCCATCCTGCTGTCCCTCCCTGAGTTCAGGCCACCCTCAACTCTTCTCTTTATTTCTACAAGACCTTTGCAATGCATCTCTCTGTCTCCAGGGCTCTCCCAGCAAATGCATTCTCTATGCTGGAATGAGGTTTCCAAAGTCCAGTCCATTCATGTCAACCACCCTGCTTCAAAACCTTGACTGGGAGATCTCAATTTCTGTTGCTTGAAAACAGATTCTGGAATTTTTTTTTTTTTTTGAGATGGAGTCTTGCTCTGTCACCCAGGCTGGAGTGCAATGGCGTGGTCAACCTCCGCCTCCTGGGTTCAAGCAATTCTCCTGCCACAACCTCCTGAGTAGCTGGGATTATAGGTGCCTGCCACCATGCCAGGCTTATATTTTTAGGAGAGACAGGGTTTCACCATGTTGGCCAGGCTAGTATCAAACTCCTGACCTTGTGATCTACCCACCTTGGCCTCTCAAAGTGCTGAGATTACAGGCATGAGTCATCATGCCTGCTCAGACTCTGCAAGATATTTATTATATTCTAGGGTTTACGGTGCTGTCCAAGGTTTCTTCCCTCTTCCTCCCCAGAATATCAGCTCCAGTGCCAGGAAAGAAGATCTGTATGCCCTGTGGCAGCTGGGAAGAGGATGTGGCTTCATGAGGAGGCAGTATCCCTCTCTTGGTCTTCAGGGCCAGTTTCTGGTCACGAGGTCCCCTGCCTCGGTGGCTCTGACTGGGGTAACTGTATTCATCACAGGCATGGCTCTGTGGTCTGCTGTGACTCTTGGGTCCCCATACTGGTGGAGTAGTCATGCATTGCATGATTATACCTCAATGTGTTTGTCCATTCTCCTATTGATAGAGATTGAGTCTATGCTAGTGTTGGAGTATTACGGGTAAAGCTGTTGTGAACATACACCAACCCCTCCCAAAACCTCAAAACCAGAAACCACCCTTGAATTGCACCACCTTAACAAGGTTGAAAAGCATCTTCAGCCTTCATGGCCTGGCTCCAGCCCAGCTAGAATCACATTGCCTGGGTGCCAACCCAGCTTGCTCATATGCTAACCTTGTGACCACAGGCAAGTTCCTCAGCTCTCTGTGCCTTAATTACTCTGCGTATAAATGTAGATAAAAGTAGAATATACCTTATTATGTCACTGCGCATTCTAAACAGACAATGTGCAAATATAGCGTCACAGAATATCTCATGCAAACTAAGACCTTAATAATGGTCATTTCTGTATTATGCAGAACCATACGAAAGGGCTATTTGGACACTCAGACCTAAAAAAAATGGCAATTTCAAATGATTTGACCTGATACTACTATTGCTCCACTGGTCTGCTTTAGCCATACTGAGCTCATTTAGGTTCTCCAAACACATTTCTCCCATCACCCTTCACTGGGTTAATTTCTACTCACCTTCATGTCTCAGCTAAGATGCAGGAAGTCATATGCCTAAATCCCCCAGACTGGGTAAGGAGCTGCGCTACGCATCCATTACTCTTTGCCCTTGTAATGTACATATCACACTATTCTGTACATATTCACTTTTTCATTCATCTTCCTAACCAGACCACGGAGAGTCTGCATGGCAGGGTCCAGCTGCCTCTTACATACCGGGGCCACACCTGCAGCCTGTTGTGTAGATGGTGTTCAACACACGCATTTTTTGAAGGAGGGGTTACATTTTTATGCAGCACTAAATGAGAATAAGATGCTTCTAGAAATTTTGTAATCGATCTGAAGACAATCAATTTTCTTCTCTACTTACACTTTAGTGGAGCCATTTCAAGAACCGTGACCTACAACTTGAAATTGTTTTTTTGTTTTTGTTTTGTTTTTTGAGACAGAATCTTGCTGTATCACCCAGGCTGGAGTGCAGTGGCACGATCTTGGCTCACTGCAACCTCCCCCTGGGTGCAAGCGATTCTCCTGCCTCAGCCTCTTGAGTAGCTAGGACTAAAGGTGCGTGCAACCACGCCTAGCTACATTTTTTTTTTTTTTTTTGTATTTGTAGTAGAGACAGGGTTTCATCATGTTAGCCAGGATGGTCTTGATCTCCTGAGTTTTTATCTGCCTGCCTTGGCCTGCCAAAGTGCTGGGATTACAGGCATGAGCCACCATGCCTGGTCGAAATAGTTTTTTCATGAGAAAAATGAAAATTTGGGAAGACAATTGACTAAACAGTTTTATTGCTAGTGCAATGTGGCAACATGCATTGTGAATGTCTAGGTGGGAGATACAATACATATATAGCCTCTCCTATACCTATTTGATTGTGAAATAGGTTTTGTTATACAGTATCTAGTAGCATCTTGGAGCAGGGGACCTCAAACCCCAGGCCACGAACCTGTACCAGTTTGTAGCCTGTTAGGAACTGGGCTGCACAGCAGGAGGTAAGTGGTGGATGAGCAAGCAAAACTTCATCTGCATTTACAGCTGCTCTTGGCCAGGTGTGGTGGTTCACACCTGTAATACCAGCACTTTGAGAGGCGGAGGCAAGCGGATCATGAGGTCAGGAGTTCGAGACCAGGCTGGCCAATACGGTGAACCCTCGCCTCTACTAAAAAACACAAATTTAGCTGGGTATGGTGGTGTGCGCCTGTAGTCCCAGCTAGTTGGGAGGCTGAGGCAGAAAAATCGCTTGAACCCAGGAGGCAGAGGATGCAGTGCTCCCTGCTCCCCACTGCTCACATTACCACCTGAGCGCCGCCTCCTGTCAAATCAGCAGCAGCATTAGATTTTAACAGGAGCCAAATCCTATTGTGCCCATTGTGACCTGCTCATGCAAAGGCTCTAGTGTACACACTCCTTGTGCAAATCTAATGCCTGATGATCTGTCACTGTCTCCCATCACTCCCAGATGGGACCGTCTAGTTGCAGGAAAACAAGCTCATTCTACAGTATGGAGACTTGTAGAATTATTTCATTACATATTACAATGTAATAATAATAACACAATAAATGTAACGTGCTTGAATCATCCTGAAACCATCCCCGCCCCTGGTCCTTAGAAAAATTGTTTTTCACGAAACCAGTCCCTGGTGCCAAAGATTGAGGACTGGTGTCTTTGAGAATATCAGTGTTCACAAAACACATTTTAAGGAAGTTCAGATATAGAGTGATAACACAGACCTTGCAAGCCCAGCAAAATTCATTATGCTGATTTCCTTAGCACCAGTGAGTTATGAAATAAAGTTGCCAAGTATCTAGTTTCCTAATACCTTGTTCTCCAGATTCACAAGAGGGCTGTCAAGCAAGAGTAAAAATTTTTAAGTGGAAATATGTAATAGACCTCTTAATACTTACATTCCTGAGATGACCTGTGTCGGAAGGTAAATCTTATATGACAGCGTGTGACCTCTTCTATAGCAATGGATACCTGTGTCACAGTAAGAAATTGGTAGTTTACAGATACACAGTACTTTGCAGGCATGGTTTATTTTATGGAATTAGGCTCAATTTTATACTTTCTGCAGCACAAATTACTATAGAGTGAGACTTAGTAGAGGTTTCATTCAAAGAAGACCAAGCTATTTTCAAATCAGAAGAATCTCAGATCATCTTGCTGCTTATCATAGATTCTGAGCATGGAGATATTATGAATTTCTAGCATTTTCTTTAGTGTGAAAGCGTAATACTTCACAGAGGTCTATACAGGACCTTTCAGACTGCAAGATGTGTATAAATATAGTAATAATCGAATTTATAAGACATAATTATCCTATATAGAGGAGGAAAAGGTAATGATTAGTGCCCATAAAGCAGCTTTCTGTTGCTTACATATCTACAGGGGAGAAAAGAAGCAGAGCCTCAGGGCACTGAAACGAGCAGAGATTTGTGGTGTGCAGTTAAATTATGGCATGATTATATACTGAAACATGCAAGTATCTAAAAATACCTATCTGAAGAATTTATATGCCTTGAGATAAGTCGTTTCGAAAAGCACAATATAAATCTGTATCAACAGCATCATTCAAAACATACAAACTATATAAAACTTGAAAATGGTTACTTCTAAATTGAGATATATGAACGCAATTTTTAAAAAATTTTCTATGAAGAACTCATATGACTTCAACAACCAGAAATTGCTGATGGAGCCTGGGATTCAGAAGTGGGCTCTAGTTCAGGCCCTGGTATCAGTCAGCTCTATGATCTTGGGAAGTCACTGAACTTTGGATCTCAGCACCTACTCAGAAAGAGGCCATGACAAGACCTACGTGTTCGAGTTGCAGAGCCACTGTGGGGCTCAAAGGAGAATGACTGATCTGAAAAGCACTTTGGAATGTGTAATACACACATTGAAGTTGAAAAGAGGCCCAGAACACTTGGTGAGAGGCCAAGAAGAAAAAAATGTTAGGAAACTGTTTGCACAGTGTGAAAATTTCCGTTTGGTTTTGCACCATCTTGGCAGTCTATTATATCTATCACATCAACCACAAACTTTGCTATTCAAATTTCCATACATGAATTAGAACATTATTGAAGAATGCTGTCTGTTAACAATAAATGCTCTTAATACAGAATTATAATTACCAAGTCATTTCTTACTGCACACTATAGGCAACTTATCTAAAAATTTCAAAATAAAGGAGGAAGAATTTGGGGGTAAACAGAAGGTAGCAATCTAACTGAGGTTTAAGGGATAACAGGGGTTACAAATGACTCATTCTTACCTTGACAGTCTCATACCAACAGGGCTGCTTGACTTGGTAATAGACTACAGACTTGTATTCTGAAATGCCTTCATATCCAGCACCAGGGTGAATTGCTTTCTTTGAATGGAAAGCAAAAATTAGAAGGGAGTGATTTTGCTTAGAAAACTAAGAGGATCTCATATACCATACACAAGCCCCTTATCCCCCAACATGTCCATATATGCCCTACACTGGCACTGAACAGCTGATTAAATTTAGGGGATAAAGAATAGAGAGGACTGGGCTGGGAGCACTGGCTCATGTCTGTAATCCCAGCACTTTGGGAGGCTGAGGCAAGCACATCACAAGTTCAGGAGTTCGAGACTAGCCTGGCCAACACAGTGAAACCCTGCCTCTACTAAAAAAATTACACAATTAGCCAGGTGTGGTGGTATACACCTGTAATCCCAGTTACTCAGGAGGCTGAGGCAGGAGAATTGCTGGAACCCAGGAGGTTAAGGCTGCAGTGACCAGTCAGCCGAGATCGTGTCACTGCACTCCAGCCTGGGCAACAGAGCGAGACTCTGTCTCAAAAAAAAAAAAAAAAAAAAAGAATAGAGAAGACTGAATTTCTACCACTTTATTCAAGGGTCTATAATATAAATCAGGTAGCAGGTAAGGAACCCAGTAGCACCTGAAAATCCTTCTTTCCTATAACTTATATTTTCTCTTCCCTCCCCAAGCATGCATTGTCCTCTGATTCTTTCCTCATTTCTCTCTCAGGGAAAATGATGATGACTAAAAATTAGGTGACACACGCAGACTTGCCACTGTTTGTGGAAAAGCATTTATTTTTCCTGTCTACATTCTGTTTTAGGGACTTGGGGTACTGGAACAACATATTCACTCAAACTCAGGGCTACATCTTGTTTTGGTCATGAACCACTTAGCTCAGTAAAACTAGGCCTTGGTGGGGCACTATCCAATGAGTTAGTGAAGCTATGAAATGACCAACCAGGAGAAGGTGTCTATTTGAAATGAGCTCATGTACTCTTATCAACAGCACAAATAAAACATTCTCATACAGTGGCTCACAGCATTCAGTTTATCCCTCTCGTGTAAAATACGACTTGACTTGGTAAATTTTCTGGCTGTCTGCATCCCTACTAGATTATAACATCCATGAAAAGTGATAAAATTATATTTCACTGTAGCCTCAAACAACTATGCAACAGGACACTCAGTGAGTCAAATTGATCAAGAGTTTGGTCCTTGGTTACCAAAGCAGGTAACTATGGCTCATACAAGAGGAGCTGGAGTTCAGCAGAGGCCATGCAGCCTTCTGTGACCACCTTCTGCCTACCCTCTTTGATGTCAGAATCAGTACTCCTTTATATGGGCAGAAATCTGGCAGATACCTGCTTTATGTCTTGTCTTAATTTAAAAAAAAAAAAAAGGAAAGAAAGAGGAAAAAAGAAAAGGGAAGGGAAGGGAAAAAGAGAAAAAGCAAGGGAAAAGAGAAGGGTTTTAAAAAGTAAGAGAAAAGAGAAGGAAAAAGAAAAGGAAAGGAAAATAAAGAAAAAGGAAAGGACTAGAAAAGAAAAAGCAGAGAAGAGAAAAAAAAGAAAAGAAAAGCTGCCAGAGTTGGAGGAACTCTGGATGGGAATTCAGGGTATTTGGATATTCTCCCAGCTTTGCCACTAACTTCTGTGTTTCTCAGAGAAAATAACTCAACCTTTTAAAGTTTCTTACAGTTTCCTGCTCATTAAAACTAAAGAGCAGTGGTAGCGAATGCCTACACAAAGGCTCTTCCGGTTTCAGCCTCTAACAAGCACATCTCTTTTGGTTCTGCTCACCCAGGGAAGGAAACGTGCTTTGTGATGCCATTCAAGTAAGTACCCAGGCCACTTAGCTGAAGCCCTAGAGGAACTGATCAAGCTTGAAAGTGACTAAATAAGTTGAAAATGATAAATAACCTCTGCATTGGAAGCCTACACATAAAATCATTAGTGGCTGGAGCTATTTCTTAGTACAGGAGAAATACAAAAATAAGAGTCTAGATAGCTTCATTAGTGAAACTGCTCATCGCCCATCACAAATTTAACAGGCTTTATATTTCTTTTCTTAGGAAAAACAAACCCATCCTGATGCAAAGAAGATTAAAAATAAGACCAAAAGCCAATCGTGATTGTAAAGATGGATGTGATGGCAGCAGGATTTCTGGGCCACGCTGCTCACCTCCAAGAGCTTGCCCTCCTCGTCGTGCACGGACATCGTCACTTCCACATTCTTTGGTGTTTTCTTCTTCCCTTTGTCAAACTCGCCATGGATCAGGGTGACATAAATGTCATTCCGAACATCTCCTGTAACACGACAAGCATGCTGTGAGTGCTGCTGAGAGAAGTCATTCTACGTTTCAGGATATCGTATGACATAAAAGACAAACAATATGAAGTGGTCTGGTTTTATAACGAACTACTCATCCGACAAAAGGCTTTCAGGCACTGGCCATCTTCGGCATCTCTCATTTTACCTTTCCATGCATACCAAGATGTCTTTGCACTGTAGTTTTATAGAAAATTAACACTTTTCAGTAGCAATTTTCTCTATTAAAAATGGCTGCCTAATAATAAATACATATTGTATATCGTTAGATTACAATATGTAGCTGTTGTAACCTAACAATATGGTAGATGTTTTTTCAGTAGTGCCTTGGAGAGTGTGATATTTTGAAAACATCTGATAATAATGAAGGCAATTGTCTACTGAGTGCTTATTATGTGCTGTGCCAGGCACTGGTCAAAATGTCTCACATGTATTAATGTAATCAATTATAGACTAACTTGTTAATCTATGGAACAACCTAATGAGATAGATACTCTTTCTGAAAGCTTATAGAGTATGTTTTTCTTTTCTTTTTTGATATATGATCTTGCTCTGTTGCCCAGGCTGGAGTACAGTGGTGTCATCTCTGCTCACTGCAACCTTGGTCTCTTGGGTTCAAGTGATCCTCTCACCTCAGCCTCCTGAGTAGCTGGGATTACAGGCACACATCACTATGCCTGGCTTATTTTTTGTAGAGAAGGAGTCTCACTACATTGCCCCGACCAGTCTCGAACTCCTGGACTCAAGCAATATGTCCACCTCAGCCTCCCAAAATGCTGGGATTACAGGTGTGAGCCACCATGCTTGGCCTAGAGTACTTTATATTTCTTTAAATCAGTTTATTTGCTTTGATCAATGAAAGCATGCTTTCTGCTTGTCTTTTTTCTTTTTTTTTGGTTACCCAGCAAAAAAGAAAAAAAATTATTTAATAAACGCATAGCTCATATATTAGATAAAAAAATATTAAATGTTATTGAGGTACACAACTGAAACTTGGAATAAATGGAAAGCATATTAAACTCCTAGATGAAAAAAGTATTAAAAAAATGATTTCAACACCAGCCCTATATTAAACCGCCTCCCAATGCAAAAAAACAAAATCTTTTAACATTATAAGAAAACAGGAGTGCATATTAAGAGTGCTGATCATTTTGATCATTTCCCCAACTGGCAAAAAATAAGATTCCACTTTCAGTTGCTGAGAATGAAGAAAAGGGTTTATTCACACAGCACAGTTTAAAACATTACTTGACACATTCTTCGTCAATGGAGACATTGAAAATGCGTCAAAAGCCTTAATATAGCAATTACACTGGTAATTTTTGTCTCAAAGTATTAACAACGTGGGCAATAATTTATCTGTAAGGATATTCATTGTGGTGTTTTAAAAGTAGAAACATGGAAACATTCTTGATTTCCAAGCGAAGGGAATTAGTTGAAAAAATTATGGTATAATCAGATGATGGAGGTAATATTCATTATAAAAAGTGCTTGAGCTCCTACTCTGCAGCAGGCATGTGCTGGGTGTCTGGGTGGCAATGATCAACATGCACCAGCTTTGCCCAACTCAGGTTACAGTCTTGTGCCGGAGAGAAGCACCAGTTAAATAACCTGAATGAGTAAACCCACCATTACCAATGGAGGCACATGCCAGGCTCTGTGAATGCACAACATCAGGTCCTGACCTTGTCTGCGTGCTGTGGGAATCTTCCCTTTCAGCTGTTAGCAGCAGAGTCAGTGAGAGTAGCCTGTGCAAAGGCCCAGAGGTAGGAGACAACCTGACTGACATCCTCACAGTGAGTGGGTATCTGGTGAAATTAGGCTAGAGAGACAGAAATAAACCAGCTCCCACTGATGCCAGTGGGGAGATTAAGAATTTATATATATATATCCTCAGCATAAATGAAAGTCAGTAAGATGTTTTCAGTGAGGAAGGAGTGGGATAAGATCAGCTGTGCTTACGCAATAGAACATTCAGGAAGCAGGATGAAGAGGAAATGAGCGAAGAAAGAGTAGAAACATGAAAACCAAGTAGGAGGCTATGGTGGTTGTCAAGGGAAGAGGCCATCCTAGCTCCAAATTGGCTAGTGGCAATGTAGATGGAGAGAAGGGGATAGATTTGAGAGTCCTTTCAAAGGTAATGCTGACAGGTCTTATCCACTAATTTATGTGAGTTGTAAAGGAAAGGGAGATATCAAGGGTGACTTTCTGGCTTGTGTGGTGGACGAACGGGTGGGTGGGTGGGAAGGTGGATGGATGGGTGGGTGGATAGGGGTTGGGTAAGTGGATAGATGGATGGATGGATGAATGAATGAATGGATGGATAGAGTTTGGATAGGTGAAGAGTTGGATGGGTAGGTGGATGGATGGATGGATAGAGGCTGGTTAGGTGGATGGATAGATGGGTGGATGGGGATGGGTAGGTGGATGGATGAATGGATGAATAAAGGTTGGATAGGTGGATGGTTGGATGGGTAGGTGAATGGGTAGGCGGATGGATGGATGGATGGATGGATGGATGAATGAATGAATGGAGATGCTGTTCTCTTAGAAAAAACACAAGAGAGATGCCTCTGGCCTAGATGCACAAAATTATGAGGTCCAAATGGGGATGTTGAATAAGAATTAGCCAATTAAAGCAAGGAAGGGCTGGGCATTGTGGCTCATGCCTATAATCTTTGGGAGGCAGAGGAAGGAGGATTGCTTAATCCTGATATCAGCCTGGGCAACATAAGGAAACTTGGTCTCTACAAAATCAATTCATTTAATTATCCAGGTGTGGTGACTCATGCCTATAGTCCCAGCTACTTGGGAGGCTGAGGTGGGAGGACTGCTTGAGCCTAGGAGATTGAGGCTTGCAGTGAGCTATGATCATACAACCATACTACAGCCTGAGCGACAGAGCAAGATCTTGTCTCAAAAAAAAAAAAAAAAAAAATGACAAGAGTCCTGAGGCAGGAAATAGCTGGCTATATGGCCCTAGAATTCATAAAGAGGTCTTGGTGTTGAAGCTCCAGATTTGCAGGTGACAGGCAGATGTAAGCCAAATGAGTGGATGATACCTCTAGGGAGAAAATACAGCTGAGACAGAAAGAGGGCTGTTATGGGCTGAACTGTGTCCTCCCCAGATTCATATGTTGAAGCCATAACCCTAGTAAAGCAGAATATGACCGTATTTGGAGATAGAGCCTTCAAAAGAGTAATTAAGGTAAAATGAGGTCATATAGGTAGGTCCTAATCCAATACGACTGGTGTCCTCATACAAAGAGATTAAGACATAGACATGCACAGAGGGACAATCAAGTGAAGACACAGGGAGAAGATGGCCATCTGCAAGCCAGAGAGAGGGGCCTCAGGAGAAGCCAACTCTGCTGTCACCTTGATCTTCCAGTCTCCTGTCCTTTCTTGTGAGAAAATAAATGCTGTTGACACAACCCGGATCTATGGTGTTTTGTTATGGCAGCCCAAGCACACTATCACAGGGTCTCAGGACCAAATTCAAGGAACTTCAACATTTAGAGGTCAAGCAGAATATGAGAAGGTGGCAAAAGGGTTCTTGCAGAAGCCCCAGGGAAATGGAGAAAAGTGGAAAGTGAGGGGTCACCAATGAGAAGGGAAGGAAGTATTCTGACAACGTCAGATGCTGCTGAGAGGTCAGAGCTGATCACTAGGCTGGAAAACGCCCACCAGACACAGCGATACCATGATCATGGGTGACTCTCATGAGAGCTACTCTGTAGAGGCGGGAGGCGGCCCGGCAGAGGTGAGAACAGAGAACAGTGGACAGAATCACTCCTGTGATGCTGAACACAGGGAGTCGGAGCTCCTTGCTAGAGGGCAAGGGGAGACAGGGAAGAGTTTAGGAGGCAGCTGGAACCAGTTCCCAGGGGGATGGGACAACAGGAAGGAGTTCCGAGCCCAGGGAGTTGGGCCTAGACCTGAATTTCTCAGACCTGACTGACCACTAGATCACCTTGAGACCTCTGAATTGGTCTCTAGAAATCTGGGAATCTGCATGTTCAAGAAGATCCTGTTTAGCTGATCCATAGTCTAGCACTGGGAACCATTGTTCTAGATGAGTATTTTTTTTTTTTTTTTTTGAGACGAGTCTTACTCTGTTGCCCAGGGTGGAGTACAGTGGCACAATCTCAGTTCACTGCAAACTCTGCCTCCTTGGTTCAAGTGATCCTCCTGCTTCAGCCTCCCAAATAGCTGGGATTACAGGTGCCTGCCATCATGCCTGGCTAATTTTTTCTTTTTTTTTTTTTTTGAGACAGAGTCTCGCTCTGTCGCCAGGTGCCAGGCTATGCAGCTGTGCGATCTTGGCTCACTATAACCTCCATCTAATAGGTTCAAGCAATTCTTCTGCCTCAGCCTCCCAAGTAGCTAGGACTACAGGTGCACGCCACCACACCCAGTTAGTTTTTGTATTTTAGAAGAGATGAAGTTTCACTATGCTGGCCAGGTTGGTCTCGATCTGCCTGTCTCAGCCTCGCAAAGTGCTGGGATTATAGATGTGAGCCACCTTGCCTGGCCATATTCCAGATGAATTTTAAAACCTAATTTGCCCTTGGCATTCTATAAACCAATCCTATTGACTAAAAACAAAACAAACAAACAAAAAACCTTAATATTCTTTTAGAAGCCAGATTTCAAAGGTGTACTCACCTTACTTAAATGCCTCAGGAAAAGCCAACCCTGTTATCACCTTGATCAAAGAATAAACTTTCTCTACTTAATTTTTTTAGATTCGTGTCTTGGAGCAGTAAAAACCACCTTTAGGTAGAGAATATTATTAATAGTTTTTTTTCCCCCTTAACAATAAGAAGATAAAACATTTTCCCAGAATGTTGATGACTGTGTATCAGGGTGAAATAGCTAAGTAATGGCCAAAATGAGCAAAAAAACTTTCTTCTTCTATAAGAAAAAGAAAAAAGAAAAATCTCCATTTTAAAACTTTTTTACTCATTCATTCTGCAAATATTCATTTAAGACTTACTACGTGCGACAATGTGGGTGGCAGCAAGTCATCAGTGCCCCTTAATTTCTCAAAGGAGAAACAAGATCTTGTATTACTTTAAAATAACCTCATTTTTTTCTTTTTTTTTGAGACAGTGTTGCTCTGTCATCCAGGCTGGAGTGCAGTGGCACAATCATAGCTCACTGCAACCTCTGCCTCCTGGGTTCAAGCGATTCTCATGCCTCAGCCTCCTGAGTAGCTGGAATTACAGGTGCCCGCCACCACACCCCACTAATTTTTGTATTTTTAATGGAGACAGGGTTACCAAGTTGGCCAGGATGGTCTTGAAATCTTGACCTCAAGTGATAACGCCTACCTTGGCCTCCCAAAGAGCTGGGATTATAGTTATGAGCCATCATGCCTGGCCTAAAATAACCTGGATTTCTGTGCAGTAGATAAGTTGGTTTTCTAGAATTTTTCTAACATGGCATGGTTGTTTTTCTAGAATTCCTATTAATATCAATTAGGTTATAGCAATATGTATAAAGTTCCTTGAGAAACTTATTCTCTTTTCTTAGTACGAAGATTAAAATTAAATGGGTGAAGTCAGTGAATTCAAGAGAACACACACTTATGCAGATCACCAGAAAGAAGATGAAACAGCAAAATGCTGACATTCTCATCACGACAAGAAAGGGAGACCCAGAGCGCTTCTGGAGCTTCGGAGAATGGCCAGAGCAAGGTGCCCACACGCTGGGGACATCATAACGACAAAAGGGACACCCAAGTGAGGCCAATTAGTCTCCTGAACAGAGCAGCCTGTGCTATTTCAGAGTCTGTGTAAAAGAGAGAGTAAGAAAATTTGAGTTATGTTTAAAAGCATTATAGGCTGGGTGCAGTGGTTCATGCCCAAAATCCAAGCACTTTGGGAGGCCAAGGCAGGTGGGCCACAAGATCAAGAGATCGAGACCATCCTGGCCAACATGGTAAAACTCTGTCTCTAATAAAAATACAAAAAATTAGCCGGGTGTAGTGGTGGGTGCCTGTAATCCCAGGCACTCAGGAGGCTGAGGCAGGGAGAACTGCCTGAACCCAGCAGCTGGAGGTTGCAGTGAGCTGAGATTACACCACTGCACTCCAGCCTGGGCAAAAGAGCAAGACTCCAGAAAAGAAAAGACGTAACAGCTGCACAGGAGGAGGCAAAACAGGTGAGTCACGCAAAGGGCTTACCTGGCAGTATGATTTCAGGAAAGCCCATCTTCCGGGCGATTGCTGTTGATCTATCAACCAAGTGTGAGAAATTCTTCTGAACCTGTCTGAGGTCACCTGGCAATAGCTTCAAGGATACCCAAAGTCCTTTAAAGAAATAAAAGATAAACTTTTAGTTCTCTATATAATCTATATAACACGCATAACTGGTAAAAAAGAACATTTGAGTTGTATAGTCACAACCAGGTACCTTACTATAAAAATGTAAATTCTCCCCCAGTTGACTTGTAATTTTAATCACACTTCCACAACAGGACCTTTCGAAAATGTGACAGATATGTGAACAGATGCTAAATTTAGGTGAAAAAATGGCAAAGAAGCCCCTACCAGATACCAGAATATATTGTAAAGCTACAATAATTTGTGATACTAGTGGTAAATATGATATATACATAAAACAATGAAATTAATACACAGCAATTTAATATATGGCAAAAGAGGCATAACAAATCGTGAAAAAAATCCAATCATTACATGAATATTCTGGGATTATTTTCTTGTTACTTAAGAAAATTTAATTTATCATCTTGTATTATCATTACAGTAAATTCCCAATAATGAATTAAACAGAAAAAAGAGGCAGAATATTAAAAGAAAAAAAGTATATAGTTATTAAAACTCTGAGAATAAAAGAAGAAACCATTTTCCTCTCTTTCTTTCTTTTTTTTCTGAGAGAGAGTCTCACTCTGTTGCCCAGGCTGGAGTGTGGTGGTGCCATCTCAGCTCACTGCAACCTCTGCCTCCAGAGTTCAAACAATTCTCATGCCTTAGCCTCCGCAGTAGCTGGGACTGCAGGTGTGTACCATCACACCAGCTAATTTTTGTATTTTTCTTTTTTTTGTAAAGATGGAGTTTCACCATGTTGGCCAGGCTGGTCTCGAACTCCTAACCTCAGGCAATCTGCCTCCCTCGGCCTCTCAAAGTGTTGGGATTACAGGTGTGAGCCACCATACCCAGCCCTAATGATTTTTAAAAATCAGTTCACAACATAACCAAGAGTACATTCAAACACAAGAGAAATCTATGGCAAGTGATTTGGCCTATGTGTATCACCAGCTGTAGGCTTGTTCCCAGCATGTGACCCAGAAATCCAACTTCTGGGAGTCTTCTTGGGGAGATAGTCTCAAACATGGAAAAGACTTCATGTATAAAGATAGAGCAGAGTTTTTTATATTTGTAATGATGACAAATTAAGAAGCACGTGAAGTGTTTATCTAGGAGAGTCCCTTTTCTTAAATCTAAACACTGGAATACTATACAGTCATTAAAAATATTCATGAAGAGCATAAAAACATTTGAAAAGTGCTTGTTTGGCATGAAGTATAGTATTTAGAAAAAAAGAAAGAAAAAAGAATGAAAAGTGCTTGTTTTGTTGTTAGGCAGCAAGAATGGAAATGACTTATTTTCAGTTTTGTTAAATAAATTATACATACATGGTAATCTGTTTAGTGTAAGCGTTTTCCATTGCAATTGAAATTATACTTAAGAGCTCTAAAAAAACAGAAATAGGGTGCATGCAGTGGCTCACACCTGTAATCTCAACACTTTGGGAGGCTGAGGCAAGCAGATCACTTCAGGTCAGGAGTTCGAGACCAGCCTGGCTAACATATTAAAACCCGGTCTCTACTAAAAATACAAAAATTAACCAGGTGTGGTGGCTGGTGCCTGCAATCCCAGCTACTTGGGAGGTTGAGGCAGGAGAATCACTCGAGCCCAGGAGGTGGAGGTTACAGTGAACCAGGACTGAGACACTGCACTCCAGCCTAGGAGACAGAGTGAGACTCCATCTCAAAAAAATTTAAAAATTAAAAACAATTTAGTTATTTGTTTTCAGATTATTTATTGATTCCTTGCTTGTCTTTCCTAACCGGATAATTGCAAATACATCAGAAACTAACTATAATGAAAATCATGTGTTTTCTGATTGCTTCCATTTTGGAAGACAATTATAGGGTAGTGAAAAAAAGTCATTGAGTCTCTATGTATTTTTGATACATACAGGCTAATTCAGTCTCTACTTATTTTTGATACAGGAGTTAAGAAATTTAAGCAGATAGTGAGGGTAAGGAAATCCTCAGTAAGGTTTTCCTTTTAATGAAAAGCAGCCCCCAAATAATTTTCTTTTCCTGCAAAATCGGGCTGCAGACATAGACAAGCAAGCTGGAAGTTTGCATGGGTAAATGCCAGCCAATAGGAAAAGGCTACCTGGAGCTAAACACGTCCAATATGGAGGCTCCATTTTCCCTTCTCTTTGCCAGCCAAGTGTGCAGTAAGAAGCAGACAACATGGCACCAGCCAGATGTAAAGCCCATTTGTATAAGATTAGGGTGGGGTGACCAGCCTTCCCTGCGTGCTATATACATGTCATACCTGGTCCAACCAATGTGTGGGCCCTACATAAATCAGACACAGCTTCTCAAGCCTGCCTACAAAATCCAAAAGCCCCCATCTCTCACAAGAGAGAGAGAGAGCTGTTCTCCTTTCTCTTTCTTTTGCCTATTAAACCTCCGCTCCTAAACTCACTCTGTCTGTGTGTCTGTGTCCTTAATTTTCTTGGCATAAGACAACAAACCCCAGACAGCAGTACTGCTTAATTTTTTTAAACTAATTTTATAACCTCTGCAAACACAAGGCCTTAAAAAATTGGTTAAAGCTCAGAGTGGTTCCTCTCCATGGAAATCTTTAGTAAAAGGTGAAAGATTTATAAAATATTAAGGAAAATCAAAGTATTCAATCTTCGGCGTTATAGAAATATGGCCACCATCTTGGTATTTGAATCTTAAAACTGTTTTGATTCAAAATGCAGTTTCAATAAGCAGAACTTCTCTTGGTTAAAACACTCCATCAACAGAACATGTTAAGGAGGTGCTAAAAACGATAATTTTTGCATTATTTCATATTAATACATATTCATTGATATTACTTTGGTTTCCTTCCCTAGATTTTAAAAAATGTGATGGGATCAGAGTAGAGTATAATTATTACCTAGGGTGAACATTGGGAATGAAGATTAGACAAAAATGTGGAGGCCAGAAATGGTGGCTCATGCCTATAATTCCAGGGATTTGGGAGGCCAGGATGGGAGGATCACTTGAGGCCAGAAGCTGAGAAGAGTATGGGCAATATAGTGAGACCCCATCTCTACAAAAAAAAATTAAAAATTAGCTAAGCATGGTGGTGCATGCCTGTAGTCCCAGCCACTTGGGAGGCTGAAGTAGGAGGACTACTTGAACCCAGGAAGTGGAGGCTGTTGTGAGCCAAGATCATGCAGTTGTACTCCAGCCTGGGTGACAGCATGAGACTATCTCAAAAAGAAAAGACTCGTGGGATAAAACTTTGTTCCTCAGAATTTACAAAATACAACCGTGATCCAAGTCACTGCTGGGTACATCTCAAGGCAGTTCAGTGTTAAAAGCCTGTGGTAGGAAGCTGAGGAGGCGGTCCCCAGAGGAAGCTGTTTTGTATCAAAGAAAGATAATAAAGGGCAGGAGTCCAAAGACCCAGCTGTGAATGTCCCCCACCCTCAGCAGAGTCCCTCCCAGCTCTGGCACTGGACTGTATACCTTGCCCCTTGTGATTCACTTCCTTTGCTGCAATCACTTTATTCAAGACTGAAGTGAGTGGCTCATTCTCCCCAATCACATGTGATGTTATCAAGGGCGACATGATGATCTGCCTCTGGCGGATGTATGTTTCCATCGCAATTCTTGGGAAAGAGAAATAAGAGGTAAGGTGGGAGGGGAAGAAAGGAAGTCTCTGCAGCACAATCTCAGATAATGGTGAGTCTTATGAGAATGATTTGGAAATGTCAACATTAACTACACCTATCTTTCTATGCTTCCTTTATTTTTCCATTGATGGTCTATCTTAAATACTAAATTCACCTTGGAAATGACTTGAGGCAAAGAGAGAGAGAGGAAAAAACCCCAAGAGTACACGAAACTGGTGATCAAAGGTTAGCAACTAAAATCAGAGGCAATGCTCCAGGCTCTTTCAGAAGTAGAAGAGGCTGCTGCAATAGAATTGAAGACAGACCACCCACGGAAAGGGCAGGAGCCCTGGCCTCCAGGTCTACTTCTACTTGAGTGAGCTCTGCAAGAATCTTCCTTTGGGCCTCAGTTTCTTCATCTGTAAGAGATGGGCTGAGATCGCCTGCCTGCTAAGCTTCCTGTCTAGTGTCAGCCCCCCAAGTACGAGCGCAGTGTGTACGCCTAGTGTCTAGTAGAGATTCTCACACTTCCATGTGATGATAAGCTAGATCTTGGCATGGGTGCTGCCAAACAAGCTCCACTGGAGGGATCCTATCAGGCTGCGGCTAGTAAAGGGCGATCAAAGAAGCAAACACAGCCCCATTCTACTGAGGGCAGAAGCACTATCAGCTACTGCACATCAGCCTGCTGCAGGACAACAGTCTCCTGTCTTCTCTCTCCGCTGCATGCAGGCCAGTTTTCTCTGCAGGGTTCCCTGTACCCTGACAATAAGACACACTTACATATGTGACTGGCAAATGGGATTCCTACAGTCTTGGGTTCCTGCTTTTTACACATGACTTTTGATAAATGGACTTGCAGGATACATACACAAAACTCTCCTACTGGAAAACACCGTAAAGTTTTTGAAGTAGGTTATGGCAGAACTTGCCATAAATCTTAGGCATTCAGTGCCAGAGGCTGCAGTCTGCATAGTAAATACTTCACTGTGGTTGTTGGCTGCACAGTGAGCGGTAATAACATTAGGGCGGGGTTCATCAGGGACTCAAAGTGCAGATTACATGGTGAGGAAAATCTCAGGACTAAGTACTGGGATACGGTTGCTGGAGGAAAGCTGGTTCAGAGATTAAACAGGAAGCACACCACCACCAGCAAATACACAGATGACTGTTTCAGACACCTCTCAAATCCATGAATGCAACTCCTTTTACGTACATATACACATAATCTTAAATGCAAACATAATACATTTATAGTACTATTATATATATGGTACAACATTTATATTTATTATATATATTTATGTTTGTTCAATATACAGTCATATGCCTAACAATGTTAGTTAATGACAGACTGCATAAATGACTAGGATCCCATAAGACTATAATGGAGCTGGTCAGGTGTGGTGGCTCACACCTGTAATCAGCACTTTGGGAGGCCGAGGCAAGTGGATCACCTGAGGTCAGGAGTTCAACACCAGCCTGACCAACATGGTGAAACACTGTCTCTATTAAAAATACAAAAATTAGCCAGGTGTGGTGGCACGTGCCTGTAATCTCAGCTACTCAGGAGGCTGAGGCGGAGAATTGCTTGAACACGGGAGGCGAGTCTGCAGTGGGCGGAGATCACGCCACTGCACTTCAGCCTGAACAACAAGAGGGAAACCCCATATCAAAATAAAAGGATTATAATGGAGGTGAAACATTCCTATTGCCTAGTGATGTTACAGTTGTTTTAACATCTCAGCACAACTCACTACCTTTTCTATGTTTAAATATGTTTGAAGACATAAATACCTTTGTGTTACAATCGCCTGCAGCATTCAGTACAGTAGCATGCTGGACAGGTTTATAGTCTGGGAGCAATAGGCTGTACCATACAGCCTCGGTGTGCAGTAATACATCCATTCCGGGTTTGCATAAGAGTACTCTATGATGTTTACACAATGACAAGACAGCCTAGTGACATGTTTCTCAGAATGTATCCCTGCCATTAAGTGAGGCATGATTGTATTTTATGTAACATATTATATTTAATATATTTATAAATTTAATTGTCATATTAACTTTGTTTAACATATTTATTAAATATACTTATTTAAACATATTTATATATTATACAATATATATTTATATAGGTGTGTGTGTATAGTGTTTTATATTATACACAAAACAAGAGCAGCATTCATGGAGATGAAAGCCATCACACAATTAATATTAGCACTGTGCTACAGAAAACATTTGTCTCATTACGGAAGGTCAATACATAGGTGGTAGCATACATGGTAAGTGCATTTTATTTCTTAAATTATTTTATCTATTTTTACTTTATATTTTATTTTATCTGAGGCAGGGTATGGCTCTGTCATCCAGGATGGAGTGCAATGGCCATATTTTAAAAATAATTCATAGCAGCCTCTGGATTAAAGAGAGAAGTACTACTTAGCATGAGCTATTTGCACTATTATGCTTAGAAACTGGTCCAAAGGTATAGATTTCACATTGAAATATTAATATTTTTATATTTTATATATTACAGATAATACATATTTTTGCATAAAAAATAGACAGCAGGAAAACAGAAACAGGAGCAAATTCACCAAGAGTTACACCAACAGAAATAATCACTGTTAATCATGGAGTACATTTTTTGAAATATCTAAATTTTAAGGCTGTTAATGCATTGTTACAATCTATATTCCTATAAGTAATGTATGTCTCCTTATATCTAACCAAATACTAAAACTTGGTCAAGATCAAAACTAAACCTTGATGTTTCAATATGCATTTCACTCATCCTCAATAAATGTACAACACCATTTCTGTGTGTGTGTGTGTGTGTGTGTGTGTGTGTGTTTGTATTCCCCTTTAGGTCCCTATTGATTTCTATTAATTCTCTGCATATTACAACTACTCATCCTTTCCCATACACATTGCAAAGATTGCATTGAATTTTTCTATGTGTAAGTTCTTTACAATTTTTGGATGGTTAAACCTATCAATTTTTCTTTTTTGGTTGAATCTTGAAAATGGCCTCCCTCCCATTACCAGCATATAAAACTTCTATTTTTTTGTCAATATTTTAAGATTCTAGCTCTTACAGTTATATGTTTAACCATCCAAAATTTAGATTGGCATTAAGTTTGAGACTGGAATTTAACTTAGGGATCTTAAATGGCTAGCTAATGTTCTCCAAACATTTTTTTTTTTTGGCATAAGGTATCTCTCTCCACTAATTTGTGATATCATTTGTAAAAAATGATATATTAACTCAAATATATGATTCTGGCTGATTTCTGGAGTTCTCAGTTTGTTCTACTTGTCTGCAGTGGCAGCTACAAGTGAGCGGAGATGACGCCCTCTGACTAGCACTATGGCCCCTGGTGAGAGCTGGTCCCGGCAGTGCTCTCAGCCTTCACTAGGCCTTCACCACCTGTGCAGATGCTGGAGCAGGTCACGACGTTCACATCTGCACTTCTTCAGAGTGACACGGTTTGCTTCCAACAGCTCGCCAGTGGCCTGCCCATGGCTCCAGCTCCTGCAGCTCACTGTGGAGGGCCTCTGTAAAGCTCTGCAGGGATCCTTTCACACACTCTCAGGCTGGCTTTCCCCCGACATGCAGGAACACTGGCCATGGGTGGGTCAGCCCTTCACTCTCTCATTTCCTCAATCCTTGCTACAGACAATGTGCCCCTCAGACCAGATGCATCAGCATCACCTGGGAGCTTGTCAGAGGCAGAATTCCCCTGCAGCCTAACAAGCTCCCCCAAATCATATGCATGACAGAGTCTGAGAAGCCCTGTGCTATCCCACGTGATTCCAAGTATTCCATGATGCCTGTTTCATGCAATACACTCCACAGATACTTCAGTATTTCTGACGCAAAGACAGTACCACTCTGCATTCCAGGGCAGATGGATATTTGCCCTTTTCATATTCCTTTGGTCCTCTCTATAGAATCAGGAAAGTTCAGTTTACCCTCTTCCATGGGAGTCCAACATCAAGGACTTTGAATAAAGTCTTCTGTCCAGCTCCTATCTGACAATCTTTCAGTTTAGAATCTTTCCTTCTCTCTGAAAATGGTTTCTAGTACCTGTTTCTGTGTTAACACGTGATTGAATAGCTAATCCAGGTCTCAAGTCACCTGGGATACATGCCAAAGTACTTACTGCTGAAAGGGAATAAAATGCTGCTTTTCTTCATCATCCACCTTCCCATGAATTATATCAGTAATATCCATCACTAGGAAAAAGATAAACTTCATTAAGGAAACTAATTGCTTCATGCCTCAGTAAGTTACTATGGAAAAGGACAGTATCAGCCAACATAAAATGCTAGAGGAAGAAAGGTACCAGGCAGGGACTTTTTAAAAAAAATTCTTTACCAATGATGACTCCCAGTGTACCCAGCCTAGCAAAAGAGCAACTCATGAGATACTGAGGAACAGGTCTGGGTTTTATTGGATCAATTTTGCAGACTACCCACTTTCAAACTCTCCAAGATCTAGTTGCTAAATTCTTTTTTTTTTTTTGAGATGGAGTCTTGTTCTTTTGCCCAGGTTTGAGTACAGTGGCATGATACTGGCTCACTGCAACCTCTACCTCCCCCATTCAAGCAATTCTCCTGCCTCAGCCTCCCAAGTAGCCGGGACTACTACAGGTGCACACCACCATGCTCAGCTAACTTTTGTATTTTTTGTAGTATAGACAGGGTTTCAATGTGTTAGCCAGGCTGGTCTTAAACTCCTGACCTCAGGTGATCCACTCGCCTCCGCCTCCCAAAGTGCTGGAATTATAAGCATGAGCCATACAAACTTAGCCCGAGCTGCTAAGTTCCTGAGAAATTTAACATCAGGTTACTTTTTAGTAAGTCTGGAACAAGGGTCCAGAAGCAGAATTACATTTCCTTGATCATTTTTGATCTATGAGCAACCAAAATGTCAATGTTAAGGCCCAAAACGCATTTCCTCAATTGAACAAACTATAGAGGCAGGTTCTGGGGTTTGATGTAAGCCAAGGAGCCTCTTGGAAAGAATTCAGAAACAAACACAACATTGTCTTGAAAGAGTAAATTTCCTAGGCAGGCAAAACTCTTCCCAGTGAGTATTTCATCCCACTACAATCACAGACTTCAGCAGATGGAGACAAGGAGGATTCTGATAGTCACAACTAAGGTTCTACTGTGTATAAGACACAGCGTAGGTCACTAAAGGAGAAAGCAAGGAGTGTGGGCCAGGTGAGGACATAGAACCCTCGCAAAAAAACCGGAAGTGCCAGGCACTGTCTGATACTGACGATGACAACGTGATCCATCTCTTACTATTTCTTCCTGCCCTTCTTCCTCCTTCCCTCCCTCTCTCTATATTCAAAATTGTAGCAAAACACACATAACATAAAATTTACCATCTAGCCTATTTTACAGTATACAGTTCAGTGGTATTAAAAGTATTCACATTGTTGTGCAAACATCCGCACCTTCCATCTCTAGAACCTTTTCATCTTCATCTTCCCAGATGGAAACTCCATACCCATTGAACACTAACTCCCATTCCCCCTCTCCAGCCCCTGGCACTCATTATTCTATGCTATCTCTATGAATTTGACCACTCTAGGTGCCTCATATAAGTGTGATAATACAGTATTTGTCCTATTGTGTCTGGCTTATTTACTTAGCGTAAAGTCCTCAAGGTTCATCCACACTGTATGCAGCATGTGTCAGATCTCCCTTCCTGTTCAAGGTGAGTATTATTCCATTGTAAATAAACACCACATGTTCTTTGCCCATTTATGCATTGATGGACACTTGGGTTACTTCCACCTTTTCCCTATTTGTGAATAAGATGCTACAAACTTGGATGTACAAGTATCTCCTCCAGACCTTGCTTTCGATTCTTTTGAAGTGGGTCTGCTGGATCATTTGCCAGTTCCACGTTTCATTTTTTGAGCAATCGCCGTACTATTCTCCACAGGGCTCAGATATTTCACATTTGTCTTTAGGTCTCTCTCGTACCTGCCACTCCAAAAGGTCTTCGGAGTCCACAGGTGTGCTTCTTGCCTTCCTTCAGCTCCATGTGGCCGACGCGGACAATCTGGCACACGAGGCTGACGCGGGGCCGGATGAGGTCCATGCTGCTGAGGTCCTAAAGGGGCAGAGAAAGTGCGAGAGGAGGTGCGGCTGGGCCACTCTGTCACCCCTGTCTCTCTTATCTTTACCCTCTACAACAAAATTCTGTTCAGACCTTATTTCTCAATGCTGAAATACCAGAAAGACTCTCTTCTTCCCCATCTCCCTCCAAGAGCTATTATGGCCTCAGAGAACATGACTTTGTGCTTGTAAACAAGGGCCTTTTTGTTCCCCAGTTCCTACTCCAAATTTACAAATTAGATCAGAGTCCATCGGAAGTCTCCAGATCATCAGGTTAAGCAGGGTACTGAAAAACCACGACCCTCATCATTGCGACTGTACGTCCTTCCAGGACAAATCTCAGCATAAGATGTACTTCAGCTTCAAATGAAATAAAAACCTCTGTGACACTGACATTTACTGGGTATCCACACAAGTCTGTGACATTTCATTTCCTCTTCAAAACAAGCCCATGAGGCAACTATAAGACAGGCACTGCTTTATGGGATTATTCACCTGATTAATGAGAGGTCTCCATTGAAAGCTTATCCATGTACACAGAATCATGACAGATGTGTTGATTAAATGTCTATTTCTCTTGCAGCTAGGGTTCTACATTTGTTTGTACCCTTTTGTTTTGTTTTTTTTCTTTTGATATAGACAAGGCCTCCCTATGTTACCCAGGCTGGCCTTGAGCGTCTGGGCTCAAGAGATCCACCCACCATGGCTTCCCAAAGTGCTGGGATTAGACATGAACCACAGCGCCTGGTCATTATTTGTATTCTTAAGGATGGGTGAGTAAACCTAGGAATGAGCTGATATCTCTCATTCAATTCAACTTCAGAAAAAAATTAATCACATCTCAACTTGGTTATATGAAACAGTTGCCCGAGGCCTCTTTACCAAAGCAAGAATCACTTTTAAAATAATTATTCCAAATCCAGCCCCTGTAATTTAGTTAACTTAGGTCTCCAAGATAGGAATATGTATCAATGATAATATCCACCCTGCATTTCTACTCCAGGTTCTGCAAGGCTTCTGTGAATAGAAAAATAAAGACTCCAGGTGACTGGCTACATATATTGTTGCACATTCATAGAGTAGTCTCCCCTTATCTGTGATATGTTCTGAATTCCCCCGGTGGATACCTGAAACCAAAGATAGGACCAAACCCTATATGTGCTGTTTTTTTCCTGTACATACACAATGATAAAGTTTACCTTTTCACCTAAAGGAAGCACTTGGTGCCTGTCTTTGGCATATCCGAACTGCCAGCATCACTCCTCTTGCACTTTACTTTGAGGTCATTTTCTCTTTTTGTACTTCTTTAGTTAAAACAGAGTTTTATCATGTTGCCCAGACTAGTCTCAAACTCCTGGGCTCAAGTGATCCTCCCACCTCAGCCTCCCAAAGTGCTAGGATTACAGGCGTGAGCCCTGGAGCCTGGATTGATTATTGTTTACTATCTGTCTTACCCATCAGGACAAAAGCTGATTTTTTCCCCCTGATTTTTCATGAATGTGGCTTCAGTGTCTAAATCAGTGTGTGGCATCTAACAGGTGCTCAGTAAGTACATGTTGAATAAATGAGTGGATTATTCCTTCTGGGGGACTGATGATTTTTCATCTTTTCATTTTGTATGTTTTCCACATATTCACTGGTGAATCTGCTCATACCATAAACAAAGAGAATGACTGAACAGAGGGAGGACTTACAGTAAACACTGCCTGGAGGTTATTGAGCTTCTCTATTTCCTTGGGCATCCCGTTACTGCCCCAACGAATTAGATAGTTCTCACTGGCAAAGGAAAAAAAAATTACTCTTAATGAGAGGCTTACTGGGGCTGGAGGCAAGGCTGCCCTTAGTGTAGACTTACAAGGGAAGGAGGAAGGGCCAGAAATGCTCAGTGAAATTCAACAGGCCAGTGTGAAGAGAGCTGAGCTGGGAACTGAGCCCACACAGGTGACCACTGCTGGTGTCCTGGCATTAGAGAAGTATCCCTGCCATGGCTCTGCAAGGCATGCCCCACACAGGTACAGGACATGTCCTACTCCCGATAGGCACAGACGTCATAGAGCTTATGGGATGCTACTGTCTGGGTCGTCCTTCCATCTCAAAATCTTTGAATGAAAGTTTCAGCTATGCTGAATTAAGAATTTAATTTTAGGCTGGCACGGGGGCTTATGCCTATAATCCCAGCACTTTGGGAGGCCGAGGCAGGCAGATCATCGGAGGTCAGGAGTTCAAGACCAGCCTGGCCAACATGGAGAAACCCTGTCTCTACTAAAAATACAAAAATGGGTTGGGTGCGGTGGCAGGCGCCTGTAATCCCAGCTACTCAGGAGGCTGAGGCAGGAGAATCGCCAGCCCGGGAGGAGGAGGTTGCAGTGAGCTGAGATTGCACCATTGCACTCCAGCTTGCATGATAAGAGCGAAACTCTGTCTCAAAAAATAAAAAATAAATAAATAAAATAAGAATTTAATTTTGTAACAGTCATTCCAAATCTATCCCCTGTAATCCACATTACGACATTAAAAAATTATTTTTTGAATTAAATTGTCAGCAATTATGTTTAACTATCTTCTCAAAAATAAATTCTCCATTTTCTTAGCTGCTCTGGTACTACTCTAGGGCTGAACAATTCCCATTCCTTAGAGTCTTAAAAAAAAGTTTCTTTGAATAGACATTATTTTCTTAGAGCAGTTGTGGCTCTGCAGAAAAGTTGAGCTGAAAATAGAGTCCCATAACATATTCTTTCCCCTCAGATACGACCTCCTTTCCTATCAACATTCCCTCGACCAGAGTGGTAACAGTTCAAACTGATGAAGCTACATTGACACATCATTTACCCAAAGTCCACAGTTTACATAAGGGTTCCCTCTTGGTGCTGCACATCCTGTGCATTTAGACAAATTCATAATGGCATGCATCCAACACAACAGCATCATACAGAATAGTGCTGTTGCTCTATAAACCCTCTGTGCTCTGCCTGTTCATCCCTCTCTCACCCTCCCATGCAGCCTTTTGAATTCTTCTTAACTCCAAGTCCTAATGAGATTTCTGTGATCTCTAAACCCCCGGGAGTAGACAAACTGGCCACACTGTTCCAAGAGTGACATATGAAAGCTTCTTAGTCCAAAGGATTTTACATCCTACTGCTTAGAAATCTTCCCCGCTTCCCTATGTTCTCTTCTCAAATCTGGCAAAGAGCTGCCCAGGTGTATCTTTTCAAAGTCAACAGCAGGGAATCTGAGTCTCTGCTACCTGATAAAAGTGGACTGGTCTGGGTCATAGAGGGCCATAAACAACTCTGCATCTTCCCCGATGTTGCAGACGAAATTCTTGAAGTTCACGTAGAGGCCGTAGGTGTGGATGGTACTGAAGATGGACTGGCCCCTCAAGTCAAGGTTCTGCAGGATTGACTGAACGAAGAGGGAACAGAAAAAAACATCTTGGTTTCGGCAAATGGGAAATGTTGGCAATATATATATGTAAATGTTGGCAAATATATATATATATATATGGCCTGCAAATGGCAGACAAAGGCTGGGCACAGTGGCTCATTCCTGTAATCCCAGTGCTCTTGGAGGCCCAGGAGTTTGAGATCAGCCTGGGTAACACAGCAAGCCTCTGTCTCTACAAAAACTTAAAAAAATAATTAGCTGTGCCTGTAGCCCCAGCTACCTGGGAGCCCAGGAGGCTACCATGAGTCAGCTATGATGGAGTCACTAAACTCCATCCTGGGCAACAAAGTGAGTCCCTGTCTCAATCAATCCCTTGATTAATCAATAAATAACAGGGAAAAAAACACAGCCAAATAACACCTAAGAGGAAGTGTATTTGCTGAGAAGAAGTTTATGTAAGTAGACAAATGCAGGGAGCAAAATATAATCATTATAATTTTAGTAAGCAAGACTGTCCTGTTCAGGGCCTTGCACCCAAGACATTCAAAAACCGCTGTCTAAAGGGGGTAATTCCAGAGATTTGGTAGCTTCTAGAAGTGCTTGTCTTATATCATAGCTTCTGAATGAAGCTCAGAAGCAAAAACATGATCCACTATCCTGGATCATGTTGATCCAGAGATACAGAAGTAACTCTCATTCAAACAAAACATTCCACTGGAAAAGCTTTACCTTCAAGCGTGGTTTGCCGTTGGATTCAGAATGCAAATATTATCATGACCGTGCAAAAGAAGTAAACACCACAAACCAACAAAGCAAAGAAACTGACACAAATCTTTACTCATTAGAACAGAAAGACTGGGATTTTCTCCCAGTCTGACACATACCAAAATGTCACTATGTTTGGGTATAAGAAATCAAAATATGAATAACAGGGTTTTTGTTGTTTTTAAGAGGCACAGAGTCTTGCTTTGTTGCCCAGGCTGGAGTGCAGTGGTATGATCATAACTCACTACAGCCTCAAATTCTAAGCTTCAAGCAATCCTTCTGCCTCAGCCTCCTGGGTAGCTAGGACTATAGTAATGCACCACCATGCACAGCTAATTTAAAATTTTTGTTGTTGTTGTTGAAATGGGATCTTGCTATGTTGCCCAGTTGGTCTTGAATTCCTGGCCTCAAATGATCCTCCCACTTCAGCCTCCCAAAGGGCTAGGATTATAGGCATGCCCCATCATGTCTGGATTCTAATTTTTCTTTAATATCCAATTATTACTTTTGAAGTCTTTCAAACACTTTATTTAAAAATATTATTTATTTTAGTCTGGGTACAGTGGATCATGCCTGTTATCCTAGCACTATAGAAGGCTGAGGTGAGTAGACCACTTGAGGTCAGGAGTTCCAGAACAGCCTGACCAACATGGTGAAATCCCGTCTCTACCAAAAATATAAAAATTAGCCAGGTGTGGTGGTGGGCGCCTGTAGTCCCAGCTACTTGGGAGGCTGAGGCAGGAGAACTGCTTGAACCCAGGAGGCGGAGGTTGTAGTGAGCTGATATCATGCCACTGCACTCCAGCCTGGGTGTAGCGAGACTCTTGTCTTAAAAATGAATATATAAATAAAAAATAAAAATAAATGAATATTATTTATTTTGGAAATTGCAATATATGCAATGAGTGCAGGAGATTACATATTTTTAAAAGTCTCCCTCCCACCCAGTATTCCTTCCCAGTGGCATCCATTAATAATTATTTATTTCTTGTCTCTTATTTCAGAGTTAGTCTATATATATATATATATATGCAAGCATACATTTATATACTTTTTTTGAAACACTAATAATAGCATTCCATATACACCATTTTGCATCCTGATCTTTTCACTTAATATGTATCTTTACAATCTTTCCATATCAGAACATACATGTACCTGCCTCATCCTTTCTGCTATGCTTCCCTTTAAAAATGAGGACAAAACTACAGAAGTAGTTTTGTTGTCAATGATTCCGCCATCTTTCATTAAAAACCAACACAAAAATGGAATCTCGGGGCAGAATTTCATGTGTGGGGAACTCTACCTTCTCTTCTTGGATCTTTTCCTCAATCCTTTTGGAGGCCACCACGTGGGCCTTGAAGAGGGCAATGGTGCTTGTTTCGTCGGGGTCTAGGATGTTCCCATTGTCATCTCGCACCACCAGGTCTAACCCCAGCATTCTGGAGAGAAAGGAGCAGTCAGCTGGTTCTCCTCACCAGGGGCAGACTTTTTACTGAAGAATCCTCGTCAAGGAGCCCAGAGGATCCATAGCTAGAAAGGGAGGTGCCGGACAAGCCCAGAGAAGCACAACTTACTGACCTTTCTCATTTCTGTTTCTGCCACCTTTCCACATAACACCATCACAAAACTCATGAGATGACATTAGCCAAAGTCGTAGAAGGATATGCAACTATGGTCCAGAGACCCTCAAGTGAAAAGCAAAATCGGCACTAATTCTGACTAAATTCCTCCGGCTAATGCTTCTTACCTGTAATCTTCTGTTACTATAAAGAGGAACTATGAAATGACGTAACTATAGCACACAAAACTCAGATTCAACCTGTGTTTAATAAACATCTCGTTTGGCCAGGCGCTGTAGTTCACGTCTGTAACCCCAGCACTCTGGGAGGCCGAGGCGGGTGGATCACTTGAGACCAGGAGTTCAAGACCAGCTTGGGCAACATGGTGAAATCCCGTCTCTGCTAAAATACAAAAATTAGCCAGGTGTGGTGACACATGCCTGTAGTCCCAGCTACTTGTGGGGCTGAAGTCTGAGGATTGCTTGAGCCCAGGAAGTTGACACTGCAATGAGCCAAGATTGTACCACTGCACTCCAGCCTTTGTGAGAAAGTAAGACCCTGTCTGAAACAATAGACACATACATACATACATACATACATACATACATACATACCTCCTATATACATTTCACATACATTGATTATAACACCATGAGGTAGGGTGGAGGTAACTGTTATTATTTCCATTTTATGAGTAAAGAAACAGACCAAGTACGTGTGGTCTCACTGTTTATTACATTGCTCTGAAGGACCAATGAATAATCATTTGAGGGTTTGCCTTGATTTCCTTACTTAATTCAAGGTGGTCATAAAGGAGATGAGTGAAGTAAGTCCTGGCTTGTTGCTATCTCATGCCCAGAGCATGGGCTCTGGTGTCATTTAGACCAGGATTTGAACCTTGGCTTGAGTACTTGCCACTGCTATGACCTTGGAGAATTTACTTAATTCTGCAAAACTTTGGTTTCTTCATCGTATATATTCCTTATCCTTCAAGGTAAGGAATTTGTTTTATTTTTTATTTTTTTTAGAGGCAGCCTTAAATTCCTGGGCTCAAGCAATCCCCCTGTCTTAGCCTCCCAAGTAGCTGGGACTATAGGAATACATCGCCATGCTCAGCTAATTAAAAAAAAAATTATAGAGATGGGGGTCTTGCTATGTTGTCCAGGCTAGTCTCAAACTCCTGGCTTCAAGTGAGCCTCCCACCTTGGCCTTTCAAAGTGCTGGGATTATAGGCATAAACCATCGCACCTGGCCCTGTTGTGAGAATTTAATGAGATAATGCATGTAAAGCACCTAAAACAGTATCTAGCATACAGTAAGCTCTCAGTTTAAGCCTAAATGTTAGCTCTTGATATGGTTTGGATCTGTGTCCCCACCCAAATCTCACATTCAATTATAATCCCCAATGCTGGAAGTAGAGCCTGATGGGAGGTGACTGGATCATGGGGGTGGATCCTTTAGAAATGGTTTAACACCGTCCCTTTGGTACTGTTCTCATGATAGAGTTCTCATGAGATCTGGTTATTTAAAATTCTGTAGCCCATCCCACCTCTTTCTCTCTTGCTCCTGCTCTGGCCATGTAAGGCGTGACTGCTTTCCTGATTGTAAGTTCCCTGAGGCCTCCCCAGAGGGATAAGCTGCTATGCTGCCTGTACAGCCTGTAGAACTATCAGCCAGTTAAACCTCTTTTCTTACAAATTACCCCGTCACAGGTATTTCTTCATAGCAGTGTGAGAATGAACTAATACAGCTCTTACTGCAGCAACTGGTAGAAGCAAACACCTGGCTGTGTGCGAAGTTATAGCTGTGCATGTGCTTGGGAACAGTAAGGGCCATATTGTGGGTGCAATCCCTTTCCTCAAGGCTTTTGTGCCCAATGTGTACAAAGAAGTAGAAAAAATTTGCTTAGGCTCAAGAAGTTGAGGACTACGGTGGAAACAGGATACTGCTATCCAAATACTCAGCATGCGTTCCAGGCACCAAACGGCAAGACCGCTCAGCAATAAGCCTGAAATAGGCCAAGTCTTTGGGAAGAAAATAAAAATGCCTCCTTTCCCTCCTCCCTGTTTTACAGTATCTCCATCAACTGATTTGATTTGGCAGGTTCCTTTCCATGGTGGCCAGACCCACAGGCCACCCAGACTCATGAACGACAGCCACGCTGGCTGCTCGGAGACTGGATCAGGAAGACTGACATAGAAGCTCCATTTCCTGAGCTACTTTCAAGAGCTGGAATGGGAAGGCAGGCACATTCTGCCGTTTATGGGGTGTGAACATCCTGTGCCAGAGATCATGGGACTTCCAGGCCAATGTCATGGCAAGACATCAAATGACAGAGGTGTCCTATGCACAGTGGGGAGCTGCCTTATCCCACCTAATTGGCCTTTTATTTATTTATTTGAGACAGAGTCTCACTCTGTCACCAGAATGGAGTGCAGTGGCACAATCTTGGCTCACTGCAACCTCCACCCCCACCCGGGTTCAAGCCATTCCTGTGCCTCAGTTTCCTGAGTAGCTGGGATTACAGGTGTACACCACCACGCCTGGCTAGTTTTTATATTTTTAGAAGAGATGGGGTTTCATCATGCTAGCTAGCTTGGTCTCAAATGTCTGACCTCTGGTGATGTGCCCACCTCAGCCTCCCAAACTGCTGGGATTACAGGCATAAGCAGCCTCACCCAGTCTAAGTGCCCTTTTAATAAGTTCTCTGACACCATACGCCTGGCAGTGCAGCCACTGTTGGTATGGTCTTCTGGGTGGTCAAGCAGTAGGTGAGGAAACTGTTAATTCTTTTTCTTTTTCTTTTTTTTTTTTTGAGACAGAGTCTCACTCTGTTGCCCAGGCTGGGGTGCAATAGTGCAATCTTGGCTCACTGCAACCTCTGCCTCCCAGGCTCAAGTGATACTCCTGCCTCAGCCTCCCAAGTAGCTGGGACCAAAGGCTAGCACCACCACACTTGGCTAATTTTTTGTTTGCATTTTTAGTAGAGATGGGGTTTTACCATACGGGGCAGGCTGGTCTTGAACTCCTAACCTTGTGATCCACCCACCTCGGCCTCCCAAAGTGCTGGGATTACAGGCTTGAGCCACCACACCCGGCCTTAGTTTAGTTTTTGAGTCAGGGTCTCACTCTGTTGCTCAGGCTGGAGTGCGGCAGTGCAATCATAGCTCGCTGAAGTCTTGAACTTCCAGGCTCAAGCGATGCTCCCACCTTAGCCTCCCGAGTAAGTGAGACAACAGGTGTGCGTCACCAGACCCACCTAATTTTCAAATATTTATTGTAGAGATGGGGCCTTGCTATGTGGCCCAGGCTGGGCTCAAGCGATACTCAAGCAAAATTCTCGCAAAGTACTGGGATTACAGGTGTGAGCCACTGTGCCCAGACAGGTTATTTGTTTTCGTTTCTTTATTTGGAGTGGAGCAGCTTCAATCCAAGCCCCATCTTTCCTGGTCATCTGTCACCTCCATGGGATCAGAGATTCAACACAGGGCCTGGCCATGGAGGGAACTGTGACATTTTTTTCAACAAAATTAAATGTCTTCAAAGACAAAATGAGAGCAGTAAGCATTATTCTTTGGCAACTCCAAGATCAAAAGTCTGCTGCAAACAGTGTCATTAGCATGAATGGGCCCCCTGTTTGCCAAGTTTTCAGTGAAAAGACATCCCTGGTTTACTTACCGGTTCCCATGATCAATTTTGGCTGTGACTTTCTTCTTGAGCTCGGCCAGTTCATCCTTAGGGAGCGTCCCAGACAGGATCTGGGACCGCCACTCGATCAGGCTGTACGTCATCTGCTGCAGCTGGCGGAAGAGGGTCAGCTTGTTGTTCTAAGATGAGAAAACAAGATGATAAAAAGATTCTTAAAAAAAGGTGTGAGAGATGATGGGAACATCCTTTGTTTATTTGTTTGTTTTTAAGAGGAATGTCAGACAGATGAGAGGGAACATCTTTTGGCTGATTCTTTTTTTGAGATGGAATCGTGCTCTGTTGCCCAGGCTAGAGTGCAGTGACACGATCTTGGTTCACTGGAACCTCCACCTCCCAGGTTCAAGCCATTCTCCTGCCTCAGCCTCATGAACAGCTGGGACTCCATGTGTGGGTTACCACGCCCAGCTACTTTTTGCATTTTCAATAGAGACAGGGTTTTATCATGTTGGCTGGTTTTGAACTCCTGGCCACAAGTGATCCGACTGCCTTAGCCTCCCGAAGTGCTGGGATTACAGGTGTGAGACATTGTGTCCGGCCTGATTCTTTATAAGGTGTTATTTAATTAATCAATTGTGTCATACAGTCAGCTGCATGAATCCAAGGATTTTAAAAGAATACATTAATAGGGATGGCTTTGTCCCGAGCCTTTTCTACACCCTCCCCCTCTTGCAACTGTGGAAGCTGGTGATCACAGCGTGAACAGTGGGTCATAAATCACAAACATATCAAATCATCCATGTACCCTAAAACTCTAGCCATGCCCCTCTGGGTTTAAAGCCCTCCAGTGAGTTTCACTGTCCTCCAGCCACAGTGGATCATGTGCAATCCTTCCGTATCTTGACTCTTACGCACATTCCCAGCTGCATTTCTTACCAGTCTCCACCCCAACAATCTACGTTCCCTTCCATGCAAAGCCACGTCTATTTCTCTCTGAGGCTCCAGATCCTCCCAATATGTTATTTCCTCTTTCGTTCTCTTCCTCCAAATCTACCCCCACCCCTATCCTTTTCTGACTCGCATTACACCCTCTGCCAACTGGTAATTCTGACTTCTTCAGTCTCAACTTATGTGTGTCTACCTTGAAACTTTAACTTCAGGTTAGCGGTCCCACCTTCAGTGTCCAGAATTTGGTTCCATAATAGCATGGAGAACCCTGGGTTACACTGGCTCATCTGCCTCCCTGCTTAGCTGGTAGGCTCTTATAGGACAGAGAGCTTCATTTGTGTGTCTCTAGCATGTAGCTGGTACAAGTAGGCATTCTAGCAAATATACTAAATGAGTGAATTATGAATAGAGAAATAATTATAATTTCAGAGATAAGGAACACTAGAAAATATAATTTAAAATATTATTTTAAAGTTCCCATTTCCCCAGACAATTGTTAGACCATTCACATATGAAACTGTTAATCTTGCTTTAAATAGTAACTTACTGTGACCAAAGCAAATTACCTTACACCTAACTAATCATCTATTTTTCAATCAATTTAAGAATCAATCACTTTATATCTGAGCCATCACAACCTTCTAAATCACTCTTGCGCAAACTGTGGCCCCAGGCAGCTTTGAATGCAGCCCAACACAACTTCGCAAACGTTCTTAAAACATTATCATACTTTTTTGCAATTTTTGTTTTTCAGCTCATCAGCTGTCATTTGTGTTAGTATATCTCGTGTGTGGCCCAAGACAATTCTTCTTCCAGTGTGGTCCAGGGAAGCCAAATGATTGAACATCCCTGATCTGAATGATTGATTACTTCATTTTATTTATTTATTTTTTTTGGTGAGACAGAGTTTCCCTTTTGTTGCCCAGGCTGGAGTGCAATGGCACGACCTTGGCTCACTGCAACCTTCACCTCCTGGGTTCCAGCGATTCTCGTCTGTCTCCCGAGTAGCTGGGATTAAAGGCATGTGCCACCATGCCTGGCTAATTTAGTATTTTTAGTAGAGATGGGGTTTCTCCATGTTGGCCATGCTGGTCGCAAACTCCCAACCTCAGTTGATCCGCCTGCCTCGGCCTCCCAAAGTGCTGGGAATAGAGGCGTGAGCCAACACACCTGGCCTGTATTAATTTTTTTTTAAGTCACTGAGCATCCACTATGTGCTGATTATAAAGTTCCTGCCCTCAAGGATCTAACATTCTAGACAAGAAAAGAAATAAGTTTATATTATATATATTAATGATAATATAATAATATATATAATAATGAGTATTTTGGATGTATATTATAAAAATATATGTTACATATTAAGTAAATATATACCCTATATGTTATATCATAATATATACACACACGAGATAATTTTTGATGAAAAGTGCAAGAAAAATAAATACGGCAATCTTGTGTATACAGGTAAAGGGTGTTATCTTAGGTAGTGTTCAGAGAAAAGTCTTTTGTGTATCTCTTTTGAGATAAGTTAGTTAAATAAAATCCCACAGAATTCCACTCAATCCACATATAGTATGAATCCATTTCTTTCTTCTTTATAAAGTCATAATATAGTTATATAATGATATACTTTGAAATTACTAGAAAACATTCTTCTTATCTGCTATAAAATTAAGGCACACCGGCTGGGCATGGTGGCTCGTGTCTGTAATCCCAGCACTTTGGGAGCCAGAGGCAAGAAGAACACTTGAGCCTGGGAGTTTGAGACCAGCTTGGGCAGCACAGTGAGATCTTGTTTCTGTAAAACAAACAGCAAAACCCAAAAAACAACAACACACACACACAGAGATGCTGACAGCTGTACAATGTTCTCCAGTGATGTTCTTCTATGACATCCCAAGGACAGAGATGCCTAGACCCAAGGATCGACTAGAAACATGCTGAAAACATCCAAAACACTCCTTAACAAAGAATAAATCAGGAGGGAAGAGTCCTAGGTATAAAGTAGGGGGTAATGAACAAAACAGAGATTAGCAGAGTGTGGTAAAACCCTAACAGTAGTTCAAAGTCCTCTAGCAACACGAAGCAAAGAGATGAAGAATCCATTTCTCTGTGATTACAATATGCTCTCTTAACACCACTGATCTCACAAAACAAAGAAAGTAAAGCATGTTTAAAATTCTAAAACTATCTACATTTACTGCTTTGAGCATTTTCTTAATTGCCTCTTCCTCGTCTGCCAGTCTGTAGTAAAACATAAAAATGAGGCTTTTAAAGATACTATTTTTAATAAGCAAAGGTAAAAACCCTGCTTTTCCCCTTCAAAATCCTATATAAAATGTTTCCATTTATTTTCTTCAAAGTTGGAAAAAGAAGTGAGTAATTAAGCCTATCAGTTTTTGCCTTTCAAAACCGCTAGGCAGAAAGAGTCTCTTTTCTTCTTTCTTACAACGCATTTGTCCATTCTTAGCTATTTAAAATGTTTTCTGATGTTAAGATATCGCTTCTCATAGTATGGTAGAGAAAGGGTTCAAAGGCTCAGCGGATCCTCTGTGTGAGACAGTGCTTTGTTTGGGGCACATGTGCACAAGTTCTTAGTCTCAATTATATTAGACACTATCCATGGCAATTTAATTATTGCCTGTCTATACCAGCCTTGTCTGCCAAGTTCTTCCCCCAAGGAAGGATGAAGACAGCCATTCTTTTCTGATTTGTTATGCCAAGTGAGTTATGAATAGACAAGCTAGAACATACCAAAGGAAGCAATTTCCCCATTTACTTCAAGGAGGTGAACTTTGTTGCCACATTTCTAAGCGCTTTCTAAGATGTTTTGCATAATAGCTGGTCCCTAACGCTTGATGGGTTTTGGAGGAAGCACATAAGGACAAGTGAAGAGAAAACCAAACACTCACCAAAAGAACATGGGCTGGCTAGGCATGGTGGCTCACGCCTATAGTCCCAGTGCTATGGGAGACCAAGACAGGTGGATCACCTGAGGTCAGGAGTTTGAGACCAGCCTGACCATCATGGCAAAACCCTGTCTCTACTAAAAATACAAAAATTAGCTGGGTGTGGTGGTGGGCACCTGTAATCCCAGTTACTCAAGAGGGTGAGGCAGGAGAATTACTAGAACCCGGGAGGCAGAGGTTGCAGTGAGCTGAGATCTCGGCATTGCACTCCAGCATGGGTAACAAGTGCGAAATTCCATCTCAAAAAAATAAAAAAATTTTTAAAAAGAATATGGGCTAAGTTCCTCTGAGGCTCTATTTTCTCTCCAGTTGCCCTCCGTTCTTTCTCTTCTGATCCTACACTGGCCAGGCCCGCCTCCTGCAGAAGCCTTCTAGTTAACTCTCATCTCCACTCACTTCAGCCTTTTCTGCATTATCAGCCATTGGCACACCATCCAAGAATTTCTATGATCCTCTCCACAAAACACAGCACAATCCTAAAACAACAGGGACTCAGAAACAAACTTTGACCTCTCAAATTTAAAATAACACTCTATAATACTCTGCTTTCAATTTGAGTGAAGAAAGACTCCCCAAAATAAATGAATCTAAATTTTTTTGAGATAGCAAAGACATTTCTGCATTTGCTTAGAATTAATTTCTCTCTTTCTACTTGTAGCTACCTGAGGCCTCAAGGCCTCAATTTTTATAGCTTTAGTCCAGATATTTAAAACATTTTTTTTTCCTGAAATGTAGTCTCACTTTGTTGCCCAAGCTGGAGTGCAGTAAAACCACCTCAGCTCACAGCAACTTCTGCCTTCCAGGTTCAAGCGGTTCTCCTGCCTCAGCCTCCCAAGAAGCTGGAATCACAGGCACATGCCACCACACCAGGCTAATTTTTGTATTTTTAGTAGAGACCAAGTTTCACCATGTTGGCCAGGCTGGTCTTGAACTCCTGAGCCCAAGTGATCCTCCCGCCTCAGTCTCATGATGTTTATAACTTTTTTCTTTTTTTTTTTTTAGAATGTCTAGAGATAAACACATTCACAACAAAAAACAGCTTTGCCTTCAATACTGAGCAGAAAGCAGGAGTCATTCCTTGACTATTATAGAAATTTGAGGAGCCATTTAGATCATGGCCCTGCTGCACTGGGTGTCAGAAAACCTGAACTCTATTCTTCATTTTCCCAAGGACTGCAGATCAGAGGCCTGGGTAGAATGGTTCATAACTATAATCTTAGCACTTTGTGAGGCTGCGGTGAGAGGATTGCTCGAGCCCAGGA